TCAACGGTGCTACTCTGCTGTAACAAAGTTGAATGGGCCCCCAGATTACGATGAACCCATTCTACAGCTCCCCTCTCCCTCAGAGTAAAGCAGTAACACAGTCACATCTGCAGACTTTGGCTGCCCTCATCTGGTACAAAATTGGAAGCAGCCTTATATTTACCTCTGTCAAAAAAGAAAAGATTCAATTATTTTTTACATATACTTAAAAAGTGCGTTTAAATAGTAAGCTTGAATGTTTACTGTCACATTCCATACTGTACTGTAGCCGTGCAGTTACAGTTATCAAAAGGATTCACAAAGTGGCCTTTTTTGACCTCGTTTGCATGCTGGAGTTACTTTGATTGGCAGATTCTTGATTTCATTATGAAAGAAGTTAGTGTTTAGCTTGGTAGAAAGGTTCTGGCAAACATTATTAAGTAATGAATATTCAGGTTGTTTACGTCATTTAGTTTTGTGAGTCAATAATAGTTGCATCAGTATTTTGTCTGAATGGCAAAGTGAGAAAATACCTCTAAATAATATAAATGTAAGAATTTGTGTTATACAAAACAGGATGACCCTGAATTTAAGTGCTATACGTCCTTAATGCTAATCCTGAATTTGAAGTGGTCAATTATAATTGCATGGTCTGCATATTCAAAAACACTAAGATTGGAAAAGCTTAATCTGAACTTTTACCCAATTTTGCAGCTAAAAGAAGGTCACTGGTTCCTTAATGAGGTCAGTGGCTGCACTATGATCTGATATGAATCATAAAAGCTCAACAGATCTCCACAGCCGGAGATATGAGCTCAATCTTGGAGAGGAAGATGTGTTTGTTGTAATTTAAAAGATCTAGACTCTTCTTTCTTTTTTTTACATGTGAGGTTGAACTGCGAGAAACCAAATGGAAAGTGAGAGAGTGATCGACCCAGCAGAGCCGTACCGTAACCTATTGCACCGAAGACGTCTGCTCGCAGTTTTCAAATGAAGCAAGTGTGGACTTCATACAAGATATATTTTTTGATAAAGATGATTAAGACATAGGTCCACAAAGGTTAAAACACCACTAAAATGTCTCTATTAACTGATATGACCCATCAATGAGAGTGTTGTGAAGCCGTAAGTGCTCAATCTTTGCTCTAACGAGGATGTATTGCTGGGCCCAGCAGCCAACTCTCCAGCACTGGTGTCGAACCTTTTTTTCCTTCAGGTGGCTCTAATGGAGCGTGTTTAACTTCACAGTGATATATAAAACTGCTGAGCGACCCTCATCATAAACTGTTGGAGGTCACTTACTCTATATTACTTAATAGACATTTTTCTGTTTCTGTTTTGTCATTCGCAGCAGTGGTCTTATGGGCTGAGCCAGCTCTGTGCGATCTCCCACATCAGAGCAGGTGGCTGCTTGTATACAGCAGGTTGATTAATGGTTTGTCATTATTGTCCTCAGCTATAGGTCACTTCACCTAGACGTCCTCTTATTAGAGGTCAGTAAACTATAATTGTGACGCTTGCATTTATCCAGTTCCTGAAAGCCATGACAAGGAGCATAATTTCCATCAGCAATGACCTCAAAGGAACATTTTGTGACTCAACCTCAAGTGATGGGAAGTGTGACACAGAGGTTGACGAACTGTGGAAGCAGAGAGTGACTCATTCTGCAAATAAATTATTAATTGTCATTGCTACAGCCAGAGTGCGCTCACGCATTACCGTAATTGAGTCTTTTTCTTAGAATTAAGCTGATGGGAGAACTGGCTGCTCAGGTTTTCTTCGTTCCCCTGTCACTCTCTCAGTCTTAATCTGCTTGCTTGCCAGTCCCACGGACGGCATAATCAATACACAACACTTTAACAATGAAACTATCCTATTCCAGGCATTTATGCTTTTTAAAGGGTTTTCTTGTGGGCCATAGATGAATAATCTAAAATCACATGTCTCAGAAAAAGACAAATAACTAGTTTCACTGATTTCCTTGTGAGCTTCATTAAGACATAGTCAACTGTATCCCTCGATGTAAACTGACATTAAGGTATAGGCCATAGACTGTACTTAAACTCTTGCTGGCAACAGAAAATAATGTGGTTTGGTTTTAGTAGGATTGGAATTTATATCATTCTGGATTAATGAATGGCATAAAACACCCTCGGTTGTTGCTGTTATTATCATTAATAAACCATTTAGGGCCACTGGCTGAAACAATAGTTTTAAAATGGTGTTTTAAGAGGGACCGCTCCAGCTCCCAATGTCTACATTGGGTGAGGGAAAACACCATACACATGCTCAATGAATTGCCTTTGAATGTGGATGGCAAAAATGTGATGCCACGTGGGACTGATTGCTTATTGCCATACTGCAATTTGATCAGCTCGCCAAGCAACGTTGTCGTCATTTGCTCTTGACAGAATTTAGAACGTTATGGTTTTAAAGAAGTTAGTTGTGGTCACCAGAATGAACAATGTGGATTATCAGCTAGTGGACAAATTTCGAAGAAAAACTTGAAATGAAGCACATTGGTGCCCACCAACTGTGAGATTTTGTTATAAACCAACAAATTTAACTTGGAGTGGTTCTCCAAGAAAAAATGGCTAACTGCTATCCTTGTTTTGCAGTTTTATTTTATTTGATTCTATTTTATGTAATCAGAATCAGAACCGTTTATTGCCATGGTATGTTGAACATACAAGGAATTTGACGTGACGGGAGGTGCAATCTGAGGTTTTGTGGATTTTGCACAAAACTACTCTAACCTATTGAAAGGTTTTGTACACTCATGGTACCCAGAGGAGGACGTTCTTATAATTATTATTTATACTCTTTCTTCAGGAGCATGGGCCTTCTACTCACCTGAAGTGAAATCTAAATTGGAAGAGCAAGAAAATGGAAATTTCTGGCAGCGCCGCATTGACCACATGGCTGCTCCGGCAGGCTGGAACATGTTGCAGGTCAAATTGTGAGAGGAAAAGGAAGCCAAGACTCGACATGGCCTCTAATGCCCTGCAAGATCCAAGCAAAGCTTACCAACCGCCACTATCATTCTGGCTGTAACTCGGATCTCATTATGGAACTGTAGGTAGAACATATTCAATAAACTGGAGCACAAACGGCTTCTTACTGTACCCATTTCCCCTCTTTCCTGTTCATATATAACCTTGTATGTGTGCATGGGAGGGAAAGAAAGAAGGAGACTGTTTGTTTGTGTTCGGGACACAGAAATGCTGATGCCTCTCCTTTGGGCAATGTCAAGCATACTTAGCGTCAGTGTTTACAATGCAAAATGGGAGAAGGTTTCCGTAATTCCAAGAGGCCTGAAGGCAGGGAAGAGCTGGAGGAAGACGAGAGCTGTGGGGGCATTGTTTTAGTTTTTTAAAAGCCTGCGGGTCTGGCTGTTCAAACACTTCTGAAGGACATATTCACCTCATGGTGAAGTCAGTGTGTGATGTCACAAGTTTAGATAGATTCATGCTGCGACAGAAGTTCCTCTGTCAGCTGCTCACTGGATCTGTGGTTACCCACAAGCAAATCTGATTTAATGTTGGCAGTCTGAACACTGGAGAGGAGCGGGTTCACTGTTTTATAAAAGACGCACTAATGCGTCACTGCTTTACTTGTTGTGTTATTCTTTCAACTGTCTCATTTAAAACCAGGCTACCTGTCCCAGTTCCGTTTTGCTTTGACGTCAAACCAGATGAAATAGCTTCACAGTTTGGGAAATACTCTTATTTGCGTTCTTGAGGAGAGTTAGATGAGAAGATTAATACCAATCTCACGTCTGTACCGTAAATATAAAACTACCAGCTGGAGTCTTGTCATCCCAGTGATGCTGCCAAGCAACCAACCGAGACTCCAGGAAGTTACGGCACAGGGCCAACAAATAGTCCTGCACATACACCCTTAAAACCCCAATGATTCTTGTACGGATTTAACAAATGACACATAAGATGTTGACGGTTAGCTGTTTCCCTCTGTATCTAGTCCTTATGCTAAGCCTCTGGCTATAGCTCCATATTTAAGAGTGGTATCTTGCCATCTAATTCTTTGCAAGGAAGCTATAGTCTCTCCATGTAGGGCGAGCTTTTATTTCATCTGCCCTTGCAAACTTGATCTACTTTCATACAAGAGGTGTTGGGGTAATTCTGTTTCTTCTGCTCAGCCAGTAAGAATTAAATGGATCAGCTGTGCAAGAGTAGTAAAGGGGAAGAAATTATAGAATGGATGACAGATGAAGAAGAAATATTGACTTTTATTCCCAGAGTTCAGGCTGTCAGGCATGCAAATCCCTCCTCTTTTGCTGGGATTGACCGACAACAATCCCGTGTCTTGGTATTATCCCATCCTCACTTATCCTACAGCATTAAATGGGAATGGCTTGATAAGGGTGGTATACAGTGTGGGAGGAAAGGCTGCCTGAGAGTCAAAATTAAGGACAATAAAACCCCATAGAAAGCAGTGCAGCTAGCTCCACCTACAGGTTATATGGAAGCCCATTTGTGCCACTGTGATGAAAAAAATGAATAACCATGTAAGTAATTATAATGACAAACTATCAAAATAGTGATCTGAAAATAATTATTTTGCATCTCAAAATAAATGTATTGATGTAGTATTTTGAAATAAAAATATTGAGATACTAGGTCATTATTTTGAATGTTTCTCTTTATTTTGAGATGTTAACTCATTATTTCGAGATAACTTCTAATTATAATGACATGATCTTTTTTAATCGAAATGGGTCACCACTATTCATCAAAGCCACTCAGCTGATTTTGAATTAGGCCCATCTACCTGAAAGTACCGAATCAGTGTTCCCCTGCACCTGTAAACCCTTTGTGATTGTAAACAAGAGCCATAAAAGAGACAACTAGAGCTCGAATAAAAAAAACTCAAACATCTTGAACTAATATGAGCGGACGCGGGCAATGATTACCGTTCAACACCGGGATGAAGTGAAATTCCGTGCAGGCGGCTCACCGCATCTCATCCGCCCATCCCATCCGGCCAGCTGCCACATGCAGTAGTGGTGATGCTGCTCCCTGGTGCGTGGAGGAGAGAGCGCGTGTCCGCTGCCCAATGACAGCGCAGGATGCTGAGAGAGGCTGCTCGAGTGAATGGAGGCGACAATATGCCATCTAAAGCGGCGAAGGAGAGGAATTAACATCGATCAAGGTACATTCGCCTCTTTTATTTTACACCCACTCTATTCGCGTTTCATCATGGAAGCAAATGACACGTGCGTCTTTTTAGTTTTTTGAGCGTTTTTTGAGGGATTTAGCAGGAGAAAAAAGCACAAGCAATATGTGTATAAAAAAAAAAAAAAAAAACGTCAGGTGGTCGTTGATTGCATGGACACTACCAGACAGTGCTCACTTGATACATGATCATTTGCGTTTAAAGCAGTGTTGAAACGATAGAGCCGGGCCGTGTTTCAAAATAAAGGTTTCAGTCGGCTTCGCTACGGCGGGTTTAACTAGTATTGCATTGGTGTAGTCAGGTGCTCGACGCACACCACGCCGGAGCCATCGAAGATGTAGGCCCAATAAGATGTCAATTGGTCGACCGTGCATCCTATGCTGCATTAAATAGCCTCCTTTAGCCTGCACATCAGTCGGCAGACATTGGAATAAATATTAGAATTTAAAACAGAAACCCGTGTATAATTAAGATAAACATTTCGACGTTATTTTCCGTGCCTCTATTTGCATTCACAAGCAGAGCTGTTGTTGAACATTGGATTTTAGTGTACGGGTGAACAGGCCATTAGAAGCCGCACATAGGCCACATTTTGTCATCCATTCAACCAACCATTGAAGTCAGTGGGAAGCAGTGGGGGGGGGGGGGGGGTAGTAGAATACGTGGTGAGTGGGCTGCATGTGATGTGTTGCACTGGCTCAAGTAGCACTGCACCCTCACTGAACAGGCTGGCACTTCTTTTCTTTATTTTCAACCCATTGTAAAGGCTATATATAGAAAAAAAAATGCCCATTTTATGCCCTAGACATGTGCTCTGGCCTCAAAAGCACGTTCTCACTGTCACAGAACCCTGGTTTAGTAGTCTTATTCATATTTGTTAGAGGATAGGAACAAAATGTCTGCATGCCGGTTTTCAAAATGTCATGATCGCCTTTATAGAAATAGGGTCTCCCTGACCCCGCAGACTCGGCATCGCCTGTGGTGAAATCTTTCTGTCAGGACATCTGTATGCTCCTCGCTGTTAATGCACCACTGCTCTCTGAATTGCCAGTGATAATTTCTTCATGGCCTATACTGGCATTTGCTGTCCTACTGTAATACCTGAGCAGTGTGAGTATGATGCCTGGTCAGAAATGAAAGTAGGACATTGGCCATGAGTTTTAAAAAACAGAGTATGTAAGTAATAATACGCAGCAGTAATGCTTTATGCACCATTACTCTATTTATCATACATATCCTTTGTAAAGTTAACTGTTGAGTGGGGGTGGGGTGGAGGATTACAATTGGCCTTCTCAGCTGGCATCCCTTGTGGTGCTCCAGTATTATCAGCTTCTGCAATAAGATGATACCCTCTTATTGCACTTTGGTCTTTTCCCTCTGCCTGGCATACTGAGAACTGTGCTGTGGTGCTGTGTGTGTGCGAGATGCCCACTGTACTGGTACTGATGCAATTAGTCAAGTAATTCATTACTCAATTGAGAAAATTGCTGAAACTGCTTTTAAATAATTTATCCAACAAAAACACAAACTATTTGTTTTTGGATTTGCTGTTTTTTCACTCTATTATAATCTGCTAAAATCAGTCCTACATTGTATGGACTAAATGATGAATTGTTTTAATAATCATCAGACAGCCCTACACTGGATACTTTAACTTCTTTGATCAAACCAATTCTGTATTCCCATTCCACTGCAAATATCAAAGCTCCAGGAAATGAATCTGTCAACTCTCGGATTGTGGCACATGTGATTAGAGTGTATGCTGCTGTGTGGACAGAAAACAGAAACACCGAAACAAAGGCAAGACAACAGCAGTTAAGTGAATATGTTTGATGTTTGTGGTTTATTTCTAAGGTGGAAGCAATGTATGTAGTGTTGAGCATTTCTTTCAAGCGGGAACATTGGTCATCAACACAATGCAGTTTTACTCGGTTTAGCTTATGTCATCATCATGATTAATTAAAAAGATAATTTTTCTGGCATACAGTATGTGCCTTATATTAAAATGCTGACAGTTGAAATTGGCAGGAAACGAGGAGCGAGGGGCACGACATGCAACAAAGATGGAGCTGGAATTAAAGCATGAAAGTTGTGGTCACACGCTCACATCCCAGATCACTGGCCCACCAGCACCGGCACAGTTGGCATGATATTTTAAACTTTTCCCAACATCACATGACACGGTTTTCTTGTAATTCACAATTACAAAGGCAGCTACATAAATGAATCAGAGCTGAAGTTGAATACCACAGCTGTCAGCGTTAATAAGAGGGTTTTCAAGGTAAGATAAGTGAAATTAAAGAGGTACAAAACAACAACAGTGGTGACATTGATCAAGCCTAAAAATGATACCAACACATGAACACAGAACAGCTTCGTTAAAGGGAATAGATCTTAACAAACACTGACTGATATAGATGCTTCACAGGATGCTGTGCTTTATGCTGCAAACGGGCCTAAAAATGAGATGAGTCATCTAAACTAACAGCGATTCTAGATTATTATAAGACGTTTATGTTGTTTTGTCTGTTCTGGTCATTGCTGAATGCAGTTTTTTTCTCCTAAAACATTGACCAACCAGACTTCACAGACCTGATGTAGCAAGCTGGCCACTGTAGATAAGAGTTACATTGTTTGTTGTTCTAATGTCTGCATATTTAAAAATGTAATTTAATTTGCCAGTGTCTCTCAGAGGAACTAAAGACAAACAAGCAAGTTGTTTTACACCGTTTTTAGGCTTTGACTGTAGAATCGTAACACATTCTCTGCCCGAGACTTAAAACAAACTCTGGGTGATTTGCTCTGCCATTTTACATACGTACTTTCCCATCCAGCCAGACACCTTTTATTTAATATTACTAACACAGACGACAGTGTCCTGTCTGACCTCCACTGCCAGGCTGCAGTGATTGCCCTCCTGGCAAAGTATTTCCACACAGATGATGCTTCAGTGAGTGCAACTGAGTGTTCCTGTCATCCAAAGTCTCACCGGATTTTATACACAGAGGAGACCTGTTGACACATGTTTTTTTACGTGCCATGAATTGTCATTTCATCCGTCCCTCAAAAGGAAAAGAAAAGAATATACATGAAGTTAAAAACAGCTCCCATGAAGCCTACAGGCTGTCGCGTCACATTGGCACCGCTGCAACACACACACACACCATCTACATTTGGCCACGATTTTTTGGAAACTTCTGCAGCCGTTATATGTCAGAAGACCGAGGTGCTTCATCTCGGTTAGCCCAGGCATAGTCACCATGGCAACTGGGTCTGAGCAGCAAGTGTCACCTGAGGAGAGACAGTAACGGAGTTCACTTTGATGGAAGAGTCACATTTATTTTGTCCCACAGACGCTCCAATGTTCATCACCAGACTGCCTGTAATACTAACAACCTCCGACAGCGTCTTTGTCTCTAACATTTGTTGTTAAACTGCTTTTCTGTATTTTCCCTAAAAAGACATCTACCATAATGTAACAATGACACTGTCGCGGTGCGTAACCTCAAGCTTTCACATATTACAAACTGTGGTATGTCTCGTGCTTTGTCGAAGCTTGAGGTGGCATGAAATGGCATAACCGTTATTACAACATTAAAAATGAAGCCTCCCATATAATGGTCTCCTCATTAGCCAACAGGCTCTAGAATCCTTTGAGTTATGCTAATTTAATTAAAGTTGTGGCTGGAAAGTCTGTACAGTGCATTGAGAATTGCATAACATCATTGGTTATAAAATCATTGGAAGTCCCTTGTCTATTTTAATGAGAAGGTTTTATGTGTTTATGAGGCAATGCAATGCTGCAGAGGACTACTTTATGTCATATGCCATGGGCCTAATTATGTTAGCTGTCTTTTATAATTGATTTGTATTGCATTGAGTTGGGGACATTGTAATGGTTGCGTTGTTTGGCACAACACAGGAGGTGCATGTTGCTGTATTCAGGTGCTCTTTGTAGCATAGCTGTTGTGTTTCTGTGCGTTTCTGAAATGTTGATATTCTTTCACTTTGGTTCAGTTTCCAACACTTATTACAGTAATAAACACTGTATCCAAACATCACGGTGTTCTTTACAGAAAATATGAAAAGAGCTGATCAAGCAGGGAGCCACAGAGTCAAACATCATACTCACATAAACCGCTAATTCAGTCTTAACAGTATTACTGGATGCATTTATAGAAACTAATAACCACCTGATACATTTGAAGGGAATTAACTGTAGAAAGAACACAACCATCTCGTGCATTTTGTCATTACTTCGTAGGTATCATTATTTATCATTTCATTTACTGTTATAAAACAATTAGCCATCATGTATTAGAACAGATATAATAATGTGTCCTGTGTTTTAATGAGTTTATTATTTAGCTGTGGTTAAAATGCTGTCTTTCCTGACTGAAGTAGATGTGTTAATTGGATGTAAATAAATGTTATCTAGGAGAAATAGGAGCCACATAAAATGTGACAATTTGCTGCTGACGTTGACTAAAACAGTCTTAAAGCAAATATAAATATGTATTCCTTCAACCGTAGCATCTCGCAGGCCGAATCAGTTTGTTTTACTCTGCACAGTATCTGAGGGAATTGTACTGTGTAGTTATTTAAAGTGAATGCCTTTATTTCTTTGCCTTTTATCTGACACACAAACAGGTGTTAGCCATCTAACGGGTGCTTCTCTCCCGTTTCCTCAGATCTGACTTTGATGTGTTCCCACCATTAAGGAATGAAGTAAGTCACCCATGTGCAGTTCAGAGGGTCACAACAGTCCCACTTCAGCGCACCTCTGTTAAGGACCCCTCTGGTGGCTACACCGCCGATTCACAGGACATGTACGGCAGTGCCAGAGCTGTAGGCCATATAGAGAGCAGCCCCGCACGGTCCCCGCGCCTGCCAAGGTCCCCCAGACTGGGCCATCGGAGGGCCAACAGCGGGGGCGGGGGTGGTGCGGGGGGGAAGACGCTCTCCATGGAGAACATCCAGTCACTCAACGCTGCCTATGCTACTTCGGGGCCCATGTACCTGAGCGACCACGAGGGCGTGGGCTCCACTGCCACCTACCCAAAAGGCACTATGACTCTGGGTCGGGCCACCAGCCGGGCCATGTACGGGGGCCGCGTCACAGCCATGGGCAGCAGTCCGAACATCGCTTCAGTGGGGCTTCCCCATGGGGACCTTCTGTCTTACAGTGACCTGGGCTCCCTCTCCATGCTACACCACCACCCCCACCACCACCAGGGGGTGCCCTCTGCACTGCTGCGGCAGGCGGTGCGGGGCAGTGGTGGGGAGCTGCTGGAGATGCAGGTCCAGTTCAGGGACATGCTGAGGGAGAATGAGCTGCTGCGCCGGGAGCTTGACCTGAAGGACAGTAAGTTGGGATCTTCCACGAACAGCATCAAAAGCTTCTGGAGTCCTGAGCTGAAGAAGGAGAGGATCATGAGGAAAGAAGAGGCGGCTCGCACATCAATCCTTAAAGAGCAGATGAGAGTCAATCATGAGGAGAACCAGGTGAGACCATCCCTCTCAACTGTCATAATCCAGTCATGACTGCAGTGAATTTTAGTTTGCTACTCAGCTGTCTTTCTATTGTCTTCTTTGATCTGTGCGTCTCTGCTTTCACCATTCACTTCTGTGCAATAGACCACTGTCATCCTCGGTCCGGGAGTTCAAGAGAATTAATGCAGTCCGTGATGTTTGCGGTACTTGTTGAAACCTTTCTGGAGAGAGGTCTTTGTGCACATAAATATTTAACACGCACTCTCCTCGCATAGAACTCCAGTACAGAATCAATGACGGAGAGACCGCTTGAGCCAAATACAAAAAAAACTTTAATCTAGTTTTTGAAACACAAGCTAATATGCTGAGCATCGTGCCTTGTATGAAATCATTTTATAATCCATAATTCTGACCATGAAAACTTGCTCTTAGTTGTTTAATGATTAAGTGAAAAGAAACAATGATACTGCCAACTGGTGAATTGTAACTTCTGCATGCAATCTGGCCACAATGTTGATTATAGTTTGGTTTGAAAGGTTTTTATCAGATTGGCATAAGAGTGTGACATGTCAAAGTATGTTTTGCTTGCTTCAATGTGGGGGTTTAGTCATGGCCCAGTTAAATCAGTAAGTGACAAGAGTAGGCACAAGACCCAGAGACACATGTCAAGTATGCTTAAAAACTCTTTGTCTTAATCTATCGCTCTCCTCCCATTTCTACTGTCTTTCCTTCACTTACTCTGACTGTGATCATCTCTCACTGTCTACCTCTGTTAATCTGGCCTTCACCATCTTCAAGTAAACAACAGTCTGTTTTTCATCACTAAATTGCCCCGCGCATAAAGTCAAGTGAAAATAAGGTTCTTACAATGGAAATAACGCAGATATAAAATCAGCCAATCATCACTTGCTGCACTTGCTTTCAGTATGAGAATATAGTTCTTCTCTGTCACCAGACAGAACCATGGTTTAGTTTGATATGTCAGCTGCAGCACACACTGAGGTAGATTATGGAATAGGTCAGCGTTTTGCTTGACTGACTAGATTGAGCTCTACAGCGTTCTGTGTTTTGAGGCGGTTCTGTTGCGTGATGCAGCTGATTGTACCACACTTTGAGCAACGTAAAGGCCGGGTTTAGCCGGCAGTATGTGGTCTTCCTGGCGGTCTGTCTGCGTTTCGCTCTGTCTGGTTGAGTGATGCCGTCAGACACTGAGCAGCCAGTTGAGTAGGCCACTCATTACTCTACACTGTCTCTTCACCCTTCAAGGTCACAGTAGGTGACCATTAATAACAGAGACCCGTCTTGTCTTTGTTCATGTCTGCTTGTATTCTTGTGTATGAACATTCCCTTTTCTAGTCGTTTGTGGCTTACCTGATTTGACTGGAGGTTGAAGAGGCTGCCGTTTGCCACCTCATCCCTGAAGCAGTGCCGTGCTGCTGAATTGAAGGGTGTCGAGCACTCTGCCTCACAGTTCTACCTGCTGGTGATTCCTAGAGGGCAGCCGCTTCTGCTCGGATTCTTTTATATCGTTATGATTCATGAAAATGTGTAGGGACAGTGTTTAAGAGGAGAATGTGCCTGTTCAAGATAAACCATGCATTGCCACTGACAGGGCCTGAGCCATTCATCATTTCATTTATTCCTTATTCAGTACACAACGTGAATCCTTGTATATATTTTTAGTTTGGCGTCACACACTGTAGGAGCTGAATGTGTCCGGCAGAATATAAAAGCTGTACAGTGTGGGCTTTCATGCCTTTGTGCTCCATACAAGGAGAGGACTTTTTCTATTCCCAGCCTTGTCCGTCAGTGTTCGCTCTGAATGATATTTATGTCCCTCCTATTTGGGTTCATTAATGAAGTATGTCGGCTAATAAAAGGCGGATGTACCTTGTTGCTATAATTGGTCTTTTCTATCTTGATTTCTGGGCTGTGACGCGTTCTTACGTAAGTGTGAGTATACTTAACGGTGGGATGGTTTGAGAGGCTGACTGAGGAGCAAATTGCCTCATTAATAATGGAGTAATTTCAGGCCAATCATTAAATCTGTCTTATGGCACCTTTTACAATTGCATCAGGTGCCTCGGGCTTCTATTAGCTTGAGCAAATACCATGCATTATTAATTTTGTGAAAGATAAGACCTTGGAATGTGTGCTTCATTTGAAACAAGGAAAAGCATTTGTTCGTCGTTTGTTTGTCTTTCCTTTGTTTTGTAAAGCACTGACTCCACTGTGAGTGAAATACCAACCGTAGCCTGCAGAGCTTTAATCAACACGGTCGATGGTCAAGATTAGAGGTAGTCATTAGTGTAGGACTGTTTTGTGAGGCACATTTTGAATCTACTATGCAAATGGTTCAGGCTGCTATATATATATATATATATATATATATATATATACGGCTGATCCATTTGACTTGAATTCAGCAGAATGTGCTGTCGTGCTGAAGCTGGACAAGATCTGCTGGAGGCAAGTGTGTGAGCGAGAGCGGACCATATCTGACTGAGTCATGACCACTGCTGCTCAGCCACCCAGTCAGCCTTCATCAACGCAATCCCCAAAATGGAGGCTGAGCTTCCCGTATCACACTGCTCTGTCCGTGCATGGTTGGATACCTTGCCTCAGAGTCAAACATGACATTTTATTTGTATTCCTTACTGTGAGCTAGCGATTGGTACGTGCGACTGAGCACTAAAAGTGTGATGAACATATGATCAGGGTGGGGTCGTTGTGTTTCAGTAAAGTGTCAGGGGTTGGGTCTATTTTGAGCACATTGTAGATAAATGTGCATGTGGATGCACATACAGTAGGTGTGTACCGTACAGTATGTGGTGTGCATGTGGGCGGGGATGTTTGTGATGAGAGGCTTCTTCCCTTTGTTGTGCCAGCTGGTAATGTGTGTGTGCAGAGGTTTAGTCATCACCACCAGTCTGTATGTTTAGTCATTTGCACATATGATTCATATGTATGGTGATGCAGCAGGTGTGCAGCCCACACAGTACGTTGAGTTGATATTAAGCTCTCTTCAGTTGGTGGCAAACAAGCTTGCAGCAGTCACATAAACGTGATGGGCAAAGGTATTGATCTTTTCGGCGATGTCATGACATGGGGAGCTCAAGTGAGCACAGGAAGTATCATGTGAAACGTCTAAAGAGCTAATGGATATTTTTTTACTAATTGCAGGGTTGGCAGTTTGATCCCCGTTCCTCAAGTCCACATGTCGACAATGCGTTAAAGCTAGATGTTACTGCTCTTTGACATCTTATAGGCAGAAATGAACAAATTAGACATGCAAACTGTGTTTGTGTTTTGTAACAAGTACACAAGCTATGCAGGAATGATGGATGAAAGAAATGATTGTAAAACCAAAGTGTTCTAAGAAAAAGAGTACGTATACGTGTTCCTGATGGCTAACTGTATCTTCTGTAGCTGTGTGTCTTTATGTCTATACCTCTATCTGATGTTAGCAGTATCACATTCCACATGAATGTATGTAGCAGCTCATTAAGGATCATTGTCCTTGTTGTTCCTCTGCTCTGCATGGCTTGGAGCTTTGAGTGACTCTCCACTTTCCCACGTTGGGATGCCCACTGCGACGTGCTTTCATGAACTCAAATAGGAAAAAAAAAAGGTTGCTTGAACCAAAGGGTGTTTACCCCAAACATTATTTTGAATCCATACTTGCGTGAGAGTGGTTTTGTAATTTGAAAGGCGTTGATTGGTAAACATGGCTGTAGATGAAAGTCGGCCTTTATATCTATTTGAATGGTATATTGATTGGCTGAACTGCTAGGCTGGCTGTCTGGTTCTCATGCAACATTTCCAGTGAAATTACACAGCGTCTGGGTAATGATGAAGTGAGGCTGTATATCACTGAGTGTTTTGCATCAGTGTAGGGAAAGATTAAATAAATAGTATTAAATCACGTAGCTGTGATTCACAGAGCACATGCCAGAGCCTAACAGATGTGTTGTTGTGTGTGCAGCCTGTATTGTCCTCTTACAGCTGATGACATATAGGTTGCTGTCCCACTTCCGTAACGCTGTTGGATTCTGGGAAAAAAATATGCAGAGCGTCTATTTTCATCATTTAGCAATAGTTAGCTAGTCGACAGGCTTTTTTCTGTTATTTATTATTATTTTCAGTTTTTTTCAGTCGCAGTTTGGTTAGGTTTAGTTGACAAAACTACCTGGTGAGGTTTAGAACAAATATACAAGGCCTACAGTAGGCAACATATACACATACAGTATCTACTGTGACTCTGTGTGCTTGTCTCTGCCATGCTAATGTACATCAAATACATCAAAATGAATGCTAAAAAACCATAGGTATTGTCTTTTTTATGCCAATGTGTTCTTCTTGTCGAATATTGTCGCCAATGTTACCCACAATGCAGTTCAACTGCCATCAGTTTGGTTTGGAGACACAGGTGTGTTATGCTAGTTGTAGCTAATGTAAACAGACTTTATGTGTAAAGTGAGGGGAGTTCCCCTTTTGAGGAAAAGTATACTCAAAGTGCATTGCGGTCTTTTTTTGGTGTAAAATTTAACAGTAAGACTCATTATCATCCGTGTTATTGCTGGGGCTTAGAGTGCCATCTTTTATAGACCTTATGCTGTAAATACTAGTCAATACTTGTGTGTGCACCTAATATTACCCTTCACAGTGACACTTAATTAAAGGAAGCATAACTGGGCAGTGATCAGTAAACAAGAATATGAATATAAATATGAATGAAATATATTAAATGCTCCTCTGCAGACTGGATGAACTCTTATAAATACTGTAAAGAAAATATATTTCAGAATTCAGTGTTACTTAAGTCTGCATTCAGAGCGCTCTCTACCTTACTTTCAGCTGAGTGGAGATGAATAAATGCCACGTCTGCTGGCATGGCTGTGGGTGTAATTCTATATTGTCAGACATCACGACATACAACATTGAGATTAGGGATGCAGTGAGCAGTAGGTTGCTCTGACTCAGCGCCTTGGAGCTGTCGTCCATCTGTCGGATACAAACTCCCACTCTCTCTTAACACACACACACACACACACACACACACACACACACACACACACACACATACAGGAGACGCATATAGCTGCTCTCGCCTGTGCAGCCTGGTAAAAGACTTGAATGTCACCAGCATAAGTATCTATCTACAGAGTAGTTTTGAGTTAATGTGTTACATGTCCACCACTTTGGTCCAGACTGACAGCAATCACTGGATGAATTGCCAGGAAATTCAGTCTAGATATTCATGGTCCACAGAGGATGAAACCTAGTGATTTTGGGAATCTCCAGACTTTCTCTATAGCACGACATTTATGGTTTTGACAGAAATTTCTCAACAATTATTGGATGGATTATCTAGAAATTTGGTAAAGACTTTCATATTTCCTTTAGGATCAGGTACTTTGATGAACTCTGACTTTTTTTGTATATTGCCATCATCCGGTCAAATTTCAAATTTATCCAGTTATTTAGTTTATCACCAAATACCTGCGATACTAATGACATTCCCTTTAGCTGCAGCTTTGTGTCTGTTGCTAACTAGAAAACATTATGCTTACCTGCTAAACTAATATTGTGAACATAGTAAACATTATATCTGCAAAAGATCAGTATCTGCAGTATGAAAGCACTGCTGTGCAGAACACCGAGCAGCTAACCTGTAGACTCTTAGTCGTGTTAATTTAACATTTTGCTCCACATGATAAAACACTACAGTATACTTGGGTATGTGTAATTAGCCGACATCTGCACATATAGCTTTTACAATTTTGAGAGGGGTTTTGGGGGGAAAAATTGAAAGAATTTTCCAATTTCTTGTCTATTGCAGCTCTCAGAAGGAATTTGTGTTCCTGCACAAAAGGATTTATGACAGGCAGTTACCCTTCTCCTTCACTCTGTGAAAGCTCTGGAAGCTGTTTTTCAGGTTACGCTGCAAAAGAAAAGCCTTCTCTTGAGTCAGGATGACCACAACGCCAATATCCGCTGAGTCATGACTGACTCAGAGGAACTGGGACAGTTTTTTTCTGCTGTAGATGTCGGAAGGAAAGGCCATACAGTCTTTTTAAACCACAGTGCAATTATGCACTGGAATCGCTGCAATTTAGTTCCAAGACAGCAGGTTATTGATCAGGACAGAGAGAGGGGTACGGATGAGGACGGGAGAGGGACCAGTGTCAGGTGAGATTAGAGAGAGAGAAGATATGAGGAGAGAGAAAAGGGTTGTTTTAACAGTTTGAATATTCAATGGATTTAGCACAAGTAGGGTAGCAGCAGGCCAATATTTGCAGCAGCCTATTCTATACTTTTTTACAGTATGTATGTTTTTTTTCTATACACTTTCTATATGTTATCATAAGGACTATTCCACATGTATGAGGAATATAGCTGTTGTATTGAAACTTGTTTGTCAGTAAAAAACAAAGGGAGGTTTGACAGTATATAGACCCGTTCTTTATTGTGACAGTAGGAATGACAGAAGGTAAATGAACGAGAGTACACTCAGTGTGAAATTGAGAAGTTAAGACATATTAAGTGGTTTCTGTTGCCGGCCCAAATGGCACTGACTCTCCGAAGTGAGTGTGACCAGAACTGTTGTCAGCAGAACAATTCATCAGCTCCTCTATCTAATACAAACACTGCCCCCTGATGGTTTGAGGAGCACATGTGTACACTATCCTGTACAGTCTCAGGGCATTGGAAGAAGGCGTATGGCTGCCCTCCATCCTGTCTGTTCTGTACTGAGGAAGAGAGCCAACAAGATATGTTAGAGCGATGGAAAAACAGATTCAGTTTTTTACTTTGGTATTTGTCCTTTAGTTATGTTCAAGATTAATGTGCTGCTGTTTTATCCTGCGGCGTTAATAGCATCAATAAATCAGAGCTGCAACTGATGACTGTTTTATTTATGGATTCATCTCACGATTGTGTTCTCGACTAATTGTTTGGTCTGTAAATGACAGAATTTACAAATATTTATGTTTGAGAAGCTGCAATCAGAAAATGCATTTTTAAGCATTCTTGCTTGAAAATTACTTACATTTTTAATCAGTTCTAAAAGTAGTGGGCGATTTATTAACTAGCTAATGAATCTGACTAGTAAATTAATTTAGTATTTGTTTGTGATCGAGCTATTATTTTTCTTACACATACAGGATGTTTGGCAGTGAGATACAGTATGTGCATTATAAAGTATAGGAATATCAGCAAGTTATAGTCTTATGAAGCCCAAAGAAAAATAAATGTGACTTGGAAATTATTTATGACAGAATAAAACCGCACCAAACCAAGTTATTAATGTCAATGCCGTTTAAAACTTTATCTTCATAATTTTCCAGAAAGGTAATCTCAACAAGTAATATTTTTCCTGTGGGTATATTGTGAATATAATTTGTTGTGACTGAGGGCTGAAGGATGATTTCGAGACAGCTGGGTGTCTTTCATTTAAAATCTCTGGCTGGTTTGTGTTGATCATCCGTCTCTGTTGCATCATGCTCTGACGCTCTGACGCTCTGTTTTTACCATGCATTTGTTTTTCTGTTCATTCTGCCCATGCTCCGCAGCTGCTGGATGCCAGGAGAACCAAGGTTTGTCCCTATGTTTGCACCACGTGTTGTGTGCACAACATAGAGTCACCTTCAGTGTGGCGTGTATTTTCACCTGGCAATCCCTTTGCGCCATTACAACCTCCTCTCCTTCAAACCTCTGAAAGGAAGTGAACTCCTTGTGAACCCTCATATGTTCCCCTATAAACTATAAACTTCCAAGAGTGATGGGTTTGTTCAATTGTGTCAATCCGAATGTGTGTGGTGCTCCTTCCCCCTGCGGTACCACAAACCCTACAACCTCAGACTGCCTGTAAAGTGGGTTTAACAATCTGCTTGCTCTCCTCTAAATCCTGATTGGGCCATTTTCTGAACATAGATTGATCTCTCTCTGGAGATATCTGCTGGAAGATAATGTCAACAGGCAAGACCAAGCCTGAGTCAATCTGTGACAGAAACTCGGCCCCAATAGTGTTCCCATGAACCCAGAACCAACACCCCTTCACACAAAGAAATATAGTAGGCTTAACAGTGTGTGTTTTTATTTGTATTTGATCCTGGACACTCAAAAACAAGTACGCGTTTTTTCAAGACATTACTGTGCCTACTCTATAGTGCAAACCAACTATAGGTTCTGTTGTGGTGTCTGTATATTCATCTAAAATGTTTGACTCCTTGTCCACCAACGATAACGGCTCAATAATATAACCATATGCGTACAGTATTTACCAGATGCCACCGCTGAGATTTGAATCACAGTATTTGTATCCAGGCTGACTGTCAGAGAGCAAAGACCTCTGCTGCACTGCAGGGAAGCATCTTCAGCTGTGATAAGCACGCTAACAACCTCATTAATTCTGTCTAAAACAGAGCAACCTAATAAATGAATAGGCTTGACAGCTGTGATTTATTGTAAGCCATAATATACGTATATATGACTCCAAAGGATTCAAATTTGATCCTTTTTCCAGAATGGAGAAAAATATCCCATGAAAAAATAGTTTACAGTCTATTTGCTCCTAAGGAGTGGGAAGTTCCCCCTGTTTGACCTGCTGTCGCATTTTTCCACAGAACCGCGTGCACAAGCATTTTAGAAATGTGTTTATCTGTGTCTACCCTCATGTGTAGTGTTGCCATGAAAAACTTTGCTTTGTGTTTATTCCTGAAATGAATTTCAATACACAGACTCTCTTTCAGCATCTCCAGATGACTATCCAGGCTCTTCAGGACGAGGTGCGCACACAACGAGACCTGAACCACCTGCTGCAGCAGGAGGGCATCAACCGCTCCGACCACTACACCACCATCGAGCTGACGGAGGAGAACTTCCGTCGGCTGCAGGCCGAACACGACAGGCAGGCCAAGGAGCTCTTCTTGCTGAGAAAGACACTTGAGGAGATGGAGCTGAGGATCGAGACCCAGAAACAGACACTCGGAGCAAGGGACGAGTCCATTAAGAAGCTGCTGGAGATGCTGCAGAGCAAAGGGCTGCCCCCGGGGCCGGGCAGGGCGTCTGAGGAGGAGGAGCACGAGAGAGCTCGGCGCATCGCTGAGGCGGAGGCCCAGCTCGGACACCTGGAGGTCATTCTGGATCAGAAGGACAAGGAGAACATCCATCTGCGAGAGGTAGTCTATGACCAGGGTTGTGTTGATATTAATTACATTAATTAGATTCACTGTACAAGGCTGAACATTTACAGTTTGTTCTCACTAGAGGGCAGTGCTGAGTCTCTCATAATCAACGTGCTCTATTCTACAGCTCCTATTGTAGCATGTCGATTATGTAATGGACAAAGTGAAAACTGCAGAACACATTAGTTGCATTAAACGTTTTGCGTGTATAAAAGACAAACTTAAAATGCATTTTTAGTGTTTACATTTTTCTTTTGACTATTTTAGTCATATAATCCAGCTTTCAGTAGAGCTTACATTATGTTCTGCTGTTCTGGTGCATCATAATGTGTCTTTTCTAAAAGGAACTACACAGAAGAAATCAGCTGCATCAAGATCCAGGCAAAACCAAGGCCCTGCAGACCATCATAGAGATGAAAGTAAGAACCTGACTCATGATATACAGCCTGACTGTAACCACAGCAGCAGTCACCATTAGAAAGAACATCTTTAAATATCCTCAAAATATCATTAGGGTTATTGATATGTTGTTTATTATTTTATCCAGCTAGAATATTTTTACTATGAAGGTTCCTCCAACTATGGCTGTATACAAACAAACAAGCTAACCATGAATGGTTTGTCTAAAGCCAGATGTTATAAGACAGATGTTTCTCTATATGTGTTTGGTTGTATTATGTAAACTGCTGCATGTCTAAACAGATCTGGTGTGTGTTCTACTAAATCTATTGTCGTCATTGTGATCATCAGCAGCTGAGTCAATAGTAGACACATCTCTCTATCTCTCTCTCACACACAGACACCCAGACACACTGTGCATGTGCTCACAATGCAGTCGTGTAAACATTAACAATCAATATTACTGTTCAACATTACAGCTGTCGTTGCTGGAGAGGTGCAGCAGCAGCCAGTCATGCCAAGCTGCATCACACTTGTTTCATGACAAGCAATGGCATATTTAACGTCAATAATGAAACAACACAGACTGCAGGTTCATCATTTCAGCTTCACTTTGTGCAGAGCTTTGTTTTACGTTTTCCCTCAACGTTTTTGAAGACACAGAAATATGCAAAGCTGAAATACAGCTAAATGTTTGACAAATGATGCACGAGATATTTAGAATTTTCTATTTGATGTAAGCTGGTTGTCCAGGTCTTAAAAGTGCATCTTTGATTTGAATAATTCACTTAAAATATAACGAGAGAAAGAATATGTATGTAATGTTTGATGTAACTTTAAAGCTTCAGGGGAAACTTAATGGTCATTTAAATATTGGGACAAACATTCATATTACATAAAAGATATTTAAGAAGGTGGACTGCAGTTTTAGAGACCCCACCCATCACCATCGAGTGTGGTTGCCTTCAGCTCAAGCAAATGAAATTTGACATACATATTGCATTCTTTCAAACTGATGCAGCTGTAATATGCAAATATGATTTTATAAAAATGTCTATTCAGATGAACACTTGTTGTGCGGCTGAGCTGTACCAGTGTTGTACCGCTGTAGACTCCACCAGCCTCACTGCAGAGGCCTGACATCACTTCCTCAAAATAAATCATGACATCATCGCTGAGCTGACACAGCCCCTCTCACTCGGCTGAATCGGCACTGTGTGTGCAGGCCCCAGCCTTCACCCAACGCGGTCATGTGACATCTGTGCTCTGGGATCTTGTTGATTTGCATACAGAGCGAGGGAAGACCCGCCTCTTCCTCCTCCTGTGCTGTGCAGGAAGACCCTGCATCTCTCCCCTCTCCTCACTCCCTCTTGCTGTGTTGGTGCTGATGCTGAAGCACGAATAATCCTCCCTCCCCGTCTTCCCTTCATCCCTCCCGCCCTCTCCTCCTCACTCACCAGAAGCAGTGCACGGTATATAGCCTGCCTGCTGCTACCATGGAAACAGGTGTGGTTGTTTATGACAGCGAGAGGCCAGTATGCAGGGAGATAGATAGGACGAGAGACACACAGAGGCAGGGAAAGAGAGATAAAGAGCAAGATTTACTGACCAGGTCGATGTGCCAGTGGATGGAATAAAATCTCCCTCCTTTGAAGGTACGGTGTCTATCTATTGCAGCGACGTTAGTTCATTGATGTTCGTCTCGTAACAGAGAGACTGAGGTGAGATGCAGCGGCAGTGCGAAGTAGATGTACATGTGCAGTGTTTATGCATTAACTCCTGAGATCCTTCGCGGTTAGTCCATCGTTCCTCACTGCGATACATTTCCCAAGTTCCTCTGCAGCGGGCTGTGACTGACCCCGCTAACAGCCACAAGTTCAGAAGTTCAGAGCCACGAGGAGGAAAGAAGGAGAGACACAAAAAGAGAGAAAGGAACAAGGTTGCTCTATGCTCTGCTGGCGAGGGAGATGGACCATGGCTAATCTTAAAGACGTATTATTTATTTAAAAAGCCGTGAAGCTAAAGCTGCGCTCACAGTCGCAGTCCAGAGACTGGATTCTTCATTGATCTGCAAGCAACTACGGCAAAAGCTACAGCTTGTTACTTTTCTTCCTCACGTTTCTCTCCAGTCCTGGCTGATCTCTCCATGCTGGATGTGTGCTCAATATTTCCCAATGGTGATTACTCCTCTGAGCGGCTGCAAGGAGCTGGGTGGAAAGCTTCTGATTTCACCGACAGATACTGCAGTTGCTCTCAGCCACACCAAAGGGCTTCTTCCAGTCTCTCTTTATCGTGCTACATCTTTCTTTCTCACTCCCTCTGTCTTTTAGTCTCTATATCTTTTTTTTAGTTTTTGTCAATCTTTCTGTCTGTTCTGGACTCTCGTATCGATTTCAGTTTCATTTGCATTATAGAACTGAAAAAAGACATGCCAGTCTGGGTTTTGAGGTGTGTCTCCTCTGCATGTTTGTGTGCAGGACACCAAAATTGCTTCTCTGGAGCGCAACATTCGAGATCTGGAGGATGAGATTCAAATGCTGAAGGCGAACGGCTTACTGAACACAGAGGACAGAGAAGAGGAGATCAAACAGATGGAGGTCTACAAGAACCACTCTAAGTTTATGAAGGCCAAGGTACCGTCTGCACTATGCATGAAATACAGATCCTGTTAAAAATGTGGCTGGAAAAACGAACACGATTGAGTAGTTCGGGATGCAGATAGAGCTGTGCAGATAGGAGAATGCTAAATTAAGCTGATGTGTCTCTGCTTTAGCATTCAGTGTCATCAGCAAAGTGCCCTGATGGCAACTATCTGAGGGATGCTTCTTTGCTGTTTTTTTTAATTAATTTTTTTAAAGAGCTCAGTGTCAAGAATACCAAAAAAGGCTAAATCAGCAAGCGCATGCTTTGGCATAAATAAATACTTATCATTTCTTCCTTCCGCACGTATAAAAGCCTGTTACTTTATTATTACGCTGTCAACAGACTATTGTGACTTACATTATGTTCAAAGAATGAAGCACGCCCGCCAAGTGATAGGTTCGTTTTTATTAAACAGACTTTACCTGCTTTGGTTTTCAGATCAGTGTTTTTATCCGCCCACTCCCCATGAAGACATGATGACTTGTGTTATATTAGTTAGAGCCACACTGTCAACACACCAGCCGAGCTACCGGAAATCTGTGATCGTATCAAGGTGCATGTGTCTGCCGTTCTCTGAGGCTCATATGTCTCTCCGGAGCTTTGACTCCGTGTTTACATACCGCTCCTCACATCAGTCGACCGGGCGTAGACCTGCCTCAGTTTTGTTGTTCTATTTTTAGACTTCTCTTCATTAATCATGAATAGAGATGATGTATAATATATGATGAATGCAGGGGAGTTAGTCCCAAATGCATTTTTAATGGGAAAATGCATTGATGAAAATAGCAATAGCCGTACTGACTAGCTCACTGTCGACTAACAAGAGGTTTCCCACACATTGTCGAACACGCACACATGCACACGCTGTGATGGTATAACATTACAATGCTCATATATAGTGCTCATGTAAATGGTTGTTTCACGTGTCTGTAGATTGACCAGCTGAAGCAGGAGTTGTCAAAGAAGGAGTCGGAGCTGCTGGCTCTGCAGACAAAACTAGAGACCCTCAACAACCAGAACTCCGACTGCAAACAGCATATCGAGGTGCTAAAAGAGTCTCTCACTGCCAAGGAGCAACGTGCTGCCATCCTTCAAACAGAGGTAATGGAAGTTGTTTGTTCACATACATTAAATCAACCTAACAATACACTGCCTCACAAACATTTTCATACTCCAAGCCAAACTGAGCAAATAATAGGCTTGCCCTGAGCCCGAGGCTTATTACGGGAAATCATATCAGCAATTTATTTACTTTGGGACTAACTTACCGTGACTCAAGGTACCACCAAAGTAATGCGCAGTGTACTGTCCCAGCACATCTAATAAACATTGAAAACATCAAATAGCTGCACTAATACATAAATCACTGTGGAAGCATTACGGTAACTGTGATGCACGAACTGAAAATCATCACCACATTAATAAATACCTGCTCAGCACCCGTGTTCCTTTGCAATTGTATGTAGATTAAGTTTAATACTTAAAAGATTATTGTATTGTAAGCACACTCACTGCTGGGACTGCCCCCCTTAGTCTGTTAGTGGACTAATCGCTTGTTTTGGTCTTAGTCAACCAATATTTCTTCAGTCGATTGGTCATTTTTTAATGCTTTTTCATGCCGAATGAGTAATTTCCAAGGAACTTATGAGCACATTAACACAAGATTCAAAGTAATGCTTTTGTGTGATTCTTTGTGGAGATTTACTTCGCTGATTAAATCAACCAACCAATAAGTCGACAGAGTCGCATGAGTGTTGGTCAACTAAGAATTTCTTTGGTCGAGGACAGCCCTACTCACTACAGTGTGTGTTTCGGGCCGTGTCTTGCTTCAGGTGGATGCTCTACGTCTGCGTCTGGAGGAGAAAGAGTCCTTCCTGAACAAGAAAACCAAGCAGCTGCAGGACTTGACGGAGGAGAAGGGAACTCTCGCCGGGGAAATCAGGGACATGAAGGACATGCTGGAGGTCAAAGAAAGAAAGATCAATGTCCTGCAGAAGAAGGTGAGCATTAGAGTTGAAGAAAGCTTTGCCATTTAGGGTGCGAGAATACAAACTGAGGAAATAACCATTCACTAACCACGTTATTGTTACATTATTTATCGGTTACACCGAACTGTGGTGAGTAGGCGATGGTCTATGCCGGTGCACTCCAAGTGTAATTCGAAATGAACGACGAGCGTAATCAGTTAGACTCTTGTGTCCTGGACTAAACCTGTCACTCTGTGGAAATACAAAGCAGAGTGGATACTCTCTCCATTTAGAGAGAGAGAGTCTCTGTTGCTCTCAGGGGGAAAGTGTCCATAGAAAGACAAGCTAGAAGATATTTCTGCCTCACTGACTCTTGTATGTGTGTGTGCTATAAATACCCACAGAGTGTTACTCCCTCTCTCACCCTGACCTGCTCACCCATTCCCGTTGCTTCTTTTTCTCTCCTCTCTTGTTCTATCACACCTCCTCTCCCTCATCCGTCCACTTTTATCTCTCGTGATTTCTAAATCTTTGTTTCCCTTCTGATGCGGTTGATAATTCGGTTTTGTTTCTCTGCTGTGTCAATCATATAAAATAAAATAATAGATCAGAGCACATTTTAATGTCTTTAAATAGTTGTGTTTTTGCATTAGTCTTAATGCACAATTCCTACTTTCTCCCAGATGGCAGCTTGATTTATATTCTGTTCTGCTCTTTATTCTGCTTCTCAAACTCTTCTTAAACGTCTGGCAGCTTTTGATGTATTTCTTGAAATAGAAAATGCTTCGCTGTAAAGCCCCAGCACATTTCAAACTTTGAACATGACGTTGTCTGTAGTGGGTATTAATCATCAAAGAATTGAGTAATCTCTGAGTCCAGCTATAACACCAACTTTAAACACCATCCTCCCGGTCTCCTCCTCCTCGCTGTATCAGATTGAGAACCTGCAGGAGCAGCTGCGGGACAAAGACAAGCAGCTGGGGAACCTGAAGGACAGGGTCAAGTCTCTGCAGACCGACTCCAGTAACACAGACACTGCCCTGGCCACCCTGGAGGAGGCGCTGTCAGAGAAGGTATAGTACAGTACTGCACTTTAGCATTAGGATTAGCATGCAATGAGTGTGCACGGTTGGGATGTGAACAGCAGTTGGTGTCTGTCCCACTCACTGGAATTGGGTTTGATTTTAGGACATGCATCTATGAAACTGCTAAAAATCAAAATTTTTGACTGATTTTGGTAAAAGTCAGACATTTTAGGAACACACTTTTCGCTAGAGTTAAATGAGATGAAAACGTTGATAACTGTACAGTAAATATAAAACTATCACCAGCAGAGACTCCATGAAGTTACTGCTCCAGACCAAGAAAAAGTCTGGCACATAACGGCGAATTGATTTGTCTGTTACAGATCAACCAAACAAGACAGAATGTGTAAATTAGTCAGATTTAGGTTTTTTAGGTTTAGGTGGATTTTATTTGGACAGAGACAGGCTAGCTGTATGCTAATCTAGGTTAGCTGCCTGTAGGTGGTAGCTTCATACTTGTGTACTAATATGACTGGTATCAATCGTCTCCTCTAATTATCAGCAAGAAAGCAGATAAGAGTATTTCCCAAACTTTTCCTTTAAATCAAAGATTAAAGTAATAACCCTTCACGTTTAGGCCTACTCGCAAACTTAAGCTTTTGTTTATGACATTTCTCACAACTTAAAGGTGTCACTTGACAGCTGCTCTGAAAGCTTACTCTTACACTTTAGTCTTAAGTCGCTTGACAAATGTGTCTTATTGCTCACGCTCAGCTAAGACTCTTTAAACTCCTAAATTGTCTCTTTAAAGCATTCTTAAATGTAACTCCCTTAATTCATTTTGTGTATGTGTGTGCGTTAGGAGAGGATTATAGAGCGTTTAAAGGACCAAAGGGAGAGGGAAGACAGAGAACGTCTGGAAGAAGTGGATTCATATAGGAAGGAGAACAAGGACCTGAAGGAAAGGGTCAACAGCCTGCAGATAGAATTAACAGATAAAGAGGTCAGTGAGTATGCATGGAGCAAAGAGATGTGTGTATGGGTGTGTCCACATGGCTGCATATTCTACACATGCTGTGCGTTTATGTTTCTCTACTCTACTGTTTTGTGCAGTATATTTTGTCTTTATATGACATTTAAGCTGTGGCACTTTGGTGCAGTTAGTACTGGTTTGAACCTGTGCTCACTGTCTGTCCACCTGCAGTCCTGTCTCATCGATTTAAAGGAACACGCTTCATCGCTGGCATCCTCTGGCCTCAAGAGGGATTCAAAGCTCAAGTCACTGGAGATCGCTATCGAGCAGAAAAAAGAGGAGTGTAGTAAGTTGGAGACGCAGTTGCAGAAGGTAGGTGTGCGTTTCACAGTGCAGAAACATATTTTGATTTAATGAAATGGGTGACTACTCATATTGAACCTTGATATTGAGTCAGTTCCTAGTTTTTTACAGGACAGTTATATAGTTCTCGACACAGATAGTCATCCTCCCCTTTTGTAGCACTGGACTCAGATTTACGTCATTCTGTCAACATTGGTGTTGCAGTTAAAGAGGGAAAAATCTGCAGTCGTAATTTACGGCTAAAAAACACTTATGCACTTATACAAGAAACATAGACTCCATAATTAAAAAGCATACCCACCTACCCCGTATGCCCTATAGCTATACCCATTAGCTGCACACGGAAAGTATAAACAAGTACAGTTGATAAGAAACAGACTAAATTGAAAGCATTATGAAATTATTAACATGTATTGTTGTTGTGTAATGAGGAAGAGGTTCAGGAGAGAAGTTGGCTATTTTATTCACCAAAACACTCAACAATTTTTGGCTGAGCTGTGGGGAGCTTCTCTGTCCTGAATGAAGTCTTGAGAGATGTCCCTCATTAATTGCACTGAACTTTAGATAACAACCAATGCTTGCTTGTCCACTGTGAACAAAATAATTAGCTCACTGTGAGTCCAGGAACCTCTTAGACTTTAAAGTGGTTATAGACTTCACCAATTGTGAATTATTCCTTTTATTCTTAGAATTTACAGAGTTTGGTGTCTTTTCTTTCCCTGCTCGTATATTTCTGTAGCTGAGGGCTGACACTGTGTGTTATTTTCATGAAGGATCATTTTGAATGACTAATCTCAAATTCCTCAACAGAACACACTTTATGTGTATATATAACAAGGTGAAATGCTAATTCCTATTCTGTTACTATCACTGTAAACTGGACTGAACCAGAAACGTGAACCTGCCTTATATAAAACACAGTTAATTAGGATAATAGCTACCATCATGCTTTCTCTCCTGTAACGGGCTGCACTGCTTCGATAGGTCGCTGCAGAGAACGGACCATTATAGACCCTCCCTCGCCTCCTCCTACTCCATAATCCTCTGACTATCCCTGTGTCTGTTCCTCTGCATTTGTCCGTGATGTGTAGCCCTTAACCTGTAACAACATGTGCTGTACTGAGACTCTGTTACTGCTCTGTCAAACATGTATTGTAACATGTCTGATCCTGCTGTTCTCTCCTCTGGCTCAGACTAAATCCTAACACTTACTCTCCCGCCCTACTCCCTTCCTCAACCCCTCCGTTTGCAATGTAGCAAGCTGAGCAGCTATTCAGTCACATGAACAATCCTGTAAGTCCCTCTCTTGAGCTCTCTGAGGCACATATTGAAAGCATGAGGACCACTGATAACTTCTTTGAAACATGCTATATGGTGATAATGCCAGCCCTAAGTATAGGTTCTCCTTTCACCCACTGAGCCACCCAGATGCATGTCGATCATCGCACTGTACTGATATAATGAGCTTTATACTGCACTCACAGTCCTGTGCAACGTACTCATTCTGCAACTATTTGTGTTTGTGACACATGTGGTGAGACTGGTGCAACATATGCAGTATTTAAAGTTCACTTTATTTGGTCAGTTGGAATTATACAGTATATATATATTTATTCTCTTCTAATTGTGGCTCTGTACTTGGTTTATCTGTGATTAGTTTGTTTAACTACAGTGTGATTTTCTTATTCTTGCACATATAAGAGAAAAAAGGCTCTGCACACTTTTGTCCAATGAAAGAATTTAAAGATAAGGCTAAAGTGATCAGTCACCAGACCTTTATCATGTTTGAGAGCAGGATATCGAAGAGCCTCAATCCATATTAAGCATCAATTTCTTCACAAAGGCTACTCGGATATTGTATGTAATGGAAGTCAAAGGACATGACCAGAGGGGGTTCACTTCTGATTAATCTTACAATCGTGCAACAATGTAATGACCTGTGAAGCCATTTCCATTCGTTACTGAATGATGTTATAAGATGACTTTGAAGTACTTTGATTTTTGTCTTTTTAAAAATCAAATCGAGTTTATTTAGAATCCCCATAAACATCCAATTCAAGCTTTAAATAGTTATGAGGGATGCACTGATACAGATTTTATTTTAAAGCTGATACTCACTTATACCGCTGATGCATTCTTGTGGTGTTTAGTAAAATCCCAGGTACAAAACAGGTTAAGCTTCAATTATCCTGAGCTCCTTCATTTTGTGTATAGGTGTACAATATATCACAGAAACAGAGGATAAATCAATACAGAAACAAATCGGGAAAATAAAATAATAAAATACCAAAGCCATTAAAAGTGGAGTACCTAAAACCCTCATTAAAACCTCATCTTTAGCACAATTCTCTCATCAAAGTCCACATTTATACCCACAGGCTGAATGGAATCTAATTTCTATGTCCAACAAAGATAAACATCCACATTGATTAGTGGATCTAAAATAACTTGATGTATATTTTACAATTTGAATAATTGAGAAACATCTCCCACAAGCTAAATCCTAACATCGCTCCTCATGCTTAAAATATGAGACTTACTGTTAGCCGACAGATTAACTGGGTCCCTGTTGCTTCTGTTTCTCCATTATTTTGACTGAAAATCGCAAAGACTGTGCAGCTTCGTTGGGTTTGCATGACATAGTCGACCTTGTTGCATGTTGTCACTGTCAGTGTTGCCGCGCTTTTCTCTCGTCTCAGTGTGGTGCGGTTAGCTGAGGTATCAGTCGTGGTTGGAGATCACTGCAGTGTTTTGGTGGATGCTCTCTGGCTCTGTACAACTCTTGCACTTTTGCGACCTGTGTTGACATGTGTGGCTGAATATTCTCTCAAGGGTGATGTGTGTACCACTGTATTGTACTTCATAGAGAGTTACAAACTGTAATAATGGTGAAAATAGTCCATATTGATCGAGCAGTAAAGCTCTGATTAGTTTGACAGGTAACCAAAGAGTCAGGTTCATGATTTAGCATTTCACTGCAGCTAATTTGCTAGCATTTTTTGATCGGTAAAGTGCTGCACAAACACACAGATACACAGTCCTGCATTCTGCACGCTCACCAATTGTACAAAGTGACTGGGAGTCTCAGGAGGCTGTTAAATGGAGCTAAATAATAGCTCTGTTAAAGCTAATGAGCCAGCACCAGTAATGATGCCCTTGTTCGCAACATTTTACTTATTCATTCAGAAAGAGACAGAGAGAGAGCAAGGGGAGTGGTTAAAATAAGACAGTGATGGACTGCAGTGTACTGTATGTATCTCTCTTCCTTGGGCAGTAAAACATTCTGTGCTGTACTGCATGGTTGTGTTGATGTTATAATGTTAACTGAGTGTATCTTCGGGTGTGTGCATATGTGCATGTTTGTTTGTATCTTTCCCTGGCTCATGGATGCAGAAGGCCCATGAGGTGGAGCAGCAGTCCGGCCCCAGAGGGAACCCAGAGTACGTGGACCGAGTGAAGCTGCTGGAGAAGGAGGTGAGCTACTACAAGGACGAGGTCAACAAGGCTCAGACGGAGGTGGAGAGACTCCTGGACATCCTGCGAGAGGTTGAGACTGAGAAGAATGACAAGGATAAGAAGATCGCTGAGTTGGAAAGGTAAATAAATCTGACTGTCTAGACTTAAGTTAGTGAAGTATTCAAAGGCATCTTAAAGTAAATCTATCTGTATGCTATTTCAGCAAAATTGTGATATTATCACATTACATTAATTTTGCAGAAGCATTTGTCCAAAGCTACTGATAATATGTGCATTCAAGCTTGATAGGAAGAAGTGCTGTCGTTATCACTCTGTCCTCAGCTCCGAACCAAGAGATGCAATACTACAAACATACGATATATAACAAAACAAGAAACAACAAAGAGAGAGACCCACACTCAAAAAGAAAAGAAAACGATCCCTTTCTATATGTACTGTGTACATCCTGTTTTCCCTATTGTTGTCATCACTATTATAGTAATAGTTTTGGGTTTATCTGCTTTGCTTTTTTTTATTTTGGTCACTGAGATTTCTGCCTTTCTGTGAGCTGACTAAATGTCTAAATGAACTTCCTTGTGTCTTTGTATACTGTACATGTACTGTCATTTTTCTGTTCTCATGTACCAGTGTGACATCATGAGTTTGTGTCGGCACAGTGTCCTGCACTGGATCCAGTCCCTGGCTTTTATAATACACTCAGAAATACATGAACACACCTTTCCTGGGAGGCATGTAGAGATACACACAGAAGGTTCTCTTTCTGTTAAAGTTGTGACGCTTTGTTAGATGTGATATCAGAACACAAAGTGCCTCTGAGTCATCCCTTTAATGGAAGAGGTCAGACTGATTTCAGTTAATGGACCACATGAATAAAGCTGGTGGCCTCATCAACTCTTAGCTCACCTCTCCGTGCGGTCCAGAGTCTCTTCACTTGATGCAGCTTTTGGCTTTGGTTCGGCTGATGGAGGAGACCACCGTCATTATCCAGGACTTGAATTTAAACTAATGAGACAAAGAATGGATAAACTGCATGAAAACGACACATGAGCACCGTCTGCCAATGACGGCCCCTCGTCCCTGTCACTTTAAGAGTCACAAAACCAGTTCTGTTGTTCCTGCCCAGCTAGTGATAGGGGCCATTTCATTTCTCTGTCATGCTAATTTATCAGTGGTGTTTGATTAATTAAGTGTTCTTGTCTTTTTTTGCCATCTTTACCCACTTTTTTCTGTCCCTTTCCTCTTTCTATTTTCTGTTTCATGCCCACCTGTCTCTCTCTTCACCGTCTGCCATTGATCATTTTCAACTTCGGTCTCGAACCTCCTTTTTCTTCTCCTTTCTCACATCCGATTCTTGTTTTTTAAATCTCTTCTCTATCACCTATGCAACTCCTCCTCTTTTCCATTGTGCCCCCCTCTGAAACCAGCCCCCCTCCCTCTGCCCCTCGCCTCACCCCTCGTCCCGGTGGCAGAGCTCCCCCTGACCCGCTCCCTTCTGTGTCCGCTGCCCCCCAGCAGATAGGGGGCATGGTGTGGGATTTCCTGGGAAAGTGAGTGCTCTGCCCTGGCACTTCATCCTGTCTGCGACTGCTGCATCTGGTTTCCCTTGTGTGCCTGGGTCTGCCTGCTGTCTAAAGGATTATTCTGCATTGCTGTACCCGCACACATGATTCAAAGATCCCTGGATTCATGTTTGCTTTTATTTCTGTAGCATGTGTTTGTTCAGTGGAATGTGTATGTGCTGTGACTGGTTGTTGATCAGTCTGTGTGAGAGAGTTCATGCTGCATGTTTATGTTTTCAAACTGCATGTGGCAACCAGCATTAAACGCCATCTATGTCTGCACTGATGATAGAATGGGGAATTATGTCAACAAAGATGTAGTTGTATGACAAATCCCATTATAGCAAATTAAAGCACCGCATCAGAGTATTAATAATTGCACAAATGTGGCACAAATACTTTAAGTCTTAATAATGAAATTTAATATTAAAGTTTAAAGTTTGTACCTCAGCCAGCTCATAAGTACAAAACTAATTTTGCAATATATGTCCAGGTGTTTATATGTTCTGTGGTGTTTATTTTGATTCCCCTTAACAGTAGACGTTATTTCACCCTGGGGTTCCTTTTGTGGCCTGTTTCTGTTATGATGCACGGCAAAGTCGCACAATAAAACCAATCACACCAAGGATTCAGCAAAATAGCAGTTTACACTGTCAATTTTCACAGTTGTGACTGAAAGCCCCTATCAAAATGTGCACTTGTATATACAGTACATATTTAATACTGTAAATACCGCTCTATATACTGCAATAGAAGCAGTTTTCTTGGTGTGATTTTCCCAGCTGCACATATGCACACTAAAACACTTGCAGACACACACACACACACACACACACTTTTTTGTGTGTGTTTGTGGTGATGGCTGTTTGTTGCAGCTTATGTAGGAAGTTTCTGTCCTTAAAGCTGAGTCGTCCTGCCATGAGCACACTTCCCCTACTCATTCCATCCACCCATCTGCCCACCTCTCCCTACGTCACCCTCGCCCTCTGTAATTCTCACCCTCTTATCCTTCCAGTAACATCACCTGACGGCCCCTCTTTCTTCTAGTGTTTTTTCCCAGTGCCCACCTTCCTGCTCTCCCTCCTAACCTGCCCCATCCCTAGCTTGCTCTACCAGATACTAAGAGAAATGATCCGCCAAGTGGCCTGCATGAATAAGAGCTGCTGTGCTCCAGGTCTACACGCGCTCTGTGAGTGAGGTGCTGTAGTAGGTAGGATCTGGACTGACCGTTGATCTTGAAGTGTGTCATACCAGTCGGGTCTCTTTTTGTTTAAACAATCCTGCATCCATAACTAATTCTCTCACTAGCTCCCTCCTTCTCTCAGTCAAACTAGTGTTGGCTTCCCCTCCTTTTGCTCGGCACACAGACCTGTCCTCTTGCCTTCTTCTTTTGCCCTGCTGACTTTTGCCTGTCCGACTGCATGTCTGCCACTCCCAGGCTTGGCAGCAGATGCACATGGTTCTATATTTTCAGAGAAGGTGCATCCTGCATTCGCTGTGTCAGGCTGCACAGCAGCGGCTGTCACAGGTGCCTCTGTGATCTCCCGTGTTGTTTGACAATGAACACACTGTGATCTCCTCTGGGTCCTCTGTATTGTTTTCTTTTTTGTGGTTGATTCTTTATGTCCTGGTTCTAATGTCTCTTTTTTTTTACTTTTTCCTTTGTGTGCTCTCATTTGCTGCTTCCAATGTCTCCTCCACTTGTCTCGTCATCCCCTTCTCTTCTATCTCTTCCTCTCCCCATCTGCAGTCTAGCTCCCAGGTAAGTAATGCCCCTCCCTCCCCATCCCACTCCTTCCCTTACCCATACTAACTCTGGTGCTTCAACCTGTGAGTCATCTCAGCAATGTGTCATGTTAACATGAAGCTATCAATTCATCTGTGATGCTCATGTCTTTTTGCTGTCCTGGTGATCTCATGATTGGTACCATTTTGAAACAAGATTCATTCAAAGTGCACCTGACATGATTGTCCATTACGCTGTACTTGTTCCTTTTGTTTTTTTCATGTTATTTGTTGTGATTTATGAGAATATATTGTACCCTACTCACACATATACTTACTACTTATGTAACACTTTTGCCTCAAGTATGTATTTTGCATTTCTTAGTAGAAAAATGCTACAGCAACTACAGAATAGAATTCAGAAAAAAGATTGGCATGAAAATGCTGCATTTTTGTGGTTTCACAGACAAGGAGGCAAAGACCTGACAAAGAAGGGTCCAAATATCAAAATGGGACCACAAGGGGACAAGAAAGGCTTAGGACAAGACCCTCGTAAAGACGGCTCCATGGACAGTGGCCACCACGTAAAGGTGCAGGTTTACTTCTGAGAAATACACTCAGTTGCCAGTTTATTATAACCTTCATGAAGGTAGGATTCATTGTAGGACTGTGTTAGACTGCATTAGTTTTAGCTGAGTTTATGTATTAGTGATATATCGTGATATATCCATCTAATGCAGTTAGAGGAGCTGATGAACACACTGGAAAGGACGAGGCAGGAGCTGGATTCCACCAAGCAGCGTCTCTCCTCCACTCAGCAGTCGCTGCAGGAAAGAGACGGCCACCTCACCAACATGAGACAGGAGCGCAGGAAACAGCTGGAGGAGATACTGGAGATGAAGTTAGTGTTATCATGTGATGTCAGCCTCACAAAGACAGCCCATTATTTCACTTCTCTTGGTGTGTTTCTGGCAAAGGCATGGATTCATTTCTTGTCTGGAAACAGAAATTCTCTCTAAAGTATCTACAAAATGTTTTAAATGTATTTGAGGTGAGGAACAGGGCATGCAGTTCACCAAAATATCTAGTTTAGATTAAAGTCACATCAGCATTTACACTCCCAAAACTGCTTGTCAATACATTACCTCAGTGATCCGGCTCATTTATTTTCATATTTTTACAGACTTAAATAGAATAAATAGAAATATGCTTTTTGACACTAATTTACTTGAGTCTTGTCATCACTGTGGCCAACAAATAGTCCCGTACATAAACGTAACACACACAGAAAGAACCTCAGTCTTTATACGCATTAAACGAACCAGCTCTTTACCCCCGTGTACAGTCTTTATGCTAAGCTAAGCTAACTGGCTGCTGGCTGTAACTTTGCATTAAACGGACAGACATTACCACAATATTAATCTTCTCATCTAACTCTAAGCAAGAAAGAAAGTAAGTGTATAAATGTCTAACTACTCTACTCCTTTGAATCTCAGAGTGAGAGGTGAGCGTGACAAATGTAGTCTGAGAAGTGAGGCTAATTTTACATCCGTCATTAACAGCAGTACAAAGCAATCAGATTTCTCTGTGACTTCACTTGTCATTCATTGATCATCACCTGACTCCTGAATCTGGAGTTTTACTTGCACCTAAACAGCAATTGACATGTATGCAGTTACATTGAATTGATACAGTTTTTTGGTTGACAGAGAGTAATGGGATGTCTCACTAATATACTGTATCTTTAATGTGCTTTCTATTTCATATACTATAGGTGCTGATGCATAATGTTTTTGTTCTACAGGCAACAAGCCCTGCTGGCAGCCATCAGTGAGAAAGACGCTAATATTGCACTGCTGGAACTGTCTGCGTCCAATAAAAAGAAGACCCAGGAGGAGGTGCTGTCCCTCAAGAGGGAGCGGGACAAACTGATGCACCAGCTCAAACAACACGTTAGTACTGCAGCACAATGTCAAGGAAAAGTCTGTCTGCGCTGTAGCCGGTTGCCAAGGCAACATTGATAAAAATGAAAAAAATGTAGCTGCACAAGGCAACGAGACATTTTTTTCCACAGGGGGCAGTGCACACGCATGGCCACTGATGGCCACTGATCCTCTTTGCTAGTTCAGTTTTTCCCCAAATACGACTCATTGTGCTTTATCAGAGCTGAGGCAGGTCCGGTCTCCAGTCATTTCACGCAGGTCCATGTCAAGTTAAAAGTTCTCATTTGCACATTGCCACTCTTTTCTGACCATTAACATGACATTTACATGAGCTCTGATAGTTTCCTATCAAAGCTCTGTTCATTGGCATAGCTACAGTCAAATGCATTCAGTGCATCGGCCTAATAATGTAATATTTAAGGTGTGCTTACCAGGTCCAACCTTGAGTCTTAAATATTTTCGCTTTCAAGCCTCAAGTCATGTCAGGTCTTCAAGGAGTCAAGTCTCAAGTAAGTAAAGTCTCGTAGCAGTCAAGTCCAAGTCCAACTCAAATCTTTGACTTGAGTGTAATTCGAAATCAAACTCTCTGCTCTATAGCTCTAGCATGATTTATCAACCAGGAACTCAGGCAGCGACAATATGGCCTCCTTGTGTCTCTGTAAGGTGCCTTGTGTTTCCTTGATAAATTAAAAATGGTGATTGTTAGACCTCCATTAAACATGACTCACATGTGTATCTGCCTTTGTAAATAATTTAAACTCAACATGAAATTAAATAACTTTTAAGTCAGAAACACAGATGTAGTTACACAAATGATTCTCATAAATCCTAACAATGTATACATACATTAATGGAAGTAAATTGCATTAGTAAAAATAAATAGTGGTTAAACGTATACCCACATCAAAACGGACTGATGACACTGGACTAGACTGATTTTAACTTTGTTGTCAAGAGTTTGATGAGAATATTTAAACTACAACTTGTCTTTTTTAACTATTTCATTTTTTATTACCAGTAAAACATGTGAGTTAGTGAACTTCTGAGGTGCAGGGAGGTGGATTTTGTTACCTTTGGATGGACTACACCTGGCTGTTTCCTATTGTTTTCAGTCTTTATGCTAAGCTAAGCTAATCGGCTGCTGACTGCTTCGTATTTAGTGAATAGTTGGGAGAATGGTGTCAATCTTCCTATTAAACTCAGCAAGACAGTTACTCAGCATATTTCCCAAAATAACTTTTCTTTTGGTTGTGTATTTTCGAAACTAAATCACAAAGACCTAAAAAGTGACTAGAGGTGAAAATTCATCAGTTGAAGTCGGAGAAAGAAAAGGAACATATAAGCCTCAGTGTTGGTTGCATGGTTATTGCACTGGATTGTATTACATTGTAAGGTGTTCCTGTTTTTAGGTCAATCCACATATACTGAAAATACGTGCTTTGTCCAGTCATGAACTCATTTGATGTTCATTGTGAGGGAATAATGTTCTTTTTTTTTTTTAACAGCTGCTGATCATCATGCACTAACCAGTTTTCTCTTTCTACAGACACAAAGCAGAATGAAGCTGATCGCCGACAACTATGAAGATGAGCAATATCATCCACATGGTCCTCACCACCCTCCAACTCAGCCCCCGCACGCTCAGCCTCAGCCCCAGCCGCAGTACCCTCACGCTCCCCACACTCCTCACGCTCCCCACGCTCCCCACGCTCCCCAGACTCCTCACGCTCCTCACGCTCCTCACGCTCCTCACGCTCCTCATGCTCCCCACGCTCCCCAGACTCCTCACGCTCCTCACGCTCCCCACACTCCTCACGCTCCCCAGACTCCTCACGCTCCCCACGCCCCTCACGCCCAGCAGACTCCATATCCACACACCATACATCCGCAACACCCACAGCACCCACAGGCCCCCCAACAGCACCCGCAGCAGCCACAACCCCAGTACACTCACCCACCTCATCCACCACACCCTCAGCAACACACTCAGCAGCACCCTCAGCAGCACCCTCAGCAGCACCCTCAGCAGCACCCTCAACAGCACCCTCAGCAGCACCCTCAGCAGCACCCTCAGCAGCACCCCCAACCACCTCCCCAGCATCAACAGCACCCACGCACCCCGCAGCCCCAACACCCTCACCAACAGCACCCACAGCATCCTCCACAGCACCCACAAGGACACCCTCCTCCGCAGCACCCTCACCCTCAGCACCCACACGGCACTCCACAACAAGGACCCCACCCCCAGCATCCACATCCCCAGCACCCTCAGCATCCTCAACACCCTCAACACCCGCACCACGCCCAGCATCCACGTCACCCATCGCCCCATCATCGTGGAGGGTCGGCCCGAGGACCCCCACATGCTGGTCACCGCCCTGCTCCGGACCAGGTTAGATGTCATTTGTGTAATTATTTTGAAAATTGACATTAAAGTACAGCCCTGAAAAATCGTTGCCAAAAGCAGAACTGCAATTTCTTAGCACATTAATAGATTCTCTGATGCTTACTTTTACTTAAAAACGTTCAAAATGCTTATTTTTATATCACACCGCCTGCTGTCTTTTGATCAGCATTTACTCCAGTTTCTGTCTACTTTCTTCCCTTCATGCATATCACTGATGTTGGTCTGTCACACTGACATTGACAGGATGACGACGAGGGCATTTGGGCATAATCTTTGCTGTGACAACCAAAGCTCTAATATTGTTTTGAGGGGTGAGATATGTTTAACATTTTCCCACATTATGATTGTCAGTGTCTGCTATATTTCATAGCAAAAGAAACCGCTGTGTGACATCTGTATTTTTGTGTTTTGTTATCTCTCACCTTCAGACGATTCAGTCACTACTGGAGGAGCACAGCCATGCCATGATGTTGAAACACTACCCGACCAAACATGTATTACTTCCACTCAATAAACGCTCAGCAATGGTACCTTTGTTTATTTTCCGGGGAAGAGGAGGGGGCACTCAGGTGTGCAGGTCATGCGGGGAGACTGACAGCTTTGCAGGTAATTTCAAACGTTTCATTTCATAATATATAATGGCACACAAAATTATATTATTTATTGAAAATACATTTCCAAACATTTCTGCTCAAGGTTACCTGGAACTTCTTCTTTGTGTGAACAAGAGCAGACGTCATCTACTTCCTCAGCACAGGATCTCAGATACGGAACTGAATTGGAAGGAAAGAGACAGATGTTGATGGGAAGACGGATGTGCTGTGTGTCACATCTCTTCAGGCCAACAGTGCCCTCTTGAACCTCCCAGCAGAGATCTCATGGCTGTCTGCCAGCCCAGTATTGGTTCCTCATCCATCTTCCTGTGGTTGACTCAAGATCACGGTTGTCTCGCTGTCTGTTTCCCCTGCCTGACTGACTCCTCTGGCTCCGGTTGGCTCCCCCACCTGACTCTTTCATGGTTTCTTAATTCTCACTGCCCTGCTGATCCACCTGGTGACATCTGACCCCTCTACCTGGCTATCATGACCCTCATGACTCTTTTGTAGTTTTAATCATCTGATCGTGTTGATGAGCTATTTCACTCTTTGTGGCACACAGTGACTTCTTTTTTTACCTTTACACCTGCCCAACACACCGATCAGCATTTACTGAAAGAGATATAGTGTCCCACACACCAGACTTGAGTTATTTTAGTTAGACTAATAGACCGCCTCGAGCCTTGCCTGCAGCATTGGTGGTTTCCTCTGCTGCACGAGCTTTTGGACTTTTTCTAGCCTCAAGGCTGTGGGTGCCATCCATCTTCCTCTTCATGTTACCTCATTTTAATCAGAAGTAGTCAAAAAAAATCAATCTATGCAGATGTCAGTGTAGAGTGAATGCATACTCAAATTTATCAATCAAAGTGTAATTAACCATCCAATCAGAGCGGCCAAGAGAGCGGTCAGAAACTACTCATCAGTCAGATTATTTTTAAGTTTCTGAGACTATGCACCTCCTCCGTGTTGCAGGAATTTTTACTAATGGTGCTTCTGCTGGTGCTCAAACTAAATGGTGTCTGAAGACCTGGTCAAGAGCATCTTTTAGTCCTTTTACAGTAGAGGGACTTGATCCCACAATGGGCTTCACAAACAACTGTAAAAAGATTGCTTTGTACATACAATTTGACCTTTGGGGCTTTGTGAGCAACAATCACTTCAAGACCCACAGGGAGGAGATCTCCCTCTATGAATACTGCTACTGTAATTACATTATAGACTATGAAGTGGAGGACGTTCTATAGATGTTTTCCCTGCAGGTCTTTTTGTACCATTGACAGCCCAGTCTCTGACCTACAGTATGCCCCTGCTCCCCTCTCCCTTGTAATGTTCCTCTTCTGGCAGTAGTCTGTGTGGCCTCCCCAAACATAGTGACTTGTTTTCTCCTTCTCAACAAGGAGGCCTGTGCCTCGTGAAAAAAACTGTACACATATATGATAGATATGCATATATTATACATATAGAGAGAAATCTATAGTGTGTCTATACGTGGTCAGAAAATCGTTTCAAACTGACAAGATAATATATCTTTTTTTCTTCATGGTTATTTTTATAACTGGCTGGAGGTCAGAGAGATGTCTTATTAAGAGTGTTGAGTGGTGTGATTTTCCTCTGATTTGTACATGAGTAAACCCCTCAGCAGCAACATTCCCTGTCTGAAAACACAGGACAGCCCAAAAATAAAAAAACAAGAGCTTTAGAGCAGTTTATGTGAAATAGACAAGTATATCCAAATCTATCTAGAAGTCTAGTAAAGATGACATTATTACATTCCTTTCATCAATGTGAAAACATTTAGTTGAACACCGCTTATGGTGACAACTTTGAACAATGAAAAAAAAAAAAAAGACTGAATTTTGCAGCTCACATAAGTAGCAATGAGGTTATGTCTGCTGCCCTCAGCAGTCAGAAACTCGCACTTGTGAGTGAGGACTATCACATTTAACATCCAAGTGGAGGTTTGAGTGACTCTGTCGAGATGCATTTCTTTCACGTGTTTGTCGTTGTCGTCGTCTTGTAAACAGAAGTGGTGACATACGTGACTGTGACAGCTGACTAAGTAGAAAAACCAACACACATTGTTGCAGTGTAGTGGAAAATTAAATTAGACTGTTTCAAGACAATCCCCTACTTTCTCTCCCTCCCCTCATGGTGCCTGTGTGTTTCACTTATATGGCCAAGTGTTGATTGTTGTATGTAAATGTATTTCCATCTGCCCCATCCTCCACAAACCGAGGTGACCCATGCATCGCCTGTTGTGTCCGCTTCACGTATGAACCTTTACAGCTCCTGTCACTGACCAAGAATCAACAGGTTGTGTGAAACTTTTGTGTTTGTGTTTACAAATGTTAAGAGAAAAGTCCTGATTTGGATATTTTTTTTAAAGGGAAGACAATGCAAGCAGACAGAGGAGCAAAAATCCTCTCACTTTACCATCAGGGGGGGGGCGGAGTACGAATCCTCCATTTTCAGGTCCTTATCTACTGAATACTTGAAGTAGGGGGTTCTCCTACCATGAAATACCATTTATAATTTACATGGTAGAAAACATGAAACATTTCATTTGTGCCCATGCATGCTGGATTTTACATAATGTGCCAACTGAAAGCGATGATTTAAGGATAATCTCCTGTTCTCTATGCAGAGCGATTTCTCAACTGTTGTGTCAAATAAAAGGGTTTGAAGACACAGAGGCTTAGAGGCTGGGGCTGGTTTCCTAGGCTTAGACCAACGACTAATCCTGCTTGTGAACGGTGGAGTCGAGAAGTCAAGTGTGCATCTGTGCCTAGAAGCAGCCGTATAGAAAGACTCGAGTTGAAAGGCCTGTAGGTTCACCAGTAATTCTCAAAGGCCTTGGAGAAGAAAGCATGAAAAGCCTAACACATACTTTCACTTTATTGTTGTCTACAAGTTGTTTTTCTTTTATTATGTTGCTGAACCTTTGGATCAAAACAAATCACTGTGACCAATGCCAGAAACATTTTTCTTTTGACAGAACAACTATTGTTTACTTTTTTATTCATTTTTGTATTTAAGTTAACTTTATTTTTTTTCTATTGTTTCAGTTTACCGAATATGCCAGTTTGAGACTGTACTATTTGTATATGTCAATGTTTTGAGCTGTACAGTAAAGACCTAGGAACAAGTTAAATGTGAGTGTCCAGCATGCTGAATGATTACTTGTGTGAACGTGAGCTAATCTCCCATAAAGCATCATTCCTCATTCATTACTTGCATCCGCATCGTGCATTGTGACGGTGTGATGTTGTGTTTGAGAGTGACGTGTGTCTCACTTACTGTGTCCCCTTAGTAGACAGCCTGTGCAGTTTTGTGAGGGTGCAGCATGTTTTTGGGGTTGCTTGTGTAAATGTATTCAGAAAAGAGAGAGATGTGCGTGTGTGCATAGCTGCGTCTGTGTGATTGTGTGCGTATGTGTGATTGTGTGCGTGTTATGAATGCATAAGAGAAAAATCTATTTAAAAAAAACTTTATCAGAGGAAGTCCCTAGAGTAAAAAAAAAAAGTGAGACTGAGTCAAAGTTTTGAATGACGCATGGATACTCGGTGATGTTTTCTGTTTTTTAAACCTAGGAGGCTGTCCTCAGTGACCCAGTTTGCTATTGTATGTGCTGTATCAGAATATTACTATTGAGTGTTGGCCAGCTTGTTTATATCCATCAAATAAAGGTGACTTTCTTTCTGTCTTTGTTTGTGATTTTCTACTCTAAGTTAAAATCAGTTTAATCTATACGTCAATTAGAATATATTCTAGTACAAATACAATCATGGTATTACACTTAAATGCATGATACTGTGGAAACAAGCACACTAGTAAGTCAAATAGTGCATTGATTTCATATCGGTTTCAATTTCATAATGGATTATTCATATAGAATATGAACAATTGGGTTAACTTGGTGAATGATGCTAATAACTATTATACCTTCATCCTTTAAGTTCAACGATCAAAAGTCCTGGATTTGAACGTTCAGTAGTGCGATTTTATTTATCAGGTGTCAAAAATGTGTCATTAACAACAGAAGCACCCTGCAAAATGAAGAAAGAATAAAGCTGGGTATGTATGTTAACATAGGACAATTATTTGTGTTTTATATTCTTAAGACAAATGTGCACTTCGATAAAAAGGCAATAAAATGTTACTATATACTAGATTGTTCATGTTGCAACTTTATATTTAAAGAGTGCAAATACAGTGTCATTGATGCAGTATATGAAGTAAATCTAATACATTGTTTCTGCACACAAATACAAGCAAGCTGTATATTCCTCTTTAAGCATGCCACCAATGGCAACATTGTATATATTGGTGGCTCCAAATGCCAGAACAAGATAGTTGCTTGAAAACAATAAAAACGCACGAGACGATTTGGGCTCATTTTCAACTCAATACAGGAAAATGGAACAATCGTCTAAAAGTCTTTTTCTTTCCCTTTGGTCAACTTTCAACAGCATCTTGCAGTCTTCATCAGTGATTGGAGTTTGTAAAGACAAAGCAAACTTGATGTAGTAAGGAAGACAGTTAAACACAGTTGAAAAGCTCCAGACCAAGCTGGTAACTAGAATTAAGCTTTGACAAACTGCTATTTAAACGATCATGAATAAACTTTCCCATTCATTTTGCCCGGCTCTGTGATACTACAGAATGACGTTCAAAAGCTGAAGATAACTTCATATCAATAACTTAAATCATCTATAATACAAGTAAATGCACAAGATTCATCTGCTTTGTCCTGAACTATGATTGTTGAGGCCTTGCTGAGCAGTGGCACATAAAATGTTTAAGTCCGTTTTCGCAACAATTTGAAGCTTTAACGTCCCTTTAAGAAGCTGCCCAATAAACGGTCTCCCCTGTCAGAAAGCCAGTACCCTGCCATGGCTGCCACTGCGCCCATGAATATAGATGTGTAGACCAAATCTCCCTTAGCAGCCAGTGTGGCCAGAACACAAAGCACCACCCCGAAGAGCATTTGCTGCAGCACCTCCACCTCGTCGTCCTGGATATCCTCAAACAGACCTTTCTCCTGAACACCTGCACAAGAGACAAACGTGAGAGGTTGCAATGAGGTTAGGGTAGTTCACGTGATTGTGCTTGTGATGAGACCCACTAGGATGCTGCTTCTTCACACAGACAGCATCCTTATGGAAGAATCCTTCAGCACAGTCACAGCGGAAAGAGCCCTCTGTGTTGGTGCAAATCTCGTCCAGACCGTGACAGGCGAGTACCCTGTCACTACATTCATCTATATCTGAGGAAAACAAAGAGAGACACATGATACAATCTCATCGGAGACTTACTGCAGCTCCTCGGGAGCACACAAAGAATGCATACTGATAAAATAATACTTCTATTTATTAAATATTCTCTTTTAAGCATTTACCCACACACTTGGACCCTGTCAGTGTGTAACCAGAGGCACATTTCCTGCAGCGTGCTGGTCCGTTACCCATACAGCCCACACAGGCCGGGGAACAGTCTGAGGAAAGAAGGACCATTTTATTAATTTATTTACGAAACAATGCGAGTGAAAAATGACACAAAACAAAATCGGACTAGAAGAAACTGGAAGTATTATTTAATATTTAAGCTCTCCACTGGAGCAACTTAGTTGGGAACAAGTTACGACTACTGGGCAGGTTCCACAGTGATCATCAGGGGCAACAATGAAGGACTTGCAGCACTGTATTGTGTCATGCTCAACATTTTATAGATGTGTGTGATTTGATATCTCCTTTCTCATAATATCAAACAAAAACTAACTTTGTGAGCATTTGCATGAATGCGAAAAGGCTTCAGCTACTGTTACAACAGTTAATGCAGCGATGCTTCAGCTGCATACAATTCTCTATATGGGTAATTATATGATCTATAGTGGGTGGTGTAGTTTTATGAGGAAAGTAAGTCTCAGGTAGGAAGCTAGCAAACACACAAACACACAGACACACTGCACTGTTCATAGATGGACACACCCATCTCCTTATCATGTAAATATTAGGAAACCTGGAAATGTAGTGAAGAAAAAGGGAAACGTTGTCCGGGGAAAGTAGGGCATTGCTCAATGATTATGTGTGTTAAGACCAAAATAAAGGAAAACTCAGGAGCTGAAAAATAAATGAAAAAAAGTTTTAATTTATTTTATCAAATGTTTGATGTGGTAGCTTTGTTTTTGTTAATACTGCTATAATTATGACTAAAAGTATCATATATTGATATAATTTTGACTTTTATCACCTTTTGTTAGTTTGGGGCTCCGTCTGCTTGTATTAGAGCTGAAACAATAATCAGTCAATGAGTTAATCAATAGAAAAGGAATAGACACAAATTTCAAAAACTGATTAATTAAATGTTCAAGTCATTTATCAGTCAAACAATGTCAATCATTTGCTAATTTCAGCTTCAAAAGGTGAGGATTTGCTGCCTCTCTCTCTTGGATATCACTCCTAAATCGAATATCTTTATATGTTGGGCTGTTCATTGGCAAAACAAATATTGATTGATTTTTTATGTTTATTTAGTTTTTTTTTATTTCCTTTTTATTTAATTTCAACATCTAGAAAAAGCCTATATGTTGTGTCTTTCACACCGAATCTAAACCACTGACCTCGGCACTCAAATGATCCATCTGTATTGAAGCAGTAGCTGTTTGTAGGACAGATACCCAGCTCGGTGCCACACTCATCAACGTCTAAAACAGATCCAAACACAAATACATTTAGAACGTCTGCTTGTCTTATTACTTACATGTATGGGATAATAAGCTCGGTATACAGTACCTACACAGGTGTTATTATGGAGTGTCCATCCCGCTCTGCATTCCTCACACTGGTCGTTTTCTGGGCCTGAACACTTGCTGCAGGTATCTGGACAGCTGTGCACCTGAGCAGCCAACAGACAACACAGGCAAGCAGCCTGCAGCAGGTTCCTGTGAAGCATCCTTTCTCCCATCTGTCCCATCAGGTCAGCAAGATAAAGTTGTTTATCTCATTCGGAATATCACACCCAGGTTTGTTAAATGATGCGTGCGAGCTGGGATCATAATAATTGGGAACAGATTGCTGGCAAAATGAAGTATGTGAGGGATCCAAAAAAAATGCTTCACCTTTGAGACAATCCAAAAATATAGTTCAGTTTTCATGCATGCGTTCTGTAAAAGGACGTTTTCTGTACAACAATTTGAGCTACATAGTCTTTCATGAAATGTGCTGTATAAAGAAATTATTATTATTATTATTATTAATGAGAGCGCGCGCACAACATTCTCGCTCAAAGAGAAGTCTTGTTCTGATCTCGCGAGGGAACGTGTTGCCGGAAGAGAACTGTGGAAACGCGAGGAATGAGTGTACAGAAAGTGTAGCTTAGTGTTATCTAAAATATTTGATAAGTCATGACTGAATAGTTTGATGATTTCGACCACGTGGACGAGGTCTGGAATTTGATAGCCGCCAGTATGAGGAGGGTGAACCGGCTGCTGCGAGGCCGCGGAGCCTGGTGGTGTTCCTGTGGGTGCTGTGACCCTTCGAGAGCCACTAGAGGAAGACAGATTTAAAGAGTTGGACCTGTTGCTGCCTAATATCCAGTTATCAAAACGAGACTTCAGCGGGATACGTTAAAAAACAGACGGGATCAAAGGAACAGTAAGGTAAACCGTTTTGTTTCTCTGTACGGTTATTTCCATAATGTTGTCAAACACTTATTGTGAGAAGTTGTCAGGAGTCAAAAACAATTTCACTTTTACTGACTGTAACGGGACATTGACGCTGTGTCCCCATGTGTCACTTGTACAAAAACATGAGAAAACAAGGTTCAGGTTGAAAAATACCAACGTTTTACTTTACTTTATACTTCTGATTTAATTCATGAAAGATACATAATATTGTACTTTTTAGTCCTCCTCATGTACCTGGCCATGATAGTGACTTCAGATTCAATATACATACATCTGTTCACAAATATGATGCATAGATCAAACTACCACAGAATATAGTTGCAGTTGGCTCCACCTCAACCAGCTGCTCACGTGCTCAATATATTACTCCGGGATGGGTCCTCACCATTCGAAGTACTTTTTGCATATAATACTTCTGCACATTTACATGTAGAACACACCAAGCATTTAATTGTACCTCAAAACAAACAAGAGACGTGAGTTGAGAGTTTTCTTTACCTCTTCTAAGTGCTTCGACTGAGTCTGAACTGTGTCGTCTTTTAAGTTTAAAAGCTGTGAACGCAGCCGACATGCGCTTCTCAAACTTCACAACTACGTTGTGGTTGAGAACAGAATGTACACCAAACATCCCGAGCGGGCGGAGCATGCAGCACCATCAAAGCACCGCCCCTCCGGGATGTCAGGACGACATTAAACGAGCACTTCCCCGTGTCCTTGATATGACACTATAGATTGCACCAATAAGAGCCGCCGCCCTTCACTGAGAGACGGCCAATCACAATCCAAGGTCCGCCATGCACATAAATAAGCACATTTATTTATAGACAAGTGTTGGCAGACATACAGCAGGCTTCATGGACACATTGAGTCTGTAAGATTTTAAGTTAAACATTTAGAAGCTTAAAAGGACAAGTCTGGATACATTCTATATTGGGTCAACAAATCCTATGTAAAGACCCAAATAAACAAATTACTTTATCCTAAAAACAAGGAAAGTCTGTGTAGCCAAAGCCTGATATAATGTATTCATCTGTGCCATAGACCAGAGTTATTGTCCAAATAACGTTAAAAACACTTAAACATTGTCACACTCTGTGACATTTGCCTTCATAACAATGAGCATTTGTTCTTCTCTGTGATTGTTGGGACATGCTGGATGGGCACCTGCACGATGATAGTGTATTGTTGCTGTCCTGCTACCCCAGAATTCAGCTGATTGAGACAAAGCCTGACAACCAGTTCCCAACCACATAAAGACATGTTTACCTGGAGAATCACATTTAACGGGGAAAAAAAATTCCTCTTTAATTATAGAAAAAAGCATCTTTAATAATAAGGAACGGTGTATAAAGGGGGTTTCAATAAAAAAAATAAACCAATAAACAAAATATCAAAACAAATTATGTGGGCATAAATGTATCTTTAGGCTAAATATTCACTCAAACCAGGTTTCCAAGTGATCAAAATCAGAAAAGTTCAAACTGCAAAGAAGTCTCAAACGGGCCTAAAGACCAGAATGTGTGCTTCAATCTGCTGAAATGAGGTCTGCAAGGAAAGCTCAAAATGCACTGGATGTGAAATCCCCCTCCTCTCTTAAACCCTAAAGAAACAGCGGTGTCACATCCTGATTGGCCACTAGAGGAAATGCACCAAGCTGCTCTCAATTGTTAATCGGGAGCCAGTCCTCACTAGCTGCACAACAGGTGATCTGAATAACCCTCCAATCACTGTGACCTTCAGCTAAAATGATGTATGTACCAATGAATGAGGCTTTTACAGTATGTGTAAATAGAATAAACATTAAGGTAACTATTTAAGTTACATTTGATTCACATTAAGGTAAATTGTTAAGTTATACTGTATATGATAAACATAAAGGTGATTATTTGTGTGTATATATAGTATATATCCTTCTTCATACTCTTTTTGGACATATTATTTGGAATATTTATTTATTTAGTTTATTGAGAAATTGCGTTATATTTTTGCAGTCATTTTTTTTGCTTCTTCCTGTTTTTTTAATCATGTATTACATGTTTGAAATAGCCTATCTTCAAATCTATTTAAAACATTTGAGTCAGTCCCACAAACTCCGTACTGCTTGCTTAGATGTTCACTGGCATATCAGATCCACAGCTTTCTCCTATTGAAGTAACAGACATAAGAACTGCGGTGCAATTAGTCAAAAAATCATTTAAGATTTCGGTAAAAGTAGGGGCTGAAAACTCCAGACAGGGAAGTGAAGTCAGAAAAAAACCTATTGAGAGATGAACTAACGTATTGTAGTTTGGTCATTTCATAACAGCGATATAGATCATTGCCGGCCGGCCTTTAATAGTGTCTTAGTGCTCCCAGTAGACCACACAACACTAACAATCTGTGCAATATAAATACACTGTGCAATACAACAATTATTCTGTCTGTATATATAATATTTTAGTTATTGTGGATTTTTTTAGTTGTTTATAATACTTGTGTTTTTACTGTCTCTTGTTTGCACAATACTGTATGCTGCTGTAATCCTGTAAATGTCCCCGCTGCGGGACAAATAAAGAATTATCTTATGATTATGTTATCCACAATTTGGATGAACTTGTCCTTCATGCACAGAGCAGCAACAATCTTTGGGTGCTTCAAACGCTTTGTCATAAAGTCTCCTCAACTTCACCACATTTACCGTAGGATGCCTTCTTCTGGTCTCGTCTCTCTTTAGTCTTTGCTCTCCATCCATCTGAGGCACTCCATTTCCACCCTGTCCGTGTCCTTCTACCTGATCCTCTCACAGTCCTTCCCACAGTGAGCTCAAACAAGAGAGCCTGGGTATGAGAGGGAAGCTGGAACAAGAGCAGCCCTTGAAGAAGCTCTGGTAGACTCCTGTCACTGCTTGGATGGGAGTCAAGTGTCACCAGAAGAAAACGTTCTCCAGCTCTGCCCAGCTGCTTGTCCGCTTGGATGACGCTCAAGGAGGCCGTGAAGACATCAGAGTAAGGGGAACATATCTGAGGGAGGCCCTTGTCGTCCTCCTTTGTCTTGATAACCTCTTTGTTCCGATGGGTCCATTCCTCTGCTCTCTCCAAGGCTTTGCGGGTCAAGACGAGCACAACTCGGCCGCCCCGGTTGTTCAGCTCCAGCAGCTGGGAGTGCAGCCACGGCATAGGCCCCAGAGTGCACTGCTCCTTCCTGCTCCACTGGTCTGCAGACACACTGAAGCCCTGGTCACAGAGCTGGGATCCGAGTCCACATACTGACTCCGAAACATGATAATCCTCATCCGGGGGGCTCAGCAACACCACATGACCCTTTCTGCCAACTTTAAAAAGGAAAAACAAGGGGATGGATGTCTGATAGTTGTTCCTTCATGATTTCCTTCATTACAAGTAGTGGTATTACAAGAAAATACTCACTCTTTACAAATCCGCCATGACGGCAGCTCCACACCCATTCTATAAAAATCAGAAAATGAACGAGTAAATCTTAGCAGAAATACACTACAGGGATATTTATAATTTCAGTGCCACAAATAATTGATAAAAGATATGCATCAGTAGTGCTAGTGCAGACTTTATGAACAATTCCCAGATCTAGCAAACATGGTTTTGATGTTTGGGCCAAATGAAATGAGCCTTTTTGGGAAATGCCTGGGGAGATTTGGTTCAAGTTGGACAATGCATATTTCATCATGGGTTGGTTAGAAATTCCAGAGCAGAGAGTCTATGTAGCATCCAGTCTGTTCTTACATATTCAACACACTAAATGCAAAAAGAAAGAAATGAATAAAACTCACTCTTGACGAAGTTATGAAGGAGATAAAATGCAAGCACAGTCAAGCAAAGCAACAGCATGACACCAACAACCAGGAGACTCCAGCGCCACCTGCCAGCTTCAAGTAGTACAAAACAAACTCTTGTTTTATAAAAAGCTCAAGAAACAGGTGCTGTATTTCAGCCGAATATGTCCCAACCAGCACCAGTTTGTGTATTATAAACTGTGTTGGACTCACTGTTTTTAACACAGAATGGACCCAGCTCATCTCCCATTCCCTTGACTTTCACCTGCCCAAATGGATAAACATCAATGAGTTATTCAGCATCAGTAACTAAGTAAATGTAGGACTCATAGAAGGATGTCTGCAAATACTTTACCATCACACATGGTGAATACTGAAGTTTGATGTCTTCAAACACCCCTGTTTTCTCCTGACGAGGACACAATTATACATCTTGGTCATTTAAAACTTGTGCTGTGTAGCCAGGCGTCATTCAAACCAACAGAACTTCACTTTAGATTCTAGCAGAGATCCCAAAGTTTCCAATGTTTTTCAAATATCGGGAAATTTGTGTAACATTTTGCAAAAGACTTCTAAAATATTTCATTTAATGGTGCAGCAATAAAAAACATGGATATTTCAGGCAGTGTAAACATGAGACAAGCTGACACAGAATATATAATGTGACTTTGTCAAACAGGCTGGAATAAGATGATTCTTCCAAATGTAAAGCACCGTGGAAATAAAAGTGATTGTTTGAAGGCTGCGAATAAGGGGTACAAGGTTCAGTATTACAGTTTCTTACCCACTGTCCCTTGCTGTTTTGTCTCCATGTGCCGTTTGCCAGCTGTTGTCTAAAGCCCTTCATCTCCCTGCAGGTGTTTTCTTTGTGGCAGGGCCACACTTCCCCCTCCAGCCTGCAGGGGGCAGACAGGTTCCACCACAGCATTGTGTGGTAGCTGCCCATTTGACCCTCTATCACAGACACTGACACATTGTGCCATACGTTCTTTTGGAGGAAATCTGGAGTGGACACGTAGGAAACATCAGCATACCAAAGGTAAACTGCCAACCCTTCACCCTGTAAACTCGGACAGGAAGAAAGTGAACTAAAAGAAGAGATTTCGCACCTGTGTTAATGAAGGGGCAGCTTAGAGAGCGCCTCTGCTCGTCCTCATTCCATACCTAAAACACACACAAACACACAAACGTCATATGGGTCAGCACAGACACAACACTGCTGATGTGGTGGCCATAAGTATTCGTGATGTTTAAGTGATGGTACCTGGAGACACATGCAGGGGGTCACAGAATACAGTGGGATGAGCGTCCTGTTCCATCTCTACAAAGAAACATTTAACACATCGTGGCTTTAATGAGAGCGACAAACAAGTGGTGGAGAGTGACTGAACATTTACTAAGGTAATGCAGGTCCTTAACTTTACTTCATTTTATGTCACTTTAAAATACTACTGAATTTCAGACAGAAAATACATTCTGTTGATTCATCTTTTCAAGCAACAATGCAAAACACTTTTACTTTTTACACTTAAAGTACATTTTGCTGATAATACCTGCTGTACTTATACATCTTAACTGAAATTTGAATGCGACATTTTTTTATATTGTTGTATTGCCACTTTCTACTTCAGCAAAGGATTTGAATACTTAAATTCGGCACTGATATACAACACTGACCTGACATCTTCCATTCTGCTCGTACTGGACGCACACAGAGGGGAGGCTTTTATTCCTGCCAGCAAACTGCAGCTCCACCTGATTCAACTCCTGCTTAATTACATAGCTGAGTCCAGTCACTGAAAGGAGGGAAAGAAAAAAAACGGTTCATTTCCCTGAAGACAAATACAAAAACAAAACGGCACAAGGAAAGCAAACACACGTATAATGTGGGGATTATTTACCATGACACTGTTCCACACGTTCCTGCTGCTCCTGGGAGCACACTGCAGAGAGATTATACAGTATTACTAGTGGCCAGTTATGAGTTCAACAGGTGCTTTGTAGTTAAAAGACCAAACTTTACCTTCATCTAGAGAAGGAACAACAACTTGTCGACTTAGATGTGACGGTTTAGAAGAATAAACAGTCACATGACTGCTGAAGGAAACCCCAGCTGGCTTATAGATCACCACGGAAAACTATAGAAGTCACACACACACACACAGAGTTTATAAGACTGGAGGTGAGCATACACTACATCCCTATTGACATTACAGACTTTATGTTCCAGCACAGGGAGTTTACAGTACCTTTGCTCGGTGTGTCTGATTAAGAGCGGCATGATTAACCGTAAACTCCACCTTCTTGCACGAGGGCATGGTAGACGCTGCACTGTAACACAGTGTCACAGACGCTGTTGCAACACAGAAAAGGTGGGGCTTCAGTAATGGAAAATTAGGAACAGCACCTAAAACTCACTTCCAAACCCACGCTTCAAGAGCATACCAGCGTTGTTTTCACGTTTGAAGCCATTAACCATGAACAGAGAATACTTAACATAACGTACATTTGTGCGTGTATTGTAATAGCAATTGTTTTTCCAAAACACGCCACCAGGTTTTACTGTAACTAATTTACTAGATTCTAATCGATCACATTGAACTTTCTAGCCAGTGAACAGTTTGTCACGGGTTAATAAAGGGCTTCATGTAGCCTCAGTTTATACCTTTTGGTTTTCTCACTGTCTCCTCGCTATAATCCTCTTCATCATGCCCAGAGGGGCCTTCCTCCTCCTTGTCGTTATCTGGATTGAAGTTGATCTCTGCGTCTATCACCAGACATAATGCGCACAGCGCCCCGTCGCTGCAGCTGAGGTTGAAACGTGGAGTCAGGTTTTGGACACCCACACCGTTATCCTCTGGTACAATAAGAGGCATCTCATCCTTTACGGTGCAATCAGAAAGACCCTAAAAGGAGGAAAAATTAAATTTGGAAAACGAGGAAGACACATGTTTAACGTGTGGCATCACATTGTAACTGAATGTTATCTGGATGGTAAATATTTACTGTTCAGAGGACTGTATTATGATTAATGTACATACAACACCTATTTATTGACAAGCTGGCAGATGGTTTACTCCTTGTGTTGGTTTGAGTTAATGTTTGAGAATAAAACACTTTATCAGAGAAAAGGGAAATTAAAATGTCTGAGCAGGCTGCACCAGAACTAAAAGGAAATTAAAAGTGTGATCTGTCAACAAAGCTGTATGTACTTTACTGCAGCAGAGGAAATATCTGCTTCAGTGTATCCTAGCAGTGCACCCCCCAGTACCTGCAAGCAAATGACTTCATGGCTGTCATATCCAGAAATCTCCAAGCCACAGGCTGACATGCGTAGAGTGAGTAAAACACACCAAATGGACCATCCAGGAAGAAACATTTTGCCTCCAAATGATTTGAGTCCTACAGCATTTTTCTCCAAACATCTTTCTCCAGGAGCGACATGACAACCTTGTTAAACAAGTCCAGTGTCTTCTTCCTCGTCACGGCTTTTGGCTGGAGATTAGCTTGAGATTATCCTGGCTGAAACTGCACATTGGCAGAGAAGGCAGTGACTCGAGGCAAACTTGTTAGAGCTGTGGTTGATGGGTTTCACCTTTGTTTATGTCTTGGGGAAGAAGAGACATACATTAGTGTAGGTATAGGCAGTAGTTTCTTCATAAGTTTCCTGTGAATAAAAACATGCCTCAACAGTTGTACACAACACATTTTTCTTTTTGATACAAACTGACTCCAACAGTTTTCTGGTGTACAACTAATTTGATTACTCAAGTTCACAAATCCTTGGACATAATCACTAGGAACTGGGTAGTTCCCTTTTCTAAAACACCTTCAAGCACTAAACAAGCAAACAGTGCTATGACTTAAGATCAGACAGGACTATATTGATGTAACATCAGACATTAAATAAAATGACACAAGTAATCTCATTGAAACCTCATGTAGGTTACTTACCGTGATTAGTAATCCACTGTAAGTCAATTTCTCTCCTCAGAGCAGCTACACCTTGTCAGTTACCTAGAAGTGTTGAAATTGAACCACACAGCACGTGACTGTCCTGACTCAGGAGACGTCCCTCCCTCTCCCCAGTCTCTCTCTCTCCCGTCTCTCTCTCTCTCTCTCTCTCTCTCTCTCTCTCCCCCGTGTCCCTCCCTCTCCCCCGTGTCACTCTCTCCCCCCATCTCTCTCTCTCTCTCTCCCCCGTCCCTCCCTCTCCCCCGTGTCTCTCTCTCTCTCCCCCGTGTCCCTCCCTCTCCCCCGTCTCTCCCTCTCCCCCCGTCTCTCTCTCTCTCTCTCTCTCTCTGTTTGTCTATCTCTGATTTACAGCACAGACTAACCATGCCAGAATGCACATAGTCGTGAAACTTCCTGCTCTGAATTCCTCATTACAGCATAACAAGCACGACCTACTGTAGATGGGTCAAAGTCCACAACTTTTTTTTTTTCTTTTAAAAAAAAATCAAAACAAGACTCCTCCTTCAGTGTTATTATAGATTAGCTTTTTACACAGAGCTGCATTTTACTGTGAAAGTAGACAACAATTTGTGACTTTGTCTTGTTAAGTGGATATGACAAAGATCCTTCCTGTGGCTGTTCTTTGTTAACTGTGCCCTGATAAACAGGTTTATCACCCATGAGAATGCACATACCTTTGAACTGGAGTTCATTGAGAGAAGATAATCTCATGCAACACATTAACGCCTCCACAGCAGTTCGACTGGTTTGACCACATAGCGTTAAACTAAATTCAAAACCCTGGTCTGTTTATTATTCTCCAGAAATATGTGTTAGTGCACTGGCACGAAACATTTCCATTTTTAATGATTTATACATTTACTATTTGACTGAAGTATTTCACTCTTCAACATCTAACTGATTGCTGTTTCCAGATTAAGATTCGACCCATCTCCTTTTGTTCACGCTACCTGTAAACCTGTATTTCCCTTTATTTCAATTAGATTTGCTTCTGTTTACTGTATTTACTGTACATTGGCTACATTTGAACCTTTTCATACATGGAAAGTCCAACTGTTAACCAGGTAGCTGAAATGACCAGCCCTGCCACATATAATCACATTTTGAAAAATGAATTAAAAGCCCTGTTGTTACTCCTTGACAAATACTATAGAATAGAATAGAGAATAGAAATATACTTTATTCATCCCCAAGGGGAAATTTGTCTGTGGCAGCAGCAAACAGGGTTACAAAATAAAATAGAAATATTAGGTATGGAAAATGCACACTATATACAATATAATAAAATAACAGAGCAGGACCTATTAAATTTAAGAAAATAACGTAATAAAAATGCACAGTATATACACTAAATAGAATCATATTAAATTAACTAAGTAGGAGAAAATAAACAAAACAGTAGTGCACAAGATCACCAGCAGCAGCAACAACAGTGTAGCATTGTTACAGTCTAGTGTTTGATTTGGCCAGAGGTGATTTATTATAAAGTCTAATGGCAGAGGGCAGGAATGTTCTCCTGCATCTTTCCTTGTGACAGCGGAGCTGAATCAGTCTGTTGGAGAAAGTGCTCCGCTGTCCCTGCAGTAGGTGGTGGAGAGGGTGGTCCGGGTTATCCAATATGGACAATAGTTTCTTCAGTGTCCTTCTCTCCACCACCTCTTCCAGATAGTTTTGTTTGCAGCCAATGATGGAGCCGGCCTTCTTAACCAGTTTGTTTGTACTTGTACTCCTCCACCATGTCCACATCCTCTCCCTGAACTCTCAGCGGTTGTGGAGTCGTCGTCTTCCTCCTGAAGTCGACCACCATCTCTCTGGTCTTGGCCACGTTCAGACGCAGGTGATTTCTACCAGAGTTTGGCCTCCAGCTTCCTCCTGTAGGTGTCCTTGCACTATTTAAACAGTAGAATGACATTCCTCTGCTTTCACTTTCTGTTTTCACAGTGGACAGACAGGCGTATGCGGGGTTAACTGTATAAGTAAACGGACTAATTTTGAGTCCAAACTGTGACACTGTGTCATTTTTAGGGTTGACTCCACAGATAAAGATGAGAATTGAATCTATCTTCAACAGCTCTGTGCGATCATGAGTGGAGGGCTGTTGTGCTGCAGGACAAATGCCACAATTACTAGATCAGCTCTTTTCTCGTAATCTCTTAATAATTGAATTCTTAAATTTGAAGAATTATTCCAAACAAATTAAGCATGACTGACAAACCCTTTAGGTAAATTAATTAAGTTCATACAAGACAACCAAAGATCTGGGAAATAGTTTATTGGTTCATGTTAGTAACTGGTGAAAGTCTTTTTCCATGATGACTTAGTTTGTGTTATACTCATTTCTATTTCAAATAAAATCTCTACAAGTGATTCAACATGGTTCCCAGTTAAAGTTGTAAGATGATGAAATCATCCAGGTGGCTCTGCAGGGCAGACTCAGCAGACATGAGCCAGCAGTGATGTGTGGGCGGAGAGACGGTACTGTAGTCAACAGCACTGGCCCTACAAAAGAAACACGAATATGTTTTATCTTTGTGTATTAGAGCAATTACAATTAAAGCACTCTCAAACAGACTTCTCTTTGACACCAACTAAAATGTACCTGGTAACGTCAATCTCCTGGTCTTTGATCTTAAGTCTTGTTGGGGGACTTTGTTGCACCTCCTCATAAACTGCTGGCTTTAGAGCTGGACGCACAGAGGACAAACAATAAAGCAATGACACCGAAGAGCATGCACTTAAAGAGACACTGCACAAAATATTTGTCTCTTTAAATACATTTTTTCCATTAAAACCACCACAGCTGGTTTTAAATTTAAACTTAATTTGAATTGTCTGATTCAAACATTCAATGTATTGACCTGATATCAAATCATAAAAACAAATCCAGCCTTTTCACCCACCTAAAATCCCAGAAACGTTGTTGTCCAATGGTCGCTGTCTCAAAACCGGCCAGAGGAATTCTTCTCCATTCTGCTCATGAATTATGATGATCATGCGTGTGTCCCCAGCTGCAACGTCTATTTCCTTGTCCTGTCTAATCGCTGCCAAACTAGAAAAATATGCACCGTGTCTTAATTATATTATGGTGTCTTTTTAAAGGCCCTGCACACTCGCACAGGTCATTTTACTTTTGTGGGCTGATTTCAACACACTCCTGAGAAAGAGCTCATGCCAGAATACTTAAAATCCCTGGTGTGGGTGGCCTTTCATGTAAGCTTCAATTGTAGATACAAATTAACATTTGTTTCTAATAGTGAATTAGTGATACATTAAAACTCATGAATACCATCAGTGAAGTGGGGTGTTTGGGGCTGCTCTTGCACTTTTTGCCCTCAGTGCTCTCTTTGTTAAGACATGCATTTATGGGAAGCACTCGTTTTGAAGAAAAGGTTTTTTCATTTTAGGAATTATGCTGACTTGCTTTCTTGCAGAGAGGCAAATGAGAATATTGATACCACTCTCATGTAAGCGCAGTAAATATTAAGCTGCGGCCGGTTACCTTAGTTTAGCACAAAGATTGGAAAAGGGGCGTTAGAGTTAGATTAACAGCTAACCAACGGAATTTGCATCCCTTTTGTTCAATCTGTACAAAAACCTTGATGTAAAAACAACAACGCACTGTTTTATGCGATGTGCCTAACTATTTCTTGGTCAGCACCATTACAATTCAAAGTCACCTTCCAGCTGTGATGGGATCCGGTCCAACGTGGCGTGTCAGTGTCTGTCCCTCTCGTACAGTGATTTCTTTGGGGTCGATCTCAACATGCAGGTCATTCTTCAAGTGGATGACAATCCTTCTGAAGCCTCCATTCTCTACTGAATCAAGCTCACCGTTCACAGACAGCTCTAATACAAAAGAGAACAATTGCAACTTATCACCACATGTATACACAGTACAAGAACACACATCCTTCACTGAAGTAAAAGTACCAGAACAACAATGTAAAGAAAATACTCAGTTGCAAGTAAAAGTCCTTCGGAAAATAGTAATGGCACAAAGAGGAGTATTACTGACCCCTGTTGGGATGATGAAGTAGTTTAAGGCGAACATCTCCAGTGACATCAAAGCACAGTGGAAGAGACAGATTCTCAGTTTTTAGCAAAAATCTGTGAGAAAGAGGAACTAGAGAGAAACATAGAGTCACACAGCAGTACACACCGCTGTCAGATTATCTTAGTTTACTATTTACGCTTACAGACAAGAATGTCCTCTAGGTAAAGTGCACCCTCTTCCACAGCACAACAAATGACTTATATAAACTATAACATGAATTATTAGATACTCTACCATCAGTTGCAATGGGTGACACAATAGAGGGGAGTATTCGGCTGTCGTAATCGACAGTTCCTATTTGGAAATCCCGATCAGCTGTAAATACATTTACACAAAACAAGTTGTGTACATTAATATCACAAATCTTTTGAGGATTTTTGCATTACTTGACACCCACATTCTGACATCCAACCTCAGCTTCAAAGCAAACCACTAAATAAAAACGTTATTCTAATGCCCACCAGTTAAAGTAAATCCAAATGAAACATGTTATGTGTGTTGTTGTTTTTTTCAAATTCACCTACAAGTAATTTTACCAAGAGGATTTGGTGGAAAGTTTAGGCAAAGGGGCAGAGAAGAAGTGACTTTCATACATTGCATGTGTTGTAATTACATTGAATGTGTTGTGATTCTGTTATCCTGTTCTACACATGACATCTATTGCACTTCTGTCCATCATGGGAGAGGGATCCCACAGGTCTCTCCCTCTTTTTTCCCCGTTAAAAGGTTTTTTTTGGGGGAGTTTTTCCGGTTCCGATGTGAGGGTTCCGGGACAAGAGGATGTCAAATGTGTACATATTGTAAAGCCCTCTGAGGCAAATTTGTAATTTGTGATTTTGGGCTATACAAAAATAAATTTAATTGAATTCAATTCAATTGAACTTAAATTCAGATCCAATAGCAGCATCAGGTGGTTATTTATGAAGTAGTTTACATTTTGACTCATAAAACATGTAATGGAAGCAAACATCTTTTGTTAGTACAAATTTAACATCTTCCAACAATTCATTGTCTTTCACTATTTGTGTTGGATGCAAATACAATAGAATCAGATGGATTTATAGGGTTATGCAGCCTTGGATGCTTTTTATAGATGAACATGGTTGGTTGGTATCATGACAACAAAATTAGAAGGATGGATCAAAACTGGCACAGAAAATAAGTTTACCTGTATCAACTGGGCTGTAGAAGACTCCTGGTAAAGTAACTGTGAAATAAATAAATAAAATGAAACATCTGTTATTATCTTGCATTTACATTTTCTGTAAAAATACAGATTTTGCAACTTTTGTTGATTTTGTTGCAACTATAGCTAATTTGTTTCGGAAGGCACAGAGGAATTAGTTTCTATATCATAGATAACACAAGTTACAGAAGTTTTTTATAGTATAGAGGAGCTTTGCATTCATCACTAAAACTATTCCAATATTACAAGACCTTTATTTTGTAATTTAGTATAAACTATTAGATAAGAGCCACCCTCTTGATGCTACTGCTAAGAATAACTACATATTTAGCTCATAAGATCATCATTGCACCTAAAATAAATGCAGATGTAGAATAAACGTTGTCTTAGATTCCACAAACTCGGGTGTCCCTCAGGAAATATGAACAAATATATACAGTAAAATATGTACACTAGTGTAGTATTAAAGCAGTGCACATGTACCTGGATCATGACTACGACGAAGTCCTAAAAGGAAAAAGATGATAGCATGAAATTATGATACAGTTCTGCTTTGTCAATTATCTTGCAACCTCCCCCACCTTCAGTTTTTCTGTTCAGTTCTTTTCTTGCATAATTAAAGCAAATCATTGTACAGCAGGTGGTTATTTATGAAGTAGTTTACATTTTGACTCATAAAACATGTAATGGAAGCAAACATCTTTTGTTAGTACAAATTTAACATCTTCCAACAATTCATTGTCTTTCACTATGTGTGTTGGATACAAATACAATAGAATCAGATGGATTTATAGGGTTATGCAGCCTTGGATGCTTTTTATAGATGAACATGGTTGGTTGGTATCATGACAACAAAATTCGAAGGATGGATCAAAACTGGCACAGAAAATAATTTTACCTGTATCAACTGGGCTGTAGAAGACTCCTGGAAAATGAACAGTGAAATAAAAAAAAATGAAACATCTGTTATTATCTTGCATGTACATTTTCTGTAAAAATACAGATTTTGCAACTTTTGTTGATTTTGTTGCAACTATAGCTAGTAATTTGTTCTGCTACAGTTCTGCTTTGTCAATTATCTTGCAACCTCCTCCACCTTCAGTTTTTCTGTTCAGTTATTTTCTTGCATGATTAAAGCAAAGTATTGTACTGCGAAGAATGTAAAGATTTACTCATGAGAAATGTTTTCTATATGCTTTAGGCCAGTGATTCTCAACTGGTGGGTCGCGGACCCGTTTTCAGTGGGTCGCGGGCCTTTGCCTGAAAAAAAAATTCAAAAAAATCCTGTGCTTTATTTTGAAGGGGATTTTTTATGCAGCGGAGTGCCTTCACACTCCTTAACAATATTTGGTGTTAATGCCTTGTAATGCTAATACCAGCAGGGAATAAACTGAAAACTATTCCTCTGTTAAATGAGACTATAAATAGGCGAATTGAAGACATGTCGGATGACATCAAACAACAGGCCACAGCTCGAATTTAGGCAAGTGGTCATTTTGCATTACAAATGGACGAATCTACAGACATAACAAACAGCAGTTTTACTCGTTTACATGAAACATGTGTGGGACGGGGACTTACAGGAACAATTTATCTGCACAAGAGAGCGCCCTACTACTACGACTGCAGAGGACATTTTCAGCTGCATCTTTTCATTAAATCAATTTGTCCAACCATTTGATGGTGGGTCCCGCAGCCAGACCAGTTGAGAACCACTCCTTTAGGCTATTTAGAGGATGTTTTTGTACATTTATTTGATATACTGTAGTTCATTCATAAAATGTTTTAGATGTAAATTGATATTTGGCTATGCATCAATTGGTTGTGTTACAATTTTGCAAAGATGCAGCATCTGTTTCTCAAATTTTTGGCTGTGATTAAGTATTTCTGATGCATATTTGGAGTGCAAAAGTGTATAAAATAGATTATATTATTATATGTTACGTCAGAACGATGCAGATGTGTATCTATGTCTTACCTGGTACACTGCGTGCTGTAAAAAAAAGAAGATAACGTGAATCAACGTTAAGAATTGAGACTAAAATAATTGATTGACTATCGATTTTCCGTTTTTCGAAGAGTGGTACCCCAAGTTGGATTTATCTCATGGTTAAAGCATTTCGAAATGCTATTATTGTTTCCGACACTGTCACAAAGACAACCGGATCGCTTTCTGTTTTCCTCGGAGCCTACTACAAGTGACAACTTTAGCAACTTATTCAGACCATCAGGGAAAAAGGAAGAAACTTATTCAAATATTTAACATCATGGGGTCTCTCCCAGTGAGCAGGCAGCCTCTCCCTCACTGCAACCGACACAACCACCAAGCTTTATGCAGAAGTGTATCTGTCGTGTCAGGTTGGTGCAGATGTGTTATGTGTGTTATGTCTTACCTGGTATACCAGGAGGTGCTGTGAAAAAGAAAAAAGATAACCTCAAATTACGATAGTTGTTAATTTACTTAGGCTATATATTTATAGGCTATACATTACAGTACATTATGTGATTAATTCATCAATAGTGTATCTTTCATGTCTTACCTGGCATAGGGTAAGACTGTCCTGTTAAAAAGAGAGAGATGATGACAAAAATTAACATTAATTCATTAATTAACTTTAAAATAATTACAAATTAACTTGTATTGATGCAACATTATATGTCATTATTGTGAATTAATCAACTGTATTTCCAGTTCCACACACACTTAAAATTTGATTTATATATTTTTAAGTGCCACCTACAAGCTGTAGTCAAGGAATCTGTAGTTCTTTTATAAATGCAACAACCTTACATTGTGATTACACCACCTGTCATCAAATCAAATCATACAGATGTGTCACCTGTGTTTGTTTTGTGTTTGTTTTTTCCCCATTTGCGTTGCTTACGAGTAAGACCGGAGGTTATCCGTTGAGTGTTCTGATTAAACATCGGTTGGCGACCCATTTGATATTGTCTCCTTCCCTCTGTCGCTTCACCTTCCTTGGGTTTATGGAGCACATCTGTGTTCTCCCCCTGAGGCTTGGTGACCACCATTGATGTGAGTGGGGTTACAAAGCTGTACTTCAGCGACAGCTCAAAGGCCTCTTTCTTCGCGTTCTCCTTCTCAGGTCCAGATAACACCAGCCTGTGTCACAAATTGTGTATATGTTTTAAACATGACAGTTGACGAGAAAGTAAAATGAAGTTAAGATTAAGTGAAGTTAAGTAAGATTATCTTATATTGTCTACTATTATTGTTGTAACCTCATGCTGTCTCTAGGCTTTCCTTACAATTAATGTATGCACATACACACACATATCACTTTTCACTTTGTCAACAAATTAGAGCTGAAATAATTGTTAACGCTAATTTTAGCGTTAACGTTTAACTTAAACTTAAACTAGCTATCTATGGCTGATAAATTATGCAAGGGACAGTCATCATTTCTGCTCAGTCCACGGCCGTCAACTTACTTAAATTGAAGACCTGTTGTTTCACAAATTATAGTTTACAATGAATTTTGAGTGTAAATCTTCCACCTTTACAAATGTAAACCGCATCGTGTCCTGCAAAGGCGTAACAGTAACTAAAGGGCGTAGCAAACGGTCAATTTTGATAATTGATTAAATCCTTTAAGTCACAACGAAATGGCTAAACATTCTCTGGTAAACGCTTCTCAAATGTGATGGTTTGCTGTGTTTTACAATTTACAGTGTTGTAAATAAAAAACATTAAAAGATTTTGGACTGTTTTTCAGTCAAAACAAGCAATTTAAAGACGTCACCTTGACGTCACAAACTACCTTTGTGGTAGTTCCCGCTGCGTGTAGGACACATTTTGCCATGATGACACACACACACAGACTCATAAGGTGAAAACAATATAAGCCTCACGCTGTTGCGGCTGGTAACAAAGAGAAAAGGTGTCGACATCACACTCACTCTTTCTCCAGAAGCTGCTTGACTGTGAGGTAGGCCCAAACCCTCTGGATGTGGCTGTCAGACACTGGTCCATTGGACTCCACGGTAGCATTTGTGTCAGAAAACCTCACCCTTCTGTTGCTCTGTCATAGTCCAAATACATTTTTATGTCATAAATCATGTTATATTTATGGACACACAAGGCTTTTACAAAATATTACAGCTGATGTGCAGGGTGGAGCAATCCTTACTGAAATGGCGACAACTTGTGGAGTGAAGGTTTCAATGTTGTTGTCGGTGATCTGACCAGCCACCACAATCTCAGAGCCATTATAATATTGGCTGAAGTTAGTCTGGGTTAGATTGGTCCCACCATTATAGATCATGGTCACATCTGTCAACAGAGGAGTGGCCACCTCTTCATAGAAACCCTATTGACATACAGTATGGACACTGTATAAATGTTTATCTCTCCACAGCCAACCATGATTCATTTTATCTATGAAAATGTAACAAATCACATGGTAAACAGTATTTATAATGGGAGCAAGTGATTTCAAATACCTTCAGCTGTAAGTCAGCATCCGAGTCTTCATAAATCCGTCGTGCTACACCATTGCTCTGCAGCGACATCTTCTCAAGGAACTCAAAATTGACATCAAAACCAAAACCAAGGCAGTAGAGTGGGAATTTGTCCGCGATAGCCCCCCTGACATTTGACTGTATGACTTCCAGATTTGTCACCCCTGCAAAGACACAAGTTTTCAAGCAAGGGGAAGAGAAGGGAATGTTTCTGTAAATTATTAATAATAATAATTTCATCGTCAACATTATGAATGAAACTTCAACCTTTTTGGTACAGCCCTACTTCGTCATATTTTCTTTTGATTACCGTCAGCTGAGCACCTCGTCTTGTTCGGCCTTGAAGCATTGTGCATTGTCCTTTTTGTCCCTCTCAAATATGTGTCCCTTCTGTAAAGCTTCAGGCTATCTGTCTGAGAACACTGTTTCTATTGTGAAATCAGATTTGTTTACTGTTCTTCCCTGAAATACACTCTGACGTCACAACATCTGTTGTGTCACCCACCTGTCATGCTTGGCCCCACACATTGATGAAGAAAGAAAAAAAGCCAAGTTTACATTGACTATCTCACATACTATCTGAACCATTCAGGGTATACCAATGAAATGTACCAGCTTCCAAATTAAGATTTTTAGCCAGTTATGTTATGCATGTAAAAACAAATTTGCTAGCAGGCTAATACATTAGCGAAGGTTAGCTTGCTACATAACATTATATTAGTTTGGGACCTCGCTTAGTGTCTTCTTCTGCCTCTTAAGCCTACGGTTATACTTTCTGCAAGGTTCCACAGACATGAGCTGATGCGAAATCGAATACTACTCTCCTCACTGAAAACAGACTCTCAAAGATCCTCGAGGTTCTCAATTTCCTTCGCCAATCCACGTCTGTGTAGTTAGAAAATGTTGGATCGGCACGAACAGTCGAAAACTTGTGCCGTGTCGTCACTCACGATCCTCACTAATGCGTCAAGCATAAATCACGTTTTAATTGCAAACCATTTCTGACATCTGTTTCCTTCTTTTGGTAGTCTATAAAATGAAATATTTGGGTCTTATTTTTTGTTGTCACATCCCACTGGACAGCATATAGAAGGCATGTGCAAGTTTGAGAGTGGGCTTGAACCTGGAACCCAAAAGGGCTGCGGCCAACAGGGAAATAACATTTGACGCGGTTCTGATGTTAGCTGCAAGACGTGTCCTGTCGTTAGGGTCTAAAAGTATTTGTGTGTGTGTGTTTCATTGTAACCTGAGGTAGGGTCTCCATCGGTGAGAAGTATAAGCATAGACGCTGAACCTTCTCTGGGATGTGCATTCAGCATACGTGCTCCTTCCAACACTGCTTTGTTAATGTCAGTGGCTGAAATTAAAATGAAAATGTGTCATTACCACCGTTCTGCTGTCCAATGTTCCCAACCCTTCATAACATATTTATTTAAAACCTCACATCCTCTTTCGACAATTTCGCGTGAAAATTTCTTGGCACTCTCCAAATTTTCCATGTTGGCCTGAACAAGTTCTCGTTTCCAGTGGAAAATGCTGCTATCAAAAGTGATAAGACCAAAGTGGTCGTCCTCTGCCAGGTCACTCAAGATGTGGATCAATGCTATCCGGGTCTGGGCAAAGACATCATTCACACATTAGAGCTTTTATACAAATAAGAAACCATGCAATACTATTTGATTAGCGTGTGTTTGTTTATTGCTTTAATAAACATAATAGACTTAATTAACTGAAAAGGAGTAAAAGCCTCCAGTGCTACAGTGGAAATCTGTCACAAACTCACACTCACACAATACTATACCTGTTGCATTTTTCGTCCGTGCATTGAGCCACTTTGATCAATAACGAAGACAACATTTTTTGGTATGCTGGCAAGATTAGATGGAGCAAAGTGATGAACGAAGTACCGATCTGATTTCTTGGGGGAAAGAAAGTTTGATTGGTTAGAAAAGAGTGTTGAAAAGACAGGAAGATAAGATGGCTGAAGTATGGTATTTTGTGACAATGCTAATAGACAATTCAGAGTTAGCAATCTTCCAGGAAATGCACTCTTTCTTTACCTTGATGTCTCCCAGTGAGGGGTTCCTGTTGACATCATAAACAACAACCAGATCTCCATTCATACCCTGCTCTCCACAGCTGTCACACATTTTCTGTTGGTCCTCTGTCGGGTAGAAATACACCCACGCCTGGAAAAAAGGATGAATCAGGCTTGATAGATGTTTGAACGGGTTTATTGGTCAAAAAGATGAGCCTCTGCCTTTGATTTAATTTGGTTAGATTCAACTTTATTGTGTCTGCACAGCGTTGGGCACTAGTGATGCAGTGTGGCATCAAACCAGAAAGTGATAACTGTTTGGAAAGTGCATATAGAAATCCAGTATTTAAAAATGAATGACTGATACTAAGAGACGTGCACAAGGATGAGCAATAAGACAGAATGTTGTATGTCCAGTGGCATTGTGGTGTCATTATGATATAGTTAAACAGTTAAATATGGGTCGTCGGAATAAGACAAAAAATTGAGTTCCAGAATTTGTAATCTCTGCATGCTGTACCTGTTTGTCCACATGTGTTTTGGTGATAGCATTAGCCAGCGCTTTGGTGCTTAGTCCTCCCTTAACCTTGATGGAATTGATGCCTGCTTTCTCATTAATGTACACATCAACCTGGCATTAAGAATGAAATTAAATAGTTAGAAGCTCAGACCATGGGAGCTGTTGCTACCCCGTCATTGTTTTCCTGAATAGATACCAACAGGAGACACACCTTGAAGTCTTTGACAGGCTGCATGGGTCGAGCGTGGATCTGCAGGTCGTACTTGCCAAGCCTGCGTCTCAGCAGCTCCTCGTATGTAAGTTCAAAGGTGACCTTTTTGAGAGCAGCCATGGTCACAGAGGTCTTGAATTCCTCCAGGGTCCTTCCTACAGAACTGCAACAGACACGATAATCATTTCTTTAAAGCAGTGGTTCCCCCTTCTTATGATCTTAGTGTGGGTGTGAGATGTGAGTTAAAATTAAGAGTGAGTTTTTTCTTCTCAGATTGTTATATTTGAAGGATTTTAAAGACCTGAAGATGTTAAAATAGAAGAAAGAAGAAGTCAGAAAAAAAACAAAAAACATTATTTTGTACAAAAGATACATTTTTTCTTATTCTTCTCTTTTATCCTGAAGGACACACAAGGCTTTTTTTTACAAACTAAAATATTAAAACAACCTGTACAAGACCTGGCAATAAAAGAATCCATTGATCCATGTACCTGACAAGCCCAGCAGTTTCGCCACGGGACACGGCTTCAGTGTACTGCTGCTGAGCTTTCTCTTTGCCCTTCACAACACCATCGTAGACTTGGCCATCTATAAACCTGAAGAAAGACCGATGAGAAGTCTGTTTATGTAAAGATGTGAAGATTTTTTTTAATGTATAATGAAATGAAAATTCTTGTAAATATCATTTTTTGCTTCACACACATTCTGAATTTACTGATGAAGGCGTTCTTAGGAATCCGGACTTGAAATTCTACTTCCTTTGAGTCGTCCACACGATTGGCCACGCGGCTTGTGATGACAGTGGTTGCATAACGACTGGTCACTGTTGAGTTGATGTGAAAGCTATAGATATCCCAGTCATCCTGAACAAATAGAGGAGGAGGCGCATTTCACAATGAAATAAATAGCTCAGTTTATTTTGCAGGCTGACGACTAGCTGACCAAAGATCAGATAATGGGGAAGTGTTGGTGGGGGGCATCAGTGGAATCTCATTGGTCTGACTGCAGAAACACCCCCTTCTTCTTATTTATCCAGTGTTTTGCATTGGTGGAATTTAACTAAGTACATTTACTCAATACTTCATTAAAGTAAAAAGTCAAGGTATTTTACTTGAGTATTCCCATTTTCTGCTACTTTATACTTCTACTCCACTACATCTCAGAGGGAAATATTATACATTTGTCTCTACATGTGTCTTACTTGACTGAGAGTTTTCAAACACTTTCTGTCCAGTGAAAACCATTTTTCTCAAATGTTGTTGATTTTGAATTTGAATGTTTGTGATGAACTGAAGGATGTAGTGTTCCTTTATGGTTTGAGAAAAGTCTCCTACTAACTTGAAAACCACCTTGGATCAGCTGGAAAGTGCATCGTCATAAGGCTGAAAACAGGGCTGTTTTTTGTGACTCATGAAAAGTTCTTGAAAATGTGTGGTTCTCACAGGACAGCAATGCTACAAACATATGATGATCATATAGAATATGATGCATTACTGTAGGCTAACTAGCATATAAAGTATTTAACATTAGCACATCCTTGAACATCTACAGAAGAAACATAGACATTCATGCAGCAATAATATTAATCCAAAAAGATATAATAACCCAGACGAATGATTTTACTTCAGAATGAGTACTTTTACTTTTGATACTTAAAGCTTGTTTGCTGATAATATTGACATACTTTTACTTTAAAAAGGCTTTGAATTCAGGACTTTTTTGTAGTAAAGTATTTTCACAGTGTGGTTTTAGTACATTTACTGAAGTTAAGTACCTGAATACTTCCTCCACCACTGGTGTTTGGCACACTCCCAATACTCCTTAACATTTACCAGGTCTTAACCATGAAATGTAATGACTAATAAGGACACTGAATTGTTTACTTACAATCGTTCTCTATATTTTTTCCGTAACCTAACCTAAATAGATATATTTCATAAATTCAGTTTCCTTGCAGTGGCGTCTCTTTGTCTGATTTTGTGGCCTTACCTTGTTTGGTAGTGTGGTGGCCGAAGCCAGCAGCAGCCCAAAAAGGGTGATTTGCACCACAGCTCTCTCCATGATGGCTCCCACCAGAGTGCAACACAGGCAGCTAAAACTGTCTTTTAAACTCAAACATACAAGGACAACATCACTGTGTACATAATCTTGTTTTTAAAAGGGCAAACTCCTCTTTCTCTGTCCGCTGTTTCAACAACTCAGTCACTTGCACACCCACACAAAAATACATATTACCACCCACTTTCCTCCTCTGCATACTGCCAGGAATCCCACACAGAGCTATCAGAAAAATTCAGGATTAAAAAAGCTGAACTAGCAGAAATTCAACCGCTTTCGTGAGCTTTACTGTTGACATTGAGGGTCCAGCCTGCCTTTTTGCCGGGGAACACTGAAACCTTTCATGCAAACGGACAAAGTGAATGAAAGAAGTATGTGACTGATATTGTATGGTGTCAAGCAAAAATGAATTTATTATTTCTATCTTCAAGTATGTACAGCTTTTGTGAAATGTACCGATCTGACGAGGTCAGGAATTGACAGGGAAAACAGGTGATACAGCAGGCAAAAGGAACCATACACCTTGCTTTCATTGCAAGCATTAAAGAGATCAAATACAGGATTTACTGTGTAAAGCACAACGAAAATAGCTGCATCGGAGATGTTCTCAGGAAAAAGAAAAACAATCTATATTTCATCATGGAAGAAATTTTGCATTTAAAACAAAATATTGTGACGCTGTGCTAACATGGAAGGTTTTTGAAGCGGCACTCCACCAATTGTATACATAAAGTCCAGTTTACTTATTATTACTTCCACTGTTGTATAATGTGGTTCTGAAAATTAGAAAAATAATGATGAGGTCAAAGATGATATTGAGCTGCATTATGTGAAATTTAGGTTACAGCATTTCTGGAGCTTGACCCATACTGGGTCTGGATCATTACACCCAACATACTTCTTTACTGCATGGATTTTTTTTGCCACTACTTTGTTTTACCAGGATGCATCATCATATTGGTGCATTCAACAAACTATTTTTAAGAGGGAAATCTGCTAAGTAAAGTTCTACAAGAGAAGTAAGTGTTGAAAGTGTAGTTTTTGAGGCAGCACTATTGAAATAACTGATAGCGTGATAGCGTAATATTTGTTGGAGATCTTTGAATTAAGTCAGCCATAGTACATACAATTAACTGTATGAGCCAGATGATCTTGTGAGGCCAGCATTGAATAAACATGATTTAGAAAACCTATGCATTATACAAATAACATGTCAAACAGGCTTCTCAATAATTCTCATTCTTCATGTGCCTCTAATGTCACCATATCATCAACATTTATCAAACTGCCAGTTATCTCGTAAAAACCACAAAGGCAACCATATGTTAAGCTACAGACTGCATTAGTAGAGGTCTGGTATGATCATGATTCTGACTCATATGTCGGGTCCTTCAGCCCTCCTGGTCGTATAGTCTTAATGTCAATTTATCTTAACAACATTCTTCCTGTAACTCACCACTCCAACCTGTGCACACACACAGAATATCAATGTATTCATGCAGGCGGTGGTGCAGGTAGCAGAGAACAGGAAAATGACTCCAGTGAACAAGATTTTGTTTTACAATCTGTGATATTTCATTAACTGCAACATAACCAGATTATAGGGTTTAGTTGTGTTTGGTTGCTAAAGTAAATATGTGTCAATCAACATTCATTATTCAAATCACATAATTTACCTTTGGAGGTGAAAGCATATATATATATATATATAGAATATCTAGAGTCTGCTGGGAATCTAAATGCTTTTCTTCATAAAACTGAAACTGCAATTCAAGGCACTCTCACAGGTGTTTTTTCACCTGAAGACAAAATTCAAGTTCATTCAAATCTCTTCAGGATATTTTAAGCGCTTGTGCTGGAAGCATTTCATCGATGACGAATGAAACCTATCCTTGGACTGAGGGAGCAGAGTAAAGCGACTGGTCCTAGTGACCAGGATGTCAAGTGTTCACAGTGACGGCATGATGGTGGCTAATAAGGTGTCGCGTTAGGACACCTATCTGCAGCACCGACCAATGGATTATCTAATGTTACCTGTACAAACACTGGAGCTATGTACAGACAAACAGGAATTAATATATATACACACGGCAATGTACCATGAATGAACACTACATTATGAACATTCAATGAGTGGAATGGTACATTTCTAAGCAATAACAAAAATCTGCTCTTCTAAGCCTGATTGGGCTAATTATACGTATTTTAATGTACTAATACATTTACACTGCACTCAAGGATTATGTACCGTAATATGGACATGAGGTATGTTTATGCAAATTAAACAAATAGCATAAAACGCATAAAAAACGAATAGAGTATGTACATATGATTAGATACATGCTGGTTAAATCTATACAGTATATTCACACACAATGGACTGGACCTATGATGACATTTCTTTTTGGTAACGGAGTTGGAAGACACAATGCTACTCAGGTTAGAGAGTCCTGGCTTTGGGGTTGGGTGGCTGATATGATAGAATGGGGCTGGGGGCGTCCTGGGCCGAGGGCAAGGCAGGAAAGGCAAAGACTCCTGAAGGAAGTTGAAAGAGCAACCCAGGCCACTGGCTATTAGAGAGAGGCAAGGACAAGGCCCTGAATGGAGCAGGAGGGTGTGGCTGATAGCTGGGATGGGGCCCTGTGGAGGGGCTGGTCATCATTGTTGACCCTGGGGGGCCATCAGGCCATGACAGGGGAAGACTGCAGGCCTCTGAACCTGGAGCTGTCCATGATACCTAACAGGGTATTGAACACAACAATAATGACTAACTGCATTTACACAATACCACACAAACAATGAAACCAATCGATACGATAAAAATGAAATAAGAAATAAAATAAATAATATAATTTCGTAAAAGATAAAATAATAACTAAAATGTAAAAATGGGTTTTAAGAAGTGATTTAAAAGAGGTTACTGATTGTGAGATCCTTATCTCCTCAGGCAGAGTTTCAAAGCCGAGAGGCCCTGATGGCAAATGCACAGTCAGCTTTACTTTTCAGCCTTGACTTTGGAACAGCCAGAAGGGCGCCACCTGAGGTTCTAACGTTGCGAACCTGCTCATAGGGGGGGGGGGGGTGTCAACATTTGTTCTATGTATTTTGGGGCCAGACCCATACATGCTTTAAAAGTAATCAGTAAAATCTTAAAATCAATTCTAAAACGAACAGGGAGCCAATGAAGAGAAGCCAGGATCGGGTTGATGTGATGTCCTCTGTTTAAAAGCAGTGAGAAGCCGAGCTGCTGCGTTCTAGTTGGAGTCGAGAGAGTGACTCCAGAGAGGAGGGAGTTACAGTAGTTAAGTCTTGAAAAGATAAATGCATGAATGACTTTTTCCAGGTCAGGGTGAGAGAGGATTGGTTTGATTTTGGAGATGGTTGTAATTTGAAGGAAACAGTACTGGATGACTTTTGTGATTTGTGGTTTGAAGCTTAAATCTGAATAAAATAGTACCCCTACATTTCTGGCAGTGGACTTTATGTTAACAGACAAGGGGCCAAGGGCACTTTCAATGGGACTGATAGGGTTGATATCATTAAGACAGTCTAAAATAGCAGCTATGCTTCTTGGGTCATCAGGTCTCAAGGGAAGGTACATCTGTGTGTAAAACATTGTGACCTCAGCTAACTAACTAATTAAATAATTAAATAAATAGATAGCACGCATAAACGGCACACTACTTGCAATGAAATGTGCTGTACAGTTTTAGCAGTTTGGCACAAATGACTGTTGTGCACAAAGCCTTTTTCTCAGTGGGAAGCTAAAACTCTTTTATCTTTGTGTTAGGAAGTCAAATACAATCAGCAATTATGACAGAATAATTACCGTACTGCAAATGACTGTATATTTCTGCTGACATCTGACACAGTATGCATTTTGAGTATTTTAGTAATTTGTGAAGTCTCAATTTATTGTATTTAGAGAAAAAAAAAAAAACTAGGGAAATCAAAATGTTTTGTCAATGCCTATTGTTCTCCACTTCAGGCCTCATTATCTAAATACTGTGTTTACATGCACAACTTCCACTGTACCTCTTTAATGAACTAAATTCTAATAAAGGGTGTTTAAGATTTTAATCATTTTGTTTCTTGTAACCGCAGGGCTGATGGAACACAAAGTGGTACATCACTCGCATGAAACTCACATCTGAAGCACTAGCCAGGTGTCCACGTGCTCGAGGCACAACCTGATTCCAAAGCTGCTGCCCACTGATGCTCAGAGAGTTAGTGCGCGGCCTGCGGGTGACGATAAGAACCTCCTGGGCCCAGTCCTCCATCAGCCGCTGCAAGTCTTCAGGCAGGTTGTTTTCACTGGCGCTCATGGATGAGCCAGTGTATGTGCCGGTCTTGTTGTTGCTGTTATTGGCCTGAGCTTGGGCCAGTCCCATCACTGGCTGATGAGAAGGAGGCGTGGCACCTGCAGGCGGCTGCTGTGATTGATTGAAAGCCCCTGGCCCGGCTGCAGACCCTCGGGAGACACACATACCATGAGATCCTGTTTGTTGAGCTGATTAGACTGATATAAACTAACATGAGGCTTTTAGTGAGACACTGTAGTTCTACATACTGTTGCCACGTTCTTTACCAAGACAAAGACGCTTCAGTGTTGACCCTATAAGACAAAAAAGATTTGAAACAAATGTTTATTGCCATTAATATTGTCAAATAACAGGATGTAGTGCAAAACAAAGCTGCTGAATACTGCTGCAAAACATAGGACCAACTAAAACCAAACAAAGCAATCAGCCCCCTAAAACAAAACTGTCCATTTATTGGCAAAATCATGCAAGTGGTCGAGGTGAGAGCCATATCAAAGTGCAGTGTTGCAGTGATAGAGAGAGAGAGGTTCAAAAGAGGTGAGAGATTAGAAATGTTATAGCATGTCGGGGTGCATGTGGCATGCAGACGTCCATTGCCTAGTAACGCATGGTGGATAAGTAACAAAAACATGTATGGTATAAGGTGGATAAATGGTACAAGCATCATAAGAGACACTTGAAATGTGAGACAGGCCAAGTGCCCATAACCTTGATTATCCAAACCTCACGCTTCTGAAACAAGGTAATTGTCCAATAAACGGAAATGAATGAGTCTTAGTATAAATGATTCTTGTTTAAAAAACAAACAAACATTTAATCAATCCAAATCTTTACTTTACTTTTACCAAAAGTTCACACTTCAGGGGTTTGAATAAGCAATATACTTCTGTGCCAGCAAAAATACAAGACAAAGGCAAGACAAAGGCAGGTGATAAGGACGGGAATAAACTTAAGAAAACCCAGCGGTGTCGCAGAATATGTGGCAAAGACAGAAGAAAGATATCAGTGAGCTAAAAGTCGAGAAATAGATAATAACAATGGAAAACAAAAGAATAAAGCTATGCGGGAAGAGAAGAGATACAAACAGATAGACAAAGACACAGGCCCACTGAGAAATCTAGCTCGTGGCTTGCTACTGGATTTATAGGTCACTCTCTCAGATGTTTGAGGGTAATTAGACCAGCCTGTAGAGGAGTATAATCAAAGAGGGCAGAAGAAACCAAGGTAAGAAGAGCACACAATGAAATACGCAACCTTATCAAATAAAACATTTGTTATTAATTCTCTGATGAATCTACATGTTGACAGTCTAGTATTAGTGGAAAGACTGATGGCTAAGATGCTCTGATGTGTGTTGCTGGTGGTTACCTTGTCCAGGTGGAGCTTGTGTGCCGGTGCCGTCTCCATGTAGTCCAGCGTAAATATTATCGGAAGACAAAGATCCCTTGAGGGAACAGGGCTGCTGAGTCTGAACGGGCTCTGAGGTTGAGCTGGGAAGGTGGCTGGTGCATGAACGTGCCCTGCCGTGAGTGGGGATAGACCCTTTGGCTGGAGAGCCGTTTAAACTCACTGTGGGCTCACCTGTACCCGTAGCAGCACCTAAACACACACACACAAGCGTTAGAATGGTATACTCATTGCTCCTGCTGTAAATATTCAACCTATAGTAAAAGTTACTCACTGGATTTGCTGGAGTCACTAGATTTGGTTGTGACATTTCTAAATTGCTGAACCAGAGGGCTGAGAAGTTTGCCAGGCTTCAGTCTGTGCTTGCTGGACCTCTTCCTTCGACCGGCTTGTGGTGCAACGTGTGAGAGACCCAGGCCAGTAGGAGGGGCTTTGCCAAGCCGGCGATACAGCAGCTCCACTTCCCCCCGCTGATGGGCCTGCAGCTCAGAGATCTCCCTCAGATGTCTGAGGGGATGGAGGCAGGAATATACTGGTCACATTCAAGACGAATGACAAAATATTTTCATGAGAAGACACTTAATAAGGCCAAAAGCAAACCCCTGGCTACACATACTTCTCCCTGAGTCTCTGTAGGTCCCTCTTCATGTCCGAGTCCTCCATCTCTGAGTCATTATCGCTGCTGGCATAGGCCGAGCCGGGCACGCCTCCATGCCTACTTGGTGAGTCAGAGCTCTGCACACTGCTGCTGCGCCCTGAGCGACGGAGGAAGGCCACTGCCCTCTTCATGAGGTCACTTCCTCTGCGCTCAGAGCGAGTATGTTGAGACGGGGTGGCAGGAGCCAGCTTTGCAGGGCTGCTGTCAGCCCCGGAGTCTGAGGAGAGGAAACGAGCATGGACCGTGACATCCACAGCGACAGAGTTCGAGGTCAGGGCGCGAGGCAGGGAGTCCTGCTTGGCCATGGACGGAGGTGTGTCCAGGTAGAAATCAGGCGGGGCAGAGTAGCGGCTGCACCGTGTCCTCTGTGTAATGTCATCTTCAGTGCTGACCACAGAGAAACGACCAATCGTGGTGGATGCACTCATGGCCTCAGCCTGGATGTGTTCCTCACTGTATCCTACAGGGTGTGCCGGTGAGGCAGCAGTGCTCCAGCTTCTCAGCTTCACATCTCGTCTGTTAGCCACTTCAGGAGGAACAGAGATTATCTGCCAAAAGCAAAGAAAAATCGGGGTATTCACAGGCCATCCTGGAATGCTTCTGTGGCGTCAAATCTAAAAGAAAATTCTACCTTTCCCTTAAATGTGAGGGAGGAAAATCTCTACCTTAAATCGGCCTCTTGTTCCAGAGCAGGAAGCAGAGTGAGGAACGTGTCTTCTTGACATGGAAGCTGCAAAAACGTCCAAAACAATGAACAGAGTGGCTCTGCAGTAATCAACAAACACTAAAACAAACAGTTGGATAGAAGTTAATGATACCAGTCTTGTTACATCTATTAGTGTGTGCTGTACATACCACACACAGCTGAGTCACTCAGTGTGCTCAAACTGTCCATTCTCTCTGGAATTTGAGGCTAATAGAGGTGACATGATGAGAGGTTAACAAAACAGAGCCATTAGAAAACTACAATACAAACCATCTATCACTGTTCTGTTATATGAGTGTTAATATAGAGTATTTAGATGATGTCGAACTAAATATTTCTCATAAAATCTTTCTGCAGCTTGTGTAAAATAGGCAGTACAATTTTTCTTGAAATCCTTTATGCACCTAAAATGTATTTCCATGTATACATATGGCTCACAGTATATTTAATCATATTTGAAATGCACATCAATATATCACACAATATCTTTTAAACCAGCATTAACTGGCAGACTACATTTGAAAATAAAGGGTGAAAACTTTTATAATTATATATAATAACTTGTTAAATATAGTATTGGAGTAGTCCTTCTCCACATGCAAATATTTCATTTTAATATACTACATTATAGTTTTCGATGCCTAAATATGCTAAAATATTTTCATTCTACAAATCCAAATTGATTGATAGGTCTGCTAACACATAGACTTAAACAATGACAAAAAATGAAAATAAAGCTTTCCTTTCTTTCAATAAAATAAACTGAAATGAACATAATTCACAATATCTAACTTAAATACAGACAAAACAATCCAGTTACAAGGTCCAATAGTTGTTGTTCTGTAGCTCTCGGTCATATTACACAATCTCCCCCAGCAGAAAATAAATACTCATTTGACATCGTGGTGAAATTATTTTGTCAACTGCTGTTTTTAAAATGAAGAGTTAAATCTGAATATTTAAGCCTGCAACTCCCACCGTATTTAAATATTGTTATATAGTTTAATAAATGACTAGTAATTGTACTTACCAGCTGTTCTCCCACCCTGTAGCGTCCCTCCCCCATCGGCCCTGGCGTGCTGTTTCCTGACCCTCCTGTGGCGCTCTCTGGACCAGGAGGGGACTGGATGTACTCGGTGCCGGAGCCCGGTGTCTCTGCAGTGCTGCCTGATGGATACATGGGAGCATATTCCTGGTAGAGCAAGTTCCTTAGTTTCTCATCCAAAGTTTTTATGGTGCTGTCCACAAAGCCCCCGCGGCCCAGACGTCCTTCGCCGTCTGACTCACCGGGCCCTGCGCCGTGCTGGGAGGGCGCTGGGCTCTGGGGTACTGAGGACACTTTGGTCCCCCCCACGCTGGAAAAAGGCTGGTGCAGCACCACGGGCTGCTGTGGGCGCTCGCTGCGAGCTACAGAGGCATAAGAGACAGACAGCGGCTCTTTGGCTGAACCTGGCTCCTGGAGTGGAAGAGGAGTGAGAGGAGACCCCCCATGTAAACCGCTCACATCCAGAGACAGGGGCATGACCAGGGGGCAGCAGGGCACCTCGTCAGCCATAGAAACAGGACACGTCAAGTCGGGCATCTGCTGAGCCGCATGGATCGGGGAGATGGAGCCCAAAGGGGATCCTCGTGATTCATCCACAGGTAACGACGTATGTGGGGACGACGGGGGCAAAGTTTGAGCTCTGGGTGGCTGGGCCTGATGAACACTGGGCTGCACCGAGCCGCTCGCAGGCTCCACCGATGTCCCTGACTGAAGGGTCGGGGGAGCAGACACAGGGGGGGACAGGGTAGCTAAGAGGAGAGGGTCTGTGTTGGACATTATCGGAGGGCTACAGAATCCATACACATCATAGTTGAAGCCACCACTGCCACCAGACATTGTGGAGGACGACCCTTCTGCAGGAGGAAAAAAATGAAGATGAGAGAAAATCGTACAAAATGATGAAATATACCAACTTTTATTCAAACATTGCACACAGAAGCTGTAGGATCTATTTCATTCAGCTCCCATAGTGTGGCGCTATTGCTCCGTGAAGCTGTCAAATCGTGTGGTGAAATTGCTCTGAAGAAACAACGTCACCTCTGGATGCAGACGGCCTTATAGTGCCACTGTCAGCAGGCTGGGTGGTGGCTGAACTCCCAAGAGACTGTGTAGCTGTGCCGTCAGTCGGGGTCTCCTGGCTGGATGTGGCCGTCTCCTCAACGGGGCAGATAATGAACCATCTCTTTCCTGTATGAAGAACTGCAATCCAAGAGTTCAAACAATCACCACACATTTTCTTACAACTGAATGTGAAAAATGAGGCATGCCTATGAGTACATTTTTGAAAGAGACAATCATTTTACCATTCTGCTGATAGACAGGCTGAGGCGCTCCAGGCTGCTGACTCTGCAGAGCAAGAGACAGGTGTGAGCTAAGTCAATATGCTGTATAGTAACATATATATACAGTACATACCCCTCTTACCTCTCCCAACAGCCCCTCAGTAATCTGGCCTTGCTCAGGACTACAACTCAAGGCGGAGGCCCTTTCACCCTCCATGTCTTCATTCAGCATGTCTTCAGCTTTGTCCACAAGGTCCTTTAGCTGGTCAATGAAGATCTCCTTCTCTAACAGTAGGATGAACCCATTCTCTACCTGTGGGCATACAGTTTCAAAGATGTTAAACAATGTCAAAAATAAAACAACTAAATGACGAAAAGTGTAAAAGTTTCAACGAACCATGTAAGTGGCAATTTCCTCTGGAGCATCTCCATCCAGATCAAATTTAAATGTCACCATTTTGTGGTTGTGAGTCTCCAGCTGGCATTCGACCATTTTATCACCAGTGTTGCAAACCTGTGTGTGCAGGGGTAACGCTTAACAATCAGACACATCTACATTTCAAGAAATAAAAATAACTTTTTGTCAAAACCTTACATCATGACTCACATTGAGCATGCTCAGTTTGGGCTTGCTGGTCCTTTCTTGACGGGAGCGTGTGCGAGCAGACTTGCGGTGATGTTTCCTGGGTTTTCCGTCCCCCTTCCCTCCACTAGCCAAGCTGTCATAGCCGTCACTTGTTTCCTTACCAGAGGCCACGTCAGAGTTGAGACTATAAAAGGAAACGTTAACGTCATCACCCTGGTGTACACGTTTTCATCACAGAAAGTGATAACAGAATTTGTAAAGAGCTGAAGGACAGTGAAGAAGTTGACACCCACCTGTCATAAGCATAACTCGGTAAAGATCCGGATTTGTCTTGAAGCACATCCTGAAGACAGAAAAATGGGCAGGAACAAAACAGTTAGGAAAACTTACAAAGGTTTTATTTTAGAATGGATCATTGCAAGAATGTATAACGCTAGTATTAATGTTAATGTGTGCTATTAGCTTTTGTCCTTAAAGGGATATTTTAGTCTCAAATGGAGAAGCTGGTTTTAAGATGGGATTGAGGCATTAAACTGATATGAATGTAACTTGAGAGGCAGCCTGTGGTTTGAGCACACTTTCTGAGCAACAACTAGACATCAGCCAGCAAGTGTCATCTTTTAGTATGCATCTGTGTATAGATCAAAATTACACTTGAAAATGTACAAACATTGGCTTTATCCCTACCTCTACACAGGGCTCTTGTTGAAGGGTGCAAGAGGAAGATGTAGAATCGAAGAAGTTTTGCTGAGTTGCGGCCTGAATGGCGCACTCATACACTGCTGTCTGGATGCCAGCAGGCTGCAGAAATGCGGCCTGGACCGAAGCTGCGACAGGAGCTGTGTCTGGCAGTGTGACAGGAATTGGGGCAGAGCCTAAACTTAAGACGGAGAGTTTGGGTTTCCCAAGTGCATAAGATGTATCTGAGCTTGTAGATGATCCTTTTGGTGATTCAAAAATGAGACCCGATGCAGAGACCGGTGCTTGAACTGGAGCAGAGGCTAAGGTTTGAACTGCTGTTGGAACTTGTATTGGGACTGAAGTCGGGGCATTAACAGCGGTCAAAGCTGGAGTCTGAGGCATGAGTGGTTGGTTTTGTGCTGGGACCAGAGCTGGAGTTTGTCCTGGGGCTTGAGTTTCAGCTTGAGCTGTAGCTAAGATTGAGGCTGGAGCTGGAACTGTAGGAGCTACAGTTAAGTCTCGGTCTGCTGCAGGGATTACTCCGCTTCCCCAGAGAGGAGTCTGAACAGCAGGCAAGGCAGCGTGGACCGAAGCCAAAAGGTGAAATTCTCCCAAATGACCCTGTGGTGTAATCATCTGTACCTGCAAAAAATAGCACATTTAGGGAATTGTTCATCAATTAATGTTAACTGGTAAATGTTCACCTCTAAATCACCAAACGCATGCCCTGCATTCATCATACCCACAATTAAGACACATTGCCACCTTAGTATGACAGATTTTTCATGACCCAACCATTACAGTGACAACTGAGCCAAATATTCACCTGGACAGGCGGCTGAGCCAATTCCTGCTCAGGGTAGGGGGTGGGGTATGGGGTGGGTTGTACCTGAGAGAGATGTAAGGGATGGGTGGTATGGAAGCTACCAATGTTTGTCTGAGATGTGAGAGGGCCGCCCTGCTGCTGGGGCACTGCAGGGGACATGGCCATGGCAAGAGGTGGAATAGATAGTGCCACATTGGGCAGGTATTGAGGTGTGGACAGAGGGGTCTGAGGGCTGCCGAGAGTAGGTATAAATGGCCGGGTAGTGTGAGGGGTCAGAGGGAAGGAGGGATAGTGGGGTGATGGTGAGTAGTGGGAGCTAGACATAAGAGGGCGACTGCTGCTGTAGGCACATGGCAGAGGAGCTGGGGGGAAGGAAGTGGGCCTGAGGCCCCCTATTTGAACGACAGGATATGGTGAGGGAAACTGGGAAAGAAGGGAAAATGATATAAAATGAACAAAGACAACCAGTCGATAGAAATAACATTCACACAGGCCCTTTATGTATGAATCCTGTAACCTATACTAACATTTGTAGGATATTTCTCCCAAATTTCACGAACTTAGTTTGATCTTGTGTTTCTAACGCTACCACCACGCACCTGTGTGCTGATCTGAAGGGGCAGGAGTGGGGAAGGAGTACTGGACACTGACTGTGGAAAACTGGTAGATACGTATATCAGGAGGATTCAGGTGAGATATAGGCTGGTCAGCAGATAACAGCTAAGGAAGGAAATCAAACATTTGTTTTCCACTTTGACTGGTGAGTAAGAATTTTGTGATGAAAATACAAACTAACTCTGACAAGATGTTCTGTTCTGGTCTCTCCACTTTATTAAAATGAGCTGCAGGGCAGGTAGAGTTAATGCGAATGAATTATTCTGTGTGGTTTGCAGTGTATGTACTGTAGCCATGCTGCAGTTGAGTTATCAGAAATGATGGCTGTACCTGGGGCAGCACAGCAGCTGGTTGGAGATGGCACTACAGGGAGGAAAGACAAATGGGAAGGAAACACAAACTACATGAAAAGCTATACACACACACACACACACACACACATATATATATATAGTATGTGATGAAGTATTTAAAAGGGGACATCAGATGCACTTTGTACCCACCTCACACACAGATACCCTACAAATAGTGCGCGTTCAGATAGCTGGTACCACTAAATTGCAATTGCACATTAATCTTATTTGCATGTAATAGTTTTTAACAGTTGACACTGAATGCCAAAGAAGTATTAAGAACTATTAATAATCAACCCTGAGTGGGTTTCATAGGGTAACTTCCAAACTTTTGCCTCCTAATCCTGTTTTTTGTGTCTCACTGTTGCCAGGGCCTCTTGCAGATAGATGCATGCAGTACCTGCTCCTGGCTGGGTTGAGCAGTATGTTGTGGCTGTAGAGCGGGGTCTGCAGCGGGGAAGCTCTGTGCTGTCTGTCTACTCTGGTGCACAATAGGAGCTGGTGTAGCTGGAGCAGAAACTGTCTGTCAGAAACACATAAGAGAGATCACATTTACTCAACCTGGTTTTTAGGTATAGTATGACACGGTCATGTTTGTTTATTTACAAATTAAGCTCAAGGTTAAAATGTTCAGTGTATCAAAGCAGGGGTAGTCATACACAAGGAAGTAGAGAGGGATGTTTTTTAGCAGTTGGAAAGGTTCAATAAGGCATGCTAAAATGTAAAAGCGATGTTATAGCTTTACTCATCAGCCATACTGCCAAACACTGTGCTAGCGCGTAATTACGTACGCTGCCACACTAAAACAGAGACCTAATTTTGGATTAGGCAGGAGCAGAGACTGGCTGTTGGGCTGGCTTTGCTACTGTCATGGAAAGGCGGGAGGATTGAAGTAGCTGGCAGAATCATTAAAGGGAACAGCAAACTGCTGCTACGGCAGGACTTAGCCTACATGCAGCCTCCTTCTCTAACCTACCAGTGGATCTGGTCTGCCTTCACTGTCATGTACTGATAACAGCTGATCCCTCTCCAGATTCAGGCTAGAGAAGAGTGGGACATCCAGACTCAGCCTCTTGTCTATATGCTCAACCACTGAGGAGGTAGTGCCCCTGACCTCCCCATGGCTGAATATTGGATCATTAGCAGACAGGGTGGGGGAACTGGTCCTGCGATTGACGATGTGATGGAGACAGTGGTCGAGAAGAGTGAGATCTCCACATTCATACAAACTCCGTGGGAGCAAAACTTGTGAGTGTTGGGATAGATGTGAAGAATAAGTCACCAGGGTTGGTTCACTGTTTGATGATGGGGGACAGGGTGAGCCTAGCTTAGAGACTGAAGTAAAATGGGAAGATGTGGAGACGGAATGTATATGTGTGTGTCCCGGAGATGCGCCTTCCTTTGTCTTATCCCTCAAAAGGAGGAACATGCAAGCCTTGCAGTGGCGGTGGGGCTGTGGGCTGCGTGGCACAATCAGACGGAGCTCTGAGGGAGGTTGTAAATTCAGGAGAGGTGAATTGAAATGACTTGCTGAGTGATGATGAGAGTGTTGATGTGGCGGCAATGGGGAAGATAATAATGATGGATTCTGGGCTGAGTTAGAGGATAGGAAGTCTGTGCCATGCCCTGAGTTCTCTGTGCTTTTTGTTGAAGCCAGATCCTGTGACGGACACAGACGGGGGCTTTTATTCATCATCTTAGTGAGAGAGTGTTTCTTACACCGTAACATCTCAGCCAGGGAGGCGTTTCCACGCCTAAAACACACTGTGCTCTCAGTGATGAACAGGTTGTCATGACATACAAAGGGATCACTGTAGTGACGCTGATCAGGTATCATTCCAAAAAAGAAAAGAAAAATGTTTTTATTTCAAAAAACAACTCAAAAACAAATGAAGGATTTAAGAAAGTTGCCATAGAAATAAGAAATGCTGTCACTCACTGTTTGAGACTGATAAGGCCCCTGCTGCAGTTGTGCTGCAGGTTGACGATAGGCCCCAGGATGCAGCTGCTGGTAGGCTCCATGGTGTAATTGAGTGGATGTCTGTGTGTAGTTTTCATGAGAGGCCTGTGCTGCGGGTTGCTGGTAGGTTCCCTGCTGCAGCTGAGGCTCTACCTGTGCAGGAGGACTGTAGATCTTCTGAGTTGTGGAAATGGGCTCTGGAAGCGACTGGTAGGGGCCATCTTGCTGTTTGTTGAGATCATCTAAATGCATGGTAGAGCTCACTCTGCTGTCAGCTGTAATAACAAACATTATAATTCACAACGATCCTCTGCAGGAAGGACAGACACTGAGGAAGGACAGTGGAAGGAAGGACAATGGAGAAGCATCTCATTCAAATTCAAATGCTGGGTGAAGATGCCTCATTGATGACTAATAGGTGTTACTCAATCGCTGCAGTCAACTTTTCTTGTTTACAATCACAAATACCAATTTAACAGTTTTAAGTCATCGTCAGTTTTATTTCCTGTTAATGGATGAGTGAGTTCTAACAGTAAAACTGAAGTTGTATGATATACGATACGTTCATGTGTTCTTCTATTTGCAGGTTCTCACATGTGACAGATGTGGCGGCTGGCACGGTGCAGATCAGGGTCTGCTGCTCCACCTCTTGGTCCACATAATCTTTCGTAGCTAATGCGGGTGCCTGTGGTACGACGGTACCGGGCACCTGCAGTAGGTTCGGCTGCGCCTTCTTCACAGCTGCTTCGCCATTTCCTGACGAGACGGTACGCTCCCTCCTCCATTTGATGAGAGCCACGCGGTCGCGGATGGACTTCCCAACTATCTTCACATCACAGTCCAGGAAAAACCCTGATTCCACCTACAGGACACATGTAAGATACTCACTGCAGCTCAGAACACACCAGGTCATTCAACACCGTATGTAATCAATCATCAAATCTTCATTCGACCCATGAACAACAAGAACTGCCTGTTCATGCCTTCTGAAGGATCAGCTGATCAGTTGCTCTAGTTTCAATCAATACTGTTCATTCCTCAAGCGTTTGGTTACAGACATGATCACCAACCAACCCCCAGTTACATTACAATTAAAAGGGCCCAAGATTGTGTTCCAAAGTAAAGACTGCTGCATAGACATATATACTGAAATGTGTGATAGAATGATACTGCACAGGTAATAATCCACAACAAGTTGTCCTGATATGTCAAAGGCACCTTGTTGCATTTCCTCCGCTACACCATAGTGTGTTATTGTGCTTATACCATAGCCACAGCCAGTTAAATCAATGGCAGTTGGGCCTGTTTCTCCAATGAGTTACCTGGTAATGTAGCAGAGAGCAGTATTGTTGCTCTGGTTACCTGCAGCTTAATATTCCTTACGTACTGAATTAGAGCTATTTTTGAAGTTGTCAATGGACAGACACAACACAGCCGCACAGAAATGAGTATTTTCCCAGGCTTTGGGACAAATGAAGCATGTGGAACACAAGCAGAGACCAAACCAGTCTATAAAAAGGGATCAATCCGTGGAACACCTGATTAGCCTGGTTTCAGACCTCTAATCGCTACCCACTAAGTAAAACATACTAGTAATAAAGTTAACAGCTAGTTGTGTAAAGAAACCCTACAACTATTGTCTGTGTATTAAATAAAATACAATTAATCTCTCAGTAACTTAAACAAACAGTTTACCATTTCTTGGGCAACAACCTCCGGGACTTCGTTTATCAAGTCAAAGGAAAACTCAATGGCACCAGTGTCCTTATACTTCCCCTTCAGCTTTTTAGGATCCTCAACCCACAGCTTCAGGGCAATGGAGGATTTCTTCCCATCATCGTCTTCATTGAGCTCCACCCTCACGCCTGTATCCTCTGCAAAGAAGGCATGATTCAGGAGGTCCTTGATGGAGTACCTGCAGGAAATACACAAACACCAGGTACTGCCCTTAGTTAAAGGTCACAATGATAGTAACCTTACCCACACAGAAACATCAACTGTGTCAGAGCCAAATATTGGCAAAGACGTCACACCGCAGAAACAGAAACAAAACAGAAACAACAGTGTTGAGGTGAGGATCACCCGCTTACTACATACTAAATGCATCACGAGACCCGAGACACTGTCAAAAGTCCGGCTCCAATTACCTTTCTTCCTTTCTGTGGCAGATACATTCCCCGATTATTTCTTTAATTTCTGGGTCACTGACTTTGCTGTAGCTGGCAGGTTTCACCCCCTGCAAAAGAAAGCAGCATTAACATGTATCAACCCACCAACTTACACACACAAAACATCAGAACCTAGCATGTGACTGCATATACCAAAGAAAGTACATAAAAAACAGTGTTTGCAGTGTTAAAACACATTCATTACAAAACACAGACGTCTCAACTCCGGGAATTAAGAAGCTACTGCTGTATAAGAGCACTTGTACGACGCTGGAACGACTAGTTGAGTAATTAATCAATCCACAAAGAACTGATTAAAATTACAATAATTCATTTATTGTAGGAGTTTATACAAAAAACAACATTAGATGGTTAAAGTGAGACTATGTAACCATTGAAATAAGAAATACCACATCCTGCTTAAAAATGAAAAGTTTAATTCGTAAAACGCATCGTTGCTCATTTTAATGCAGCTACAGCCTTACTTGCTCTGGTATGACAAGTAGCTTTGGTAGCTTATGTTAGCAAACCTTTCTACATTTGTTTACTGACTTTATGACTCTTAAATACGAGATTTAAGAGTTATATTTACTTTGGTTAAATGTGGGGAGCCTCTGTCATAAGTTTTAACATTTTATAGATTGCATAGTCAGTCTGTCTGTTAAAAAATAATTGTATATATGTATAAATATATAAAATAATTGGTTGCAACCTCTGTACATGTCTCCGAGCCACAGACGACATAATTGATTCATTTGTTAGGAACAACGGACCCTGACTCGATATACGTAGTTGTAATAGCAATGAGTTTAACAGCTTTAAATGTGAACTCACACTGGTGACTTTGCGGTAGATCTGAGCAGCATTTTGACACTCAGAGTAGGGATATTCTGAGGTGGCCATCTCCAGCATGCACATCCCAAAGGCGTAGACATCCACAGCCTCGTCATAGTGCTCCTCATACATCTCTGGGGCCATGAACTCTGGAGTGCCTAGAGAATTAAGGCAAGAGTTATCAGTGTGTCATCCTATTTCAGTAGGATCAATACCAGTGCCGAGGACTGAAAGCCAATACAGCTGCTTAATCGTGACTCCAAGAATTTAGTGATCACTCAAATGGCAGAGAACAGAGAACTGATCAAAAAGTAAAAAACACAGAGATGTTCTTTCCAACTTTAACACAATAATATGATCTTACTCTCTGATTTAAAAAAAAAAAGTGTTTAATAATTTTTTTAGCATTAATCTAGTGGAGAAAAACTGAGAAATCTTTGACCAAACTAAAGTGGGCCTAAAGCGGAACCTTTGCTGACTTTCAATTAGATTAAACAGTGTAAACATATAGGCTATTAGTAGGATTGTGTACCTGGATGGATCGATCTCGTCTTTGTTGCCTGTAACATTCAGTAAAATAAGACATAAGCTCGCTGTTCAATTAAAATGTGAGCTAATGTCATTGAAATGGCCTTTGGGAAAAACAGATTTTGAAACACATACATGTATCATAATTTAGAGTTTAAAGTTTAAAGCAGCTATAATAAATATTTCTGTGTTACCAATGGATCACCTACAGAAACCTACACCTACAGTGTTTGTGAAAGGGCTACCGCGTAGTGACAAACTCACAGAGAGATATTGATCAACCCCTTCAGCATCAGTGTTGTTTTCTGGCCGCAGCAAGAAGCTGTTTTTAGTGAAAGAGCCATAAAAGCCCGACTGTACAATACCAGCTCAGCGGCAAACAGCAGACAGACCGATAGCGACTAGTTGATGAGACTATCGAGACAGATATTTCCCTCGGGAGTTGGTGGAGACCAAAAACAGAGGTTAAAGTAGAGAGAGTATTGATCTTACATTCATCAGGTTACCACAATTTCAAATGAATGCTAATGTTACTCTGTAGCAACAAGTTTTTCATATCAACTTAAAAGCTGATAATATGTCTGTTACATTCACCGCTTGTTTCCGCTGCCCCAGAGTGCCCAAAAGTGTCTGCAGGTTTCAATAAATATTCAATAAAAGGACGTTTTGCCAAATAGCTCACGACTAACCAATGACACTTTTAGCAAAGGAGGCCCTCTTCAGTGTTGCCAGGCCCAGGTCTCCTATTTTGACAGAGCCTGTGGGACCAGTGATGAAGATGTTGTCACACTTGAGGTCTCTGTGGATGATTGGAGGAGTCCTTGTGTGGAGGAAGTGGAGGCCTTTGAGAATCTGCCTGCACCAGCTCCTAAGAACTTTAGGCTTCATCACCTTAAAACGCTTCAGATACCTGTTAGGAGGAGAAAGATGTTCCTGTTGTCACCAAGTAGCTACATTCCATTCAAAACACATTGAATTATGAATTGACATATCAAGGTCCCCACTAGTCACTGTGTTGATAAAATGTTAAATATAAAAGCTGTTACAAATTAGTATTGCTTCCATTAAACACAGTCAACATGAATCTCTGATGACTAATCTATTCTCAAATGAATCTCCTCATTTTGACTTCCTCAAACATTTTTTTTTCCACAAGGTCTACACTGTTCAGTCTCTACAGTCTAGTATTGGATTTACTGTCATGGTATCATTCAATTGGTATGAAACTTGATACACATGATGGAGACAGACTAATGGTCATTACTATCAGGCGTTTTAAAAAACTGACTAATACAAGCAGCAATAAAACACTAATATTTGCCGCTTAGTGAATATACCAAGATAATTATAGAAAATAGTGTTTTCATATTGACTCTCACGTTTTAAGTGTCCCTGAGGTCATCAGCTCTGTTACCAGAACGATGCACTTCTTCCCTTTAACCTGTGATTCCCAGAAGTCATAAAATCGCACGATGTTGGGATGCTGGAGAGCCTTTAACATCTCTGCCTCCTCTTTGAACCTCTGTCTCTCAGCTTTGGATAGTTTCCGGTCCTGGGGAAAACCAAAAAAGTAATAATTGGTTTTTTTTAATGATAAATAATATATCCACTCATTTTTTTTCAGTATTCTGGAGCCTTATCAGAGAGGAAGCAATTCGTCCAAATCTAACAAGTTTAAGGGGTGGTGGAAGAGGAAGGAACTGAATCATCATCATTGTCAGTGTCTTTCTTAAATCAAGTGGTAATGGAAGATACAATCCACTCTCAACCTTTACAAGTCTGTTAGAACTACCTCATGTTCAGAGTGAACACAACCTTGTCATTTCAATTCGGTAAACATGGGGGTCTGAACCATTTACTCTTTTTTCTTTATCACTAGTGTGTATATAACACACGGCACTAAACCCCCCCCCCCCCCCCAACTATGAATGGAATACTGACATTTCCAGAAAAAGTCAAATCCTTAATTAATCTGGTGTTGTGATACAGAGACCGACACATCTGTCCTGACAGATAAACAAAAGATTAAATTGCATTTTAAACAGTAAATGTCAAATGTGCTGCTGGTAAAAAATGGAACAAAAAGAAAATACTATTGAGACTTTATAACGGCAAGTTAGAGATTAAGTATTTTCCATCACAGAGCCCAAAACATCGAGAATAATGTGTACAATTCTTCAGAGTTTATCTTTGGGTATACAAGCCTGAGTGAATCATTGTATACTTGATCAATATTTTGGCCCCTGCCTTCCCTGAACTGTTGTATAAATAGTAAAACAGCTGACAGCGAACATCCTCTACATTTCTGTTTCTCTCCAGTCAGCATGGCAGATACAACCCAATGGCCTCAGCCACGACAAATACTGAATGACCTCTGGATTCTATCTCCCTCTGTCTCAATATACACATTTAATGGTAGGGATGAGGGTGCATTTTATGTTTTAAAATGTCTGGGATGCACAATAATATGGTATTGGTTATTGATTGATGATGGGGAATCAGATTTCATTCACAGCACACATTGACCTATGCAGTGCGCAGCCTCACGCAGGGGATGAACCTCCCCGCTTTAGCTCCCTTCACAATGGTCATTCTGATTTATAACAATATATTACGGTTAGTCTTATCTCTCTTTTCATGTGTTCTATGTATTTAACACACAGATTATTAATGATTCTCTATAGAGGGAAGATCTGAACAGGGTGTGGCACTTACAACACACAATCTGCTTTACAGAGACTTCATTTTGCACAATAAATACTGTGTAAGAGCATAAATGATTGACATTTGTATCAAATGGAGTGTGGAGTGGTGAAGACACAACACTGCAAAGAATGTAAATATAGAACTTCTGTTTTGCTGTGTATCAAATACTACAAGTCTTACTCACTGTCCTTAGCTGAACTCTCCCTTTCCCTCTCTCTCTCTCTCTCTCTCTCTCTCTCTCTCTCTCTCTCTCTCTCTGTGTCTTGGTGCAGAGGGCTGCATCAGCAGGATTCACTCTCCAGACACATCTGTGTGGTAATACAACAGGGGTATGAATCCCTGTTTGGTATTCATTGTTAAGCCATCAATTCAAGACAATTAATGTGCAACAGTGGGGCACAGATCTCAAAGTTGTAAAGTGTTTTGGCATTTTCTACATCCCGTTGCATAGTTTGTTCATTTCCGGTTAACTATGTGCCCAGCAGATATTTGATCATCATTTGGTGGATGAATAAGTGGCAAGACTAGCGGCCTGGTTTACTTGACACCAGGCAACTGCTACTCTTCAAATCAGATTTATAAATCTTTCTATGAGGATCTATGTTTTCTGCTGTCTCACTCTCTGTCTCACCCTTAAGCGCACAGACAGTAAAGGCCCACTATTTAAGTTGCAGTGGCTTTTTGTGAGCGAAACACAGCAGCTCTGAAGGACAAGGCCTCATCTCTGGGGACAGAATGGTTGAATCATCCCTAGATCTCCCCTAACAACCTGCTCAGACATGCCCACATAGACTGTACATGGACACTTACTGTAGAGATCATCATGCATGATAAATACCTTTCCTGATACTTTCAAAAATAGAGTACTCTTCCTCTTGAAACTCCCATTAATACTGTAGAAGTGTTTAAAAATACCACTTTCTCTCTCTCTCTTCACAGATGACAAGAAATATGGAGAAAAAAAACTTTAAGGCACAATGAAGTTAATGTTCTACATATAAACAATAGTGAGTAAGTACTACTCAATCCTGTGTTATTAAATGCAAGTTACAAACGCAGAGAACCAAGTCTGAAATGCGGGATGTCACGAGGCGATTCATTGCCTTGTGCACAATCAATTGTGGGCTCGCTTCGTTAACTCCTGCAATGATGGATTGAAAAGTCACATCTGAATGAGCCTCATTACATGTACTGTATATTATAGTGCGTACATCAACAAAACCGAGAACTTCAGTGGCATCCCTTGCCTCACTGGAATCGAGTGTTAGTGTTGTCGTTGCCAGCAAGAGCTGTGAGATAAGCACAACGTAATGGTGATTTAACTCTATGTCTGAACCCGATTGAGTTGTGCTGTAATTTGTATTTCTTTTTCCCTCAGGCCTGACAGGGTGAACCTGGATTCTGCAAGAGTAGGAAGACAAGAAAAAGCATCTTCTCTGTTCGTTCTGAAGCTGCACTAAATCTAAAACATCCTGCTGCAGGGCTGCGTCTCAAAGTCACAAGCGTTGTTCTCATTATGATCATTTAAAGTAAACTGATATTTATTTGGTCCCTGCGAAATGTCTACTATAGAAGTAGCATCCAGCGCATTGACTAAAATAAAACTGCTATTGAAAGTTTGGGAAAATGTTTTTCGAAGGAAACTAAATATTACAATAAAAATGCCTTTCCAGGAAATCTGTCAAAACAACCAATTACCAAGGAAATTAAGAACTTTTCCTCACAGATCAGAAACTGTCAAAAGGACATGCACAATAGTTTTGTTTAAATGTAAGCCTGCACAAGTGTCCACAGTATATTCTGCTAAAAAAACAAACAGGTGACTGTGCCTGTTTTATAGAAGAATACTTTATAAAGGTAGTAATTATCACAGCAGTATGATACTTCATTGACTGTTCCGGGCAGTTATTTGCTCTGCTCTTTGCACATTTTGAGACCTGAAAGAACTGCTGTCTACAGGTCTGTAGGCTAATCTGTATATCACATGGATAGCATTTAAACTGATCATTACATTACCTCATACACAGATTAGTGATACAGTAAGCTGTCGCTGCTATGAGACCATGTATTTATATTTGCCCCATGTTAAAATTCTGACTAATTGAAGTGTCCACAGTTCAGCTGCTGACACTGTGCATCCGGGGCTGAATACTGTTGAGGTAAAAGAACAGAATTATCTTTGATTCAATTCAATTATAATTCAACAAAGTATGCAGCTGAAAAGGAAAATAAAGAAATCTTATTAATGTCTTTGGGAGACATGAAAATAAATGCTGGAAACATTTGTGCTGAGAATTATGAGAGGGAGAGCTAGTGCAATGTGAGCCTGACAAAAAGTCAAAAGCTACAAAAAGCTACTCTTCCTCCTCACTCTGCCCTGAAACAATACTCTGAACGATACTTTTCCTCAGTTCCATAGTGAGAACAAAGACTTCAATAATGGCTCAGTAACAAAAACATTATTGAAAACAGAATGGGGTAACCCATATCTCACCTGGGTGCTGTACAGCATAACACTATACACACAATATGAGATTATAAAAACAATAGAACAGCACTGCTCTGTTGCTAAAAATCATTACATCAATAAGGAAGTATGTAACACAAATGCCTGTACTGACTGACTGGCACATCAATTTGACCCTGATCCTGCACTGGTACAGTCATTCAGTAACTGGTAACTAGAGGGGAAGAACACAGGCAGGAAATACACACAATAACACCCTGAATAATCTGACAATTATCCATATTCACTATTAGATGTTGAGGCACCTGTAAGCAGGTGACGCCATTTAAGCAGTGTAAAGTGCTTCATTCACAACCTGAGAGCCCCGGCCTGAGAATGTATTAGATATTATCTGGTACACCTATAGGTGGTTAGGATGAGTTATGTACATGTGTGACTGTTTCCGCTTCAAATAAAGGATGTTACCGTGTAATTACAATAGCCCTGTTTTCTGGGGAAACACATCCAGAAAGTAGTCCTATCCGGGGTGTTCCCTGGACCAACATGTTGTTGACCTGTGCACAAGGACTGACTTTTTCTGTGTTTTTTTAAACCAACTACACACAGTCCTATAATCCCATAAGCCTATCATTGGCTGAGTGATGCTGGACTTGAATGATCAATGAACCCACCTGAAGTTCACACCATGCCACTTCGACCCAGGTGTCGGTGTCAAGACCCTTATAGACGGTCTTGAAAGACCCCCTCCCCAGCTCAATGTCAAACTTGAGGAAGCGACCCCCAGGTGACGTGGACACAGCCTTCATCCCGGGCTCCTCTTCGTTCTCGTCACTTCCTGCTTTACCTGTGACATCCGAGGGCGCAACCTCTACCTTTGGCTCGGCCTTCCTACTGTCCCTCTTCTTCTCTGTGGCGCTCACGCTCTCTGTGGCGCTGTCCTTCAGCCCCACCTGGCTCTCCGGGCTTGAAGTCTCCTGGAGGCCCAGGCAGGTTCCATGCAGAACCCTTGTACGACTCCGATCAACGATTGTCCGCAGGTCAATGAGGGGCACCGGGCTGCTGTTGACACACTCCGGCGTGTCCACTGGCTGCTGGCTGGTGTCTTCGGAGTCTGACACCCACAAACTCCGCCGAATGAACCTTTGTCGGACCAGCGCCCGGTAGTCTGTGGAGGGGTATGCGCTGGGGTCACTTGCGCCTCGCAGGGCTTCGATTTGGATGCTGACATTGTGGTCCGTCCCATTCTGATAAATATGCCCACGCGCATTTGCATTAATGTCCGAGTCTAAATTGGGTGCTGAGGAATATGTGGATCCCAGTGGCGGATCCGCCGAATCCATCCCTGGTAGATTGTTAAGCACTTACCGGCGACATTGTGCTGGGAGGATGATGAGCATGCTCCTCTCCTGGTGGTGGGAGAGTTTGCTGCCTATACCTGCAACACTCGCACGCAGTGACGCAGTTCGCCAGCTCAGGATGTATGGCCGCTTTATTCCTTGAATTTGTTTAGGACACAGAACACCCCCACACACAAATGTCCGGCTCGGAAGATGCGCGCAGTGCTCCGTGCCACCTCACGCCCCGGTCCACCTTGCTGCAATACAGCACATATAGCCGTTCACGTTAAGCCTGATGTCATTGCCAGTTCACCCTATGAGCTTGCGAAATCGGTTCCCTCCACGTTGCATAAGGTCCCCCGCTCCAGCGCAAACTATAAAAGATGTGATGTTGTTCCGCAGACAAATTGCTGGCCTACAGTGGACAGGCCAGGATGTTGAGGATGTGCATTTTACTAATCCAAAAACACGGGACGATCACGTGCGCAGCTGTCATCCCCTGTACAGACCCATCCTCCCGGGCTCTGTTTTGTGCAAATAAATAGCAGGTGTTCCGGGTGAAAATCGAAATAAGTCCAGAGAAGTGGCACCTCAGCTTCTCTGCATTGTTCATTTAACTATCCTCGCGTACTGTTTTTCCGCTGGTTGTCCTGGAGAGTGCAGGATGGAGACTCTTCATCAGATAATGCTCACTGCGGCACAGTTTCCCTCAGGTTGAATCAGGCAGCTCTCAGCGCATCTGCCGTCCAGCTGATACCACTAGTATCTTCCTATATTTCATCTCTTTCAGTTTTTGGGAAAACTAGAATATTTCACGGCATAACCCACGCCCCTAGCAACAACACGTATCTAATAACTCGGCACGTTTATAGGCGGAGCCCTAAGCCTCCCGTGACCACACACGCTTGTGCCTCCATCTAAGCCAATTAGCCAATGATGAATGTTTACGCCCACCAACAACGAGGAACGCTGACGAGAATTGTGGGCTGCTGGATAACCCACACAGGACCCCATCTTAATCACAGCCTATACTCAACCACAATGAATGTGTGCAAGGAGGCTGATGATGAATAGGACTCCTTCAGTCGATTTATTAAGAATATGAAATGCTTTCGCCAGTAAATTCTCCAAAAAAAAACCCAGTGCATACAGTGTTTTCAATTTTTCCAGAGCTATATTACTGTATGAGAAAGGTATTTTTTGTATCATTTATACTTTTATATTTATACTTACACGTTGCACATCGTGTGCGCCTATTTGACATGATTCCATGTGAGTTAGCCTATGTGAAGTAAATAAATACGACTTTTAAAAGCCTGCATACGGTATTTTTTAAGCTTATTTGACTTTCAGCTTATATGTAACCTATCAATTGTAATAGATTATCAGTGGTATGGAATACTCTGGATTAAAACTGCACCAATATGGAGCAGGCAGCATTTGACAAGCAGTGAAATGCTCAACGATGGAGGATTTGCATTCACAACATTGCAATTGTAGATGATTCAACATCCCAATGAGTTTATTCTCAGTCACAATTTAGCTGCGCATATGTGGAAAAGGATGAATACTATTTGTTGCTTTGTCTTTGCTTGAAGAATAAACTCTGTTGCATCGAACTCTGATTCCAGTGCGTTCTTCAAAGATCATCAGGACACAATAGCTATTAAGTATAGAATAAGATTAGAGTTGGGGATCAGTAGTTACTTCATCAACTGGCCTGGTCTGAACTTCTTTTCCAAGACATTTTGGCCAGCCAGTTGCAGGAGGATTTGAAGAACTTCTGCCTGGACCAGAGCCTGGCTGGTTCAGTCTCCATCTCAGAACATCAGTGGCCACTAAATTCAAAGGTAAGCAGAGCCTTTATTTCTGCTAATTCTAATAAAACATCACTGCTGACTGGCCATCCTCAGTCTCATTACCTGATGAAACACATGGCTGCATGTGTTTTAGTGGGTATAGACTTTTCAGTTAAGACATTGACCATGCTGCTGTTTTATTGCTTTGTCACCTTCCCTTAAAATAGATGTGGGGGGGGGGGGGGGCCCTGATGGTTATGCTAACATCCAGTATTCTTACCATTCATCACATGGTACAGAAATAAAATGATCTCTGGTATAATTGCTTAATCTCTATAAATAACACCTGGTTTTCAAGTAAGAACTTTGAATTGCCATTGGTGTAGAGATGAATATCTTAACTATGCCAAATTCATGTTGTAATCTATTTATTTATTTTTTATTATGTTCCACTAAATCCAATTAGTGTTGGTGTTACTGCTGGGAGATCCCCAGGGGCCTTGGAGAACTCCAATGTTTTATTGGTTACATTTATTTTTTTGTAATATGCACTACCAAAGCATACACTTAAATTACATTTGCTTTCTTGTAGACGGCTCTGTGAAACAATGTAGTTGTAACATCTTTACTATCACTTGATGGTACGTTTACATGGCGGATATCGTAAAACAAATTTGGGTTTAATCAAGTTATGACAAACTGTGGCGTGCCAAAGAGTTGAGCCTGTGGCATGCAGTACCGCACTAATACGCAGGACTGCAGTAACGAGTTACGTTCCCTTCGCAGTCTTTCCAGTCGATGATGACTAACAGCCAACTGGACTACAGTCTAAGTGAAAGCACTGCTTAGCGCACCCATTACATCAGGGCTTCAGTTCAGCTGTAGGTACTCATAACCCCGCAGACAGGATCGCTAGTGAGCAGCCTCCCCGGCTCAAACTTCTCCTAACAACCCACATTTTTTTGAGGACGTTTCGCTCCCAAGTTGGAGGGGCGGTAGCCTGGAGCTTTTCTCCCCTCTGTCGACACTGCAGTTTTTTTTTTATAATATTATTTTACTATTGTACCCGTGCCCGCCGGCTGGACCACCGACTCTTTTAAAGCTCACACTATATATGAATATACCAACCGATTCGGGATATTACGCGGTTACTAACAGGATGGCTACAGAAAACTTGGAGATGAACGGCCATCCAGACCGAAGCGGCGGGGCGGAGGTAAGTGAAGGCAGCACTAGTGCCCGTTTCAAAGGGCATGCTTCCTGCTCACTGGTGTGGAGATACCACTAATGTCCCGTACAGCTCAGTTGAGGCTAAACCCCTCAGAAACACGAGTAACGTTTTGAGATAGTTGTCTGGTACACAATATACATGGCGGCTTGGTTTTCATGCATCTCTCCCACCATCCATTCAACACATCATAATAGTGTTTTACAGTCATTACGGCAATTTGACCGGTTAGCAGCGTCTCACTGGATTACAATGTAATTTGTGTTTGTAGTCTGTGCCTCTGCTGTCCTCTGCTGTGGCTCAGTTTACACTTAATAATAGACGAGGTGAGTGTCAGTTAGTTCCTACAGTCATTGATCTGTTGAAGAATCCAGGAGTGAACTCAGCCAGTGACCCAAATCATGGATGATTTGAGTTTAAAGGTTTAAACTGTGCTCGTTGTATCGTGGTCACATTCAGGAATGAAACCACACGCCTAAAAGCCCCTCAACAATACGGCTCTGTGTAGATCGCAGTCTTCCCCCTAAAGACCTGGTATTTGATGCATGACAAGTTATCTATGAATGTGATACAATGTAACAAAGTACATTTTGTGTTCATTTAACAAAACTTTAAATGGGAAGTGGTTGTAAATTTTGTCACTGGACTCACTTAAAACAAAACAAAATGAATCTGCAACTACTTTAATTGTTGAAGTGCTTTTATTGAAATTATTGTATATATATTTTTAACTTATTCTCTCTTTTAACTCTTTTTTTCATATCATTTTAAATGGAATATCTTTGGCACTTTGATTGTTAGTTGGATGTAAGCGATTTAAAGATGTCATCTTGGGTTCTGGGAACATGTGGTCGGCTTTTTTTCTTTCTTTTAAAACACTAACCCTTATAGATTAACCCAAAAATGACATATATAGATACTTAGAAATAATAACTACTTTCCCGCTTACTTGTTTCAGAGCTTCTATAACCTTTAATGCTGAAATGAATATTGGCAATATTGTGTTATATTTTAAACATTACCAGTAACTTCTCTGGGGCAGCAAGCCTCCCAGGGAATCAAGAAGACATCAAGTCAAGATTACTTGTTGAACTCAATATCACATATAATATCTGGGGGCTTCTCAAAAACCACATGGCACATGAGGAAAAAAATGATAAAGATGTTGGAAAAGGAAAGTCAAAGAGAGATCACCACTCCTTGGAAAACACGGGACGCATAGGGAGCCCTGTGGTCAGAAGGCAGCTACGAAAACAAAGAAAAAGAAGTCGTGGCAGCGAGTGAGCGACAGCTAGTGACCCTGACACTCGTCTGCTGGTTTACACAAGAGCACCTGTTTCCTCTTTGGCTTGGCAGGTTTTCAGAGGTGAAGACACGGGAACGCTTTGAGTTGAACCTCAAGGGCCGGTACTGTTGGTTGCTCTAAACGACACTCCACCCAGATGAAACCCTGAGCACTGACCTGAACTCATATGAAGAGAATTAGAGGTCTCGGCAGTAACCCTTGGTTTCCTGTGATGTAATATTTAAAATGTGTTTTTAAATGACCACAGACTCATTTCTCCTGCACAACAAACAAAACGTATTTCTTTGCGGTTCTACAAAAAGGAAGGAAACAGATTCCTCAACCTCCTCTTCCTGAATAAATTAGTCAGTCCACTTGAGTGTTAATGGCACATGAATTTCTGCTTCCTCTGACTTTCCACACCACTGCTTATTGCATAGCGTATTTAATAATATTACGCTTGATTATTGTTATAAGTGCATGCTTCACATGTGCTCGCTGTATGTTTGGTGCATTTGAAAGACGTTCATAAGCGTAAATCCCTCACGTTTTCCAACACATTTGGGTGGAGGCCGGTTTCAGTTGTGTGACCTGGTCAGCCTGAAACCAAGACTGTGGCATGACAAATTATTGTTCAGCTTTGGACTGAAACCAACTCGGTGACCTTCCGAGTGGGTGTTCCACTTTGCAATAAGCCACCGGACACTTTCACTTCCAATAATAGCTTTCATAGCAAACAAAAATACTGGGATTGCACAAATCTGGGTCTTAGTGTTGTCATGCTGATTTCACTTATGATTTATTGTCATGTGGGTATTTACATACGTATTGTGTTGGTTACGATGTTAGTTTTGATGAAAAAGTCCCCGTTTGTGCTGCTGACACACTTCTGTAAATTGAAATGACAAGTGTGAGATTTTACAGGCTGAAAAAAAATCCCCCATCCAGCTACACATTTCGTAAGAAGGGGAAATCATACTTTCCAGACGTTCACATGTTTACATGGAATCCAATGTGACGGCAGCAGCGGAGTGCTTTCATTTCCCCCGTGCTTTCATTTCGTAGGTGTAAAAGTAGGTGCATTTGCTGATTTGGTGTCACAGTTGTGAAAGTTAAAAAAAAGATCACAGTTTTTATTTCTATCACAGCAGTACACTGACAGAGAGGGTTCATGACCTCTGTAACAGAGGTCATGTTTGGTGGAAGGGGGAAACATGGGCCGAGGAAGAGCCAATGCAAATTATTTTTCACGTTGGTGACATTGTGAGATAGGGCATGGCATGGGCGGAGATCTGCTCTCTCCGAGCGCCCCCTCTATTTTCTTTTTTTTACATGTATTTATTTAAATGAGGGCTGTTGAGTTTAAAAGATACCCGAGACACTACCTCATTACCGTAATTGACCCATTATTAGAATAAATATAAGAGATATACCTGACCAGGCTTTTTGAGGTATCTCTACCCGTCACTTATGTGTCATTCTGATGTCAGGGTTTGTGTTTGTGTTCAGGTCCCGCTGCAGGGCCCCCGGAGGAGGCAACAGGGGCCTCTGAACATGAACCATTATGCCAATAAGAAGAGTGCAGCAGAGAGCATGCTGGATATCGCTCTGCTGATGGCCAATGCCTCACAGCTGAAGGTTGTAATGGAGCAAGGATCGGGTTTCACCTTCTATGTGCCCCTCATCACTCTCATTAGCATGTCCCTCATCCTACAAATCATAGTGGGAGTTCTGCTCATCTTCATAGGTAAGTGTGGAATCCGTTCGGCAAACTTTAGCATTCACAAACGAGAAGATTTACAGTGATACCAAAATATATACATATATTATGTGTTATGTTTTGTTTCTGCTGCACTCTAAAAGTGTTAGTGTCTTCGACTGCAACATTGTGTAAAAGTATATTTGAATTCTGTGCAGACAACCGAGTGTGAAACTCAGTATCCAAACCTTTTTGAGAGACACTGAAATCACACACGCACACAGCCTCATTAAGTCACATGTGTAACTTTTTGGCGTGCTGTGACAGCCAAAAGCAGGGCAAAAAAAACCTGTAACGTGTGTGTGCATGTGTAACTTCCGTGTCATGCACATTATGGGAACTGACAACTGCTTTTAATTGGTATTCAGATGCTCACGAAAGCAGATCTTCCATTTTGTTCTCAGTCTTTGTGTCAATATCATTTATGCAGAAATTGAGAACTTGATAAATGTATAAACATCCTAATTTACAAAGGGTGATTAACAACCAAAGGCCTTGAAATCATTCATGCGCTTCATTTCACAAGAATAACATGTTATTTAAGCGTATTTGGGCTCATAAACTTTGGAGCAGAAGTTTGTATTCCCACAGTGGGGTGCTCCCTCTTCCCTTGTATTCTTATCTTATTCTAACAGAGAACACTATTGTGACAGAGAGCTTAGAGTTTAGAGAGCCACAGCAGGAGGAAATGTCTCTGCCTTCAGCCGTTTCCAATTTTAAAGTGCTCTCTTAACTTTGGGGAAAATGTCATTGGAGATTTGCCAAGTCAAAGATGGCAAGTAAAAACTACAGATCTGAATGCTGACGGAGAGAAAAGCTAATTACCACCTGAGGGCAGCGCTGTCAGATGCTGCTAGTTTATATCTGCTCAGTAATGATTACCTCACTGCTAATCTGACAGGAAGATGTGTGCCATGGTGGAGAGGAGGGCACTCCTACTGACTTGGCAAACCTCAATAATGCCTTCATGTTTGATTTCTGTTTCGTCAGTTAAGTGGAACCTGAACGATGAAAGCACGCACTACAAGCTGAACATCCTGGAGAATGTCTCCACGGCCTTCGTCTTTGTCATAGTCGTGGTCAATGTCTTCATCACAGCGTTTGGAGTCCAGCGACCCAACCCGAGCTCTTGATCACCCTTCGCCTCACTCTCCTGCTGATCGACCTAGCAAAGATGGACTTCCACTTTATTTATGCAAATGAACAGGATATTTATTCACCAACTAAATGGCATCACAGGTGCACGTGTTTTTTATGTGATTCAACCTCCCAGGCTTCTCTAACCATGGCTATGGACAAATGTACGGTCAGTTTTTATTTCATGTGGTAAACCAGCAGGGTGTTACCTCTTATCATGCTCAGGTTACTGATGCAAATACATGACTTTACTTACAAAACAAACATATCAGGAGCAGTATACTAATGTTTCCTGGGAAAAAGACGTTCTATTGTTACTCTGAAATGTGTGAGTATCTGTCATTTAATGTATACCTACATCTTTATAAAAAAATAATAAACATCACCACAGCATAATCCAAATGACATTCTTATTAATGAGAGCACCAGGAGCCATCTGAGCGTGCTGCTGCTCTGATGGCACAAGATGATTTAACAGCTTTATTGTGGGCGCAAATGTTTTGTTTACACTGTTAAAAAACCTCAAACAATCAATGAAGTGGACTTTACATGCTTTGTTTTTTTAAATGATATGCAAAGTCTATTGTGTAATGTTTAAAGGGATATGCCCGTATATATATATTAGCTTATGTCTTCAAGTGTTTGTGCATTGACGTATATAGTGTATGTCACTTTTTTTTAAGGACCAAATATTTTTTAAAGCTTTTACTACGATGATCTTGTATTACACACTGAATATTTTAAATGACATTTATAAATAAATCTACAGAAGTGATAAGATGTGTTTGTTGTCTTGTTTATTCTTATAATGCATTTTTTTTTTGTATTGTACAAAGAAAAAAGTCTCAGTTTTACAAAATGTAAGGCATTTTTTACACCAAACACAGAATGTGACAAACTTTCAGGCACTGGACTCAATGAGTAGACATTCATTGATAAGCATCAGAAATCAATTATCAATATTTCCTTATAAAATATCAAAATAGTTGAGTACAAGAATAACAAGAAAAGCCATGCAAGTTGAATACATCTTTTCAAAGAAATACAGTTTAACAAAGCACCATCATAAGAGTTAGTGTGTGTTCAGAGACCCGTCTCTCTGTTGTTCAGAGACAATAAATTGTTTATACAGTTTGAGAAATACCATCAAATTGTATCTGCCTGATTGAGGTAAATACATTTCTGCCAGACGTTGTATTTAAAAAAGGCGTAAAAGAAGAAGAAACAAAAGAAGATGACGGGATTTATAAACATAGTGCTACTCTGTGAGATCAGGCCAAAAGGAAAAATAAAAGTTGCCATCCTGACCCAGAAACAAGGACACAGGAAATGACTCATGCATGATTCCGGTCTTTTAGTAAACGGGAAGAAGAGCAGACGTGGTATTGTAAGGCATTGTTTACAGAAAGTCAAAGACGTACGATTGAAAAATATGGTCAGAGATGCCACAACGTAAGTGGCAGTGCCTTAACCGTATGTGTGTTGATGGCCACGAGGGCCAATTCCATCCTTGTCAAGGGGAGTGCTAACCTTCTCTCCTTTCATACAACACGCTATAACACGCCGCCCTATCAAGTATATATACACGGAGCTGACCGCCTTGGTTTCACTTATGGTGTAACTTTCGGGTTGTAAAAAATAAATATATTTATTAAACACAGCTGTTGAATGGGTCCTTGGAAACGAGTTTGTATGCGACTGTGCTTCATATTTATGAACCTGAACTTGATAATTGTATCGTTTCTTTGGGTAGTAACTCTACCCACAATGCACTGCACTGGTAGAGCGGGATATCATTGGTAGAAGCAACCACGTGGCTGCAAATCTCGTCTAAAGTATTATTCTATGGACACAGCTCGATTTGTTTCTGGCTGTTCGTCACATAATCTTTCTTTTGTTCACACGTGAGAAGCAGAATTACAAGGATCTCTTATGAATCCACACGCCAGCACATTTGTGCAGTTTGGTGAAGAAGTTCACTTTTGGCCACAAGAGGGCAGCTATGTTCCATCAAGAGCTCGTGACAGTACCTTCTCATTACACTGCTGTGGACAGTCATCTTTGTTTCTGAGAGAACATTGAAATGCATTTCAGTATGCTTGACATCAGTGGTAACTGAGCAGAGAAGGAAGTATAATTCTTCATTACCAAAATAAATGTAAGTAATGAGTCTCAGCACCAAGGTGTAAGGCAGATCACACAATGTAGGTTGTTGCTTTTGAATTTAAGGATAATAAATATATACCGGCAAAATGTCCTGATGAGACGGAGGCTATGCTTTTTGAAGTGCTGAAAAATAGATCCTATATGGTCAAGAATGTACCTGCAATTGTTAATATTTTTTCAATTAAAATAACTTTTTTTATCACGAGTTCAGTCAATATTTCCTTTTTCCATTGGTTTGTAAAAGCTGTTTTATGTCACTTAATTAGCTTGTTTTTGCTTTCACTGTGTTCATCCCTCGAGTGCATTCAGTCCCTTTAATCCACTTCAATAGATATCAACACATGAGGAAATAAGAGCAAATTGCCAAATGCAGATCTGAATTTACCCCCATCTCTAAATGTCTCCAAATTGAGAAATTTAGATCACACGCGAAAAAAATATATGCAGTTCAACTGTGTACAAAATTAGTATTCAACTCCTGAAAAGATATAGTGTGCTGTGCTTTGGTACACATGGCATTCATACGAGCAGTACTGCTGGAACACCTGGTTGCGAAGGAGTCGCCCTCTTACTTCAGGAGTCTGTCTTCAGTGTACCATATGAGAACCTCCTGAGCTCTTCTCTTCAAACCCAGAGCAGCCATCCCGAGGGCCCGGCTACCTCCTGTCACTTTCGCCTCTACAGGACAAACACATCATCTTTGTAACTCTGAATCAACAGCATTAAGTGGAGTTATATTTTCAAAACACATGCATGCACTAAAGTTAATATCTGACAATATCTGACTTGCAGTGTCAGGTGACGTTAAACAACTGGAGAACTACTCACCACTGTAGTAATAGATTAAAGCCATTCCCACTGCAACGCCGAAACAGCCCAGAAAGAAGAAGGGACCTGGAGAGAGATGAACGCATAACAACATACATGTAACTATCTGGTGTGTGTCAGAGCTAAATAACCACCTGACACACTTCTAGACTGGAAAAGGTTTTCATCACTATTCCTTATTTTAAGGTCATCGTTAAATCATCTACTGGTTATTCTACAGTTTGAATGTTGCAGATATATTAACAGACATTATTTTAAATGAACGTCTTACCTCTGTCGTTCAGAACATGTCTCTGTTGGTAGACACGTGGACATGCCAGCGGATCTAAGGAATCTGGATCCGATGGTTTTAGTGTGCTGACTAAAATGTAGAATATACTAGAATACAAAACAAAATATGTATAATCCATTTTGTAATATCCAAATAATGAATGAACACAAACCTCTGAGGCGGAGCCGTGTGGGCAAGCTGTAGTACACCTCCTCTACATGCAGGTGAAGAGCTCGGTAGAACTCCCTGCAGGCTTCCTCTCCTTTCCCCTGCAGGTGCGCCAGGAGCTCACCGAGTCGAACACTCGTGAGCACGTCCAAGTTTCTGAACTGGAGAACAATAACAACAGTTAAAATATGACTTATCAATCATATGATGATATGGGATTCCCTTTCCTGGAGTGCTTGCTTACACAGCTTGCACATGACAGAATGAAGCGTCTTCATAAATGATTTCATGTATTCACATCAAAGTGTTGTTTCATCATGTTGTCATGAAACTTGTAAAACTGAGACAGAATTTCTTGGGGCAGTTCTTAACCACAGCCTCTGTTCAGGCCACAGGACCCACGGATCTGAATGCATTAGTGACATGAATCAGATGCTTGAGAAGAAATATATGTTTACATGCAATGATACAACATAACTAAGTAGATCTGCTCACGTCATTTTAAATATGTTTGTTGAAGAACAATTGTAAGATATTTGTACATTCCTACAGCATTTGCATCTCATTCAAATCATTCTTTTACTCCACTTCAGGGGGAAATAATGCATTGCTTACTCCATCACATTACCGCTATAGTTACCTTTACTTTAGAGATTAAGATTTTGCAAATATATGCATGGAATATGATGCAATATATATTGCATTACAGCACATTCAGCTACACCATTTAATGCTGCTTACAAGTCGATACAGCAGTAATAATAGGAAAGTAAAAGACGAAAGTATTACACTGTGTCATTCTGCCGCATAACACGTTTATAATATGTCGCATTAAACTTTGCTGTATGTTTTTAATATCTTCCACCTCTGCCTGCATGGGACCAGGACAGAGAAGACCTTCGTATGAGGACTTACTTTCGTGGCCTCCTTGTCGGAGAGGATCTGCGGGTAGATTCTGTTCAGCTGCAGGATGACTTTGTCCACCAGCTCCGTGTCCAGTCTCCGGTCGGCTCTGAGGAAGGCGCTGTCCTCCGTCAGCTGCTCGTGAAAACTGTCTGTCCACGATAACAGAGACACGTTTAGAAACAAGCGTTACAAACACAAGCAGCTGACAACAGGCTCGCCTTTTCCTTTAGAGGAGGGGACGACACGTATCCACACAGGACACCGACAGGGAACTTGACATTATAGTGGCAGGAGAGTGAGAGGACACGGGGGATTTGGAACGTCTGTTGACAGCTATCGTGTCGGTTGACAACCACTTGAAGAGTAAGGCTCTTTCTAATGGCAGTTGTGTTGCTGAGAAACTTTTTCACAAACAGGACTGAGACGTTACATTGTCATTGGCCAAGCGAGGCGACCGTTAAAGTCGTTAACGCTGTGGTTAATGTTCGTTATTTGGAAGTTATGTGCAGATATTAACGCTAACAAAGAGCTCTAACTAAAAGGTAAGATAAAGCGCTACACACAAACCTCCCATTGTGGAGTCCCCTCTGTCCTCTGTTTGGACACGCCCCATGACGTCACCGCGTAGGCAGGGAGCGGCTTACGTAAACGTCTCTCAAAAAAGGGGGAAAAAAACTATCTACTATCCTTTTCACCGGAAATGAAAATGAATATTGCAAAGATATAAGAAATAACATAGTATGCATTCATTTAATTATTGCCCAATACAAACTATGTTTTATACAGACAAACTGGAATTTGTTTTGAATATGTAACTAGGGGCACATACATGATAATGTAATATTAACGTAACAATCTGTTTTATTGTGAATCTCAGAATTTAAATGGGTATATTTTACAAACACATTTTTACCTTCCTCTAATAAAAACGCATGTTTTAACAGTATTTGATCATCCATGTTTCATTCAAGACTAAACAAACAAAAAGTGTATGTACGTTACAAATAAATAGCTTATTGTGTACACATTTTTAACAATAAGTTCGAGGTATACATCTATTGTATCTATTTTTATTTAAATATATTGAGATGTTTGTAAGCACAATGATGTACTTTATATTTAGCTGCTGACTAGTCTGTATGTATGTTTCAGAAGAAAATATACAAAGGCAAAAAATAGACAATAGTACAGCCGTTACTAAACCCACCCACATCAATATTGTATTCACTCCTGACACATAATAAAGGTTACTAAGCATTGTGGTAACAAAAATATATTGTCAACAGTGGAAGAAGAAAGCACTTGTAAAAAAACACATGTTGTGAAATGGTAGTTACCTTATTTTTGATGCATAAAGAACAATGACGCTATTGTGAAAGTTAGATTTATTTCTTCACCAGCCATAACCATTAGCAGAGACAGTAGCCCAAAGCCATGAGTATGCTAGTGTTTTACCACAAGTTCAGTCTCGTCAATATTATGACCAGCCACCTCTGCTCACACTCCCTTATGAAATGAAAAGGACGACGACATCCTGCAGTCTGAACAGTGTCAAATAAATACAATTGCAGTTATAGTAAAAACATTTAAAAAAAATCAATTAGGACCAAGTATGTGAGCAACATGTACAATATTTTTTTTACATAGCATACACATTTAGTTGTCTTTTTCTTGCCATGTTTGCAAATTGCACAGAAAATGGTACTGCAGCTTTGTTTGCAGATTTCAGGACTCAAAAGGTTTTAAAAAAGTTGTATTAAAACAATTACATTAAAAACTCTCCTTCATTAATAAAGTTTATGAATACTATTAACATCTGACCTTAACTTAAACATCTTTAAATAAGCTTTGCATTAATACTCTTCCTAAGTCATAACAAGCATACTTGAGTTTGTAACAGCTCTGCCATATCTACAAAAGAGCAGCCCAATTACACAACATGTAGTTAGACCCTGAAACTCAAGCTCCATATTCACAGGGTCATATAGTGAAAATAATATATTGAACTATTTGAATGAGCTAAACAGGAGAATTGGTCATCAAGAATACTGATAACTTTGAAAGTGTCTCTGGGCCGATAGAAAGGCACCCACACATTTAAGGCCAAAAGTAACACTACTACGGTAGACGAGTGGATTCATCTCTTTTGTTGGATTTCAACCAGTGAGTGAAAGTTGTGAAATAACTACATACTCTCTGGATGTGTTGCTATAAAATAAATAGGGATACAAATATGTTGAATCACTTGAAAATATCACCAAGAATCTGGTAGATAAACATGCACATCCGGTAAAAAAAGCATCATGTAATACTTAAAACAATTAGTATGATGAGAGGAATCACCTAAGAGCAAGTGAGAAACAAAAAGTGCACAGTCAGGATTACACAGGCAATGGGTAATTAGCAGAACACGCATCTTGATTCTTCCGCTGGTTCGAAAACAATAGTGGGGCATATTGTTGGCATAGTGGTGGTGGACTGCAGTTGGCAACTGATGCGATGTCATTCTTTCTGCATGTTCAACATAAAGTTACATATTTGTTTTGGCACTCTAAAACAAGGCCCTTGGAAAATACTGTTGTGTATGTTCTTGTGTTAGCGAAGACATGATTTGGACCATGATTAGAGTGAAGGAACCAGATCACAGACACTCTGACGAACCTCCTTAAGGACACTTGGCATGATAGATTTACTGCAAATGGAAAAGAAGTAAATCACATTAGATTGATTGTTGAAATTCCCACTTAATTACTGAAATGAGATTCATGAAGGTAGCAGTTAGGAAACGTAGATGGAAGCAGGAAGCAAAAGACTTCATTCAAACAGTTTTGACTTTTTACACAACTCTTGTATGCCGACATAAACCTTTTTAATCCTGAATATATTTGATAGAAAAAAAAAGTAGAGAATGGTATCTTATGTCTTTAAAAAAAAAAAAAAGATGATTATTGAAGTGAAAACTGAGCATATTAATGCCACAGTTTTTCATAAATATTATTAAAATCGGTATCACACAAGCCGTTTCGGATCAGTGATAGAAAAAGAAAGTTGTAACATGAACTGACATTACATATAAATGAATGGTTTTTAGAAGTGTAATGAGGTAAATTAAATTCTAAAATAAAACTTCTTTTGGCCAACTCCTCAGAAAGGCTTTTCAGCTCAAAATACTCAGCACTTGTTCACATCACATTTTGTTGGTCACTCACCGGCACACTAACACGGCACAGAACTCAAACAATTTCCAAATGAATTATACCGGCTTATACTTATCACAGCAAATTTGAAAGGCCAAATAATGATATAAATACCACACAGAAGAAAAGATTTATACTCCACGATCAGGAGATTGTTGCCAACTGAATAGATTCTTTATATTTATTTTACTGTGAAAACATGAAATTCAAACTAAAATTTAAAGTATGATTGTTTTTACACTAGGAAAGGACCAAGAATAGCACAAAAGAAAGGAGTAGCTCTCAACTCGTCTAACATCGTAAACACAACCATGTATTGTCAACAGCACAAACGTATCAAATAGTAATAACACTAGTATGCCATATATAGTGGCTCTACAAACGGAGATCTTTGTGTTAAAAAATATGAGTGTATGCAAAGCCTGAGAGAAATGGAAATCTTAAAATATAGAAGTTTAAAAAGCCCACACAAAGCCTTCTATGAGAACCCAGTGCCTCCGCTGGTGTTCTGTGGCTCAGAGCTGGTTCTGCAGTACAAGTTGTGACTTACATGATGGCTGGAAGAGGCTCCCTTGGCCTTTGTTTTGCCCTTGGCATTGTTGCGGCGCTCCTGCTCGTGGTCAAACTCCAAGTCCTCCAGGCGCTGGGTTAAGGCCAGTTTCTGCTGGATGGACATACGTAACAGAGAATTCAGGGTCTTCTTCTCATCCTCAGCAGCGATCAGCTGCCTCTGCATGTCATCCAGCTGAGTCACGTACTCATCACACCTGAGGGAAAGAAAGGGGAGATGTGGAGAAAAGAGTGAGAGAGAGAGAGAGGGGGGGCGGGGGGGGGAAGATACACATTATTTCCAGCAGGTGGAGCAATGTGCCTTGAACTGCTGCTACTGTCACATGTTTTCTCCATTTCCCTGACAGCATTTTCCAGATGGGGGAGGAAGACGTCTCCCCCATCTGGAAAATGCTCTCTCACTCGCACAAGTATTACATCAGAAATCCCCACAATGCTTTGCGTCTGTCACAAACATACACCCTGACAATAAAATAGTTTGAATTCTATTTTCATTATTAGGAAAATGTGTTGAAAAGAGGCAGAATTAGCAGGATATAAAGAAATAGCATTGCTCTTTCCTGTTACACATACGATACAATAGTTGTCATGCATTATGGTGCGAGCCCTGAACCACTTGGCCACCAGGATGCCACATGATGGTTCATGTGTGCGTTTGTCAGGAATTAAATGTGAACCAGTTACGTATGATCTTACCTTGTAGCAAACATGGCTCGGAGAGAGGAGAACGTTGCGGCGTCCTCTTTCAGAGCCTTCAGTTCATTGCGGAGCTTCATTATTGTCTCGGTCACCATGGCCTTCTCGCTCTGATACTTACTCTTCAGGTTGGACAGAGCAACCTCAGCCGTCTAAAAGGAATAGCATCTTATATAATCATTCATTCATTCATTATTCATTCATTCATTCATTCCGTGCACTTCTGTCAAGTCTAAACTCAGCGGTTATTTTTAGCTTAAGACTACTACCCTTTACTGTTGTACTTGTCAGTTTGAGAAACAGCAGCCATGCATACACACAGACACACAGAGTGGTCCTCTGACCTGTTTGTTGGCCTTCAGCACGGCTCTGAGAGTGGCGATCTGTTCCCTTTTGGTGCTCAGTAGGGACTTCAGTTTGAGGATCTCTCCCATGCAAGCCTCTTTGTCCTTGTCCAACACTGTGCTCAGCTCCAGGTTAGCAAGTCTCTGGCGTGACAGCTCTGTGGTGCGGTCCACTGCCTGCTGCAGGTGGCGGATCTGGTCCCTGATGATGGCTACGAGGTTATAGACGTTCATGGGTTCCGGTCGGTGCTCTGAGACCGACACAACTGAGGCGCTGCTGGAATTTCCAGGTTCAGTCTCAGTGATCAGCCCGTTAGTGAGAAGTATGGAAGACTGGTGCTCCTTCCCTTCGTGCCCCTTTCTTACTATGGCCTTTCCATCTTTGTAGTAGTCGAGCATGACACGGTTAGGGGTCTCGTTGTTGCACATGCACACATGGTTGTAGAGATTGGCCAGCTCTTCACTGAACACTATGAGCTCATCCTGTGCCACATTGAGGCTGCCGAGTGATTCTCCTGCCGCCTCGCTGACCAGACGGAGCTCCTTCTCCAGATGAGCCATCTCTGCTTTGTCCACGTGGCTGATCTTCTCCAGGGACGCCAACTTTGACCTCAACTCCTGGATGTCGTTATCCAGCCGCGCTCGCTCACCTTCATACTGGGTTCGACACTCCTCGTACTGTGACCTCAGAGTCTTCAACTCCTGCCTCAGCTCCCCAGCTTCGGATACCGCCACGGTGTATTTACACTGGAGGATCTCGGGTCCGTTGATGTCCAGCTCGTAGTAGTCTCCGTCATCATGGCTGTCCCTGTCTTTTTCACTGTCGAGGGCAGACTGGCGCTCCTTACTGGCCTGAAGTTTCCTCATCGCGGTGAGGTTCTCGGTCAGCTTGTTGACCGTTTCCTTCTGCTCAGACACGGTCCCATAGGCCTGTTCCAGGTGCTTCTGGTTCTCCTGGAGAGAGTTGATCAGGACAGCTTTCTCCCGTTCCACCTAACATGAAAGTGCACGTGAACATAAAAGCACTTTCAGTCATTTGGCCAAATTTATAGCACCTAATCAACAACAAAATGAATGAAATAAAAGCAGCAACAGCCCTTTGGCCAGCTGGAACACATTGTATCTTTCTCTCCTTTATAATCTAAGCCAGCACAGCTTCTCTCTCTCTCTCTCTCTCTCTCTCAGGACAGTTTGTCTCAAATTCCACAAAATTGATTTCAGCAAATACCTCCATAAAATGTCCACATTTAATTAATGTAAAAATGCATAAACAATTAATATGGCCATAGATGATCAATAACATGTATTTACACTGATCAACACTTGATACAGTCTCTTATGTATAAATGTTTTACAATACTTCCGTCAAATTGAGAAGTTGTTGTAACATAGATATAATGTTCAATCTAATCATTTTGTTTTGCCACCATGAGGGTATGTTTAGGTCAAGTCACAATACCTACTCAA